TCTTGCGTGGTACGTTCCGGGTTGGATTCACATGTATTATCATTCCGGGAAGTCGTGCTCTCACTAACCACCTCTCGCGACTTCTTGGTCACATATGCATAGACGGAAACAGGTCGCTCGTCTCGTACTGGTTTCCAAGCCAGCAAGCGTCCTAGTTTAACATCTTCTCGGCGGCCGGCGGCAGCATTCCCGCGTGTTTATTCGGGTCAAACCACTGGCGCAATTGGTTGAAGAACTCCTCCATCGAGCATTCTCCGGCTTCGTGCACGTCACCGCAGGCCTTGCACACCCTCAAGCATCGCTCCGTCGGGTTCTGGCCACCACACTTCTGACACGTCAACAACTTCCAGCAGTCTCCTTCGACATGGCGACGTGAACCACAGTGGCGGCACCGCGGGCGGTCGCGTCCCGAGTCGTCGGGATCGAAGTTGCGACGCGCCGGCTCTCCCGGCGGGGCCTGTCCCGCGACGAACAACTGGGCGCGTTCTTCGTCCGCCTCGTCTTGGTCGCACTGGCGATCGTCGCTGTCGCGACTTTCGCGTTCCGAGTCGTACTCGTCCGACGCGACGTGAATCGCATGCACGGCGCGCGCCGGCTGAGTCAGCGGGGTCGGCGCCTTTTGGCGGAACTTGTTCGAGCCGAAGAGAGTCTTTTTCTGGTGAGCCAATCCACGTTGTCGGCCACACAGCTTCTTCTCCAGCGCCTCGGAGTCGGCGACCTCCATCAGCGCGAGACGCGAGGCGAGTTCGGCCTCCTGCGTGTTCAGCGTCCGGATGAAATGCTCGACGTGTTCGCGCTTCTCTTCAGTCGTGCCCTCGGCGTATGGGATGTTGGCCCTCAAGCCCGCGACGTTGAGCCGGTACAAGTAATCCAGAGGGGTCTCGTCGGGGCGCTGAGCCGCATGGTAGTAGCGACTGGCCATTGACACGCCCTTGCCGCAGTACTGCACCCGGAATTGCTCCATCAGCTCGGTCCATGATTTCTTGACCTTCTTGGGCAACTGGAGATACCATTGGCGCGCAGGACCGCTCATTAGATCGCTGAACTGCCCGCACACTTCTTCGCCCGTCATCCCGTCGCGCGGCGCGGCGGACTTCAGACGGTTGAGCCACAGTCTGGCTTTCTCTTCGCTGGCGTCCCGTCCCGAGAACTCTTTCAGCTCGGAAGATGCTGAGAGGCGTACGCGGGCGGGGGCTACGCCGCCGGCTGTCGCCGTCGAGACGGCGGCCGTGGTTCTTGGCACTCCGATGTCCAAGTCGAACAGGTCATCGGGGTCCTCGTCCGCGTCGCGTCGAGTTCTGGACATTGTCGAAGAACGCGAACTGACCGACTCCGTGGCAACATCCGCTGCCTCCTGGGGGCGAGCCACCGTGGGTGTGGGATTCGCGGGCGGCTTCGGCCCCGTCGGAATTGCGGCTGTGTCGGCGCGCGGGGTGTTCATCACTGTCGTCTGCATCAGCTTGATGATAGATTCTCTCAAGGCCTTGGGAAGCACCTCCTCGGCGGGTTTCGTCACCTCTGTGCGTGTGGTCGCCGCGGATAGCTGCATGACGCTCGGCGGCCGGTTCATGGGCATGCGCTTGGGCGACTCGAAACTGCTGTCGGAGTCCACGCTCGATTGGTATCGAGGTGGAGGCGAGGGCGTGGTCGTCGAAGTCTGGGCTGGACCCGCCGAGGGGCGCGGCGCGTCTTGGCCCGTCGCGGAACTCGTCGCGTCTTGTTTGACGGATCCGGCGAGAATCGTCAAGGGCTCCTGCACGACGCGAACCGCACGTAACCAAGATTTGAGGTCCCAATCGCACAGCCTCTCCATCTCGAAAGCCCCCAGCACGAACCCCGAGTCACGCAGCATCTGGAAGAGAGTCGGCGCGGCGTGGGCAACGCTGGTGAGACTATCGAAGTCCGGCGCCACGAAGGGGCCTGTGAAGTTGCTCATCAGCATGGGCTTGAGGAAGACCAAGATTGGGTCTTCTTCTAGCAGACGGAAGAGCTCCGTGCGCGCCACGACGTACCGTACCTCCTCGACGGTGTACTGACGTCCCGTGTCCTTGCCTTGCGGCTTGGACAGCGACTCCTCCGCCGAGTCCGGCGCGCGCAGCTTCTTTTTCTTCCTCTTGGGCGGCTTGCGCTTCGTGGCTGCCTTGGCGGTGGGTTGTTGTTGGTCGTCGGCCTTTGCAGGCTTCCGACCGGTAGGACCGCGACTTGCGTCGCGGCCCTTCGCGGCTCCCTCGTCGGGAGCCGCATCGGGAACGGCAAACTGTTCTTCGTAGCCCTCCTGGTCGTCGCTGGACCCGTGGCCTGTCGTGAAGGTTCCCTCAGAGCTCCACGACGAGACAGGTCTCTCACTGTGCTCTCTTGCGGTCGGCGACCTTCCAGCCGAATGTGCACCTGCCTCCGATGCCTCTTGGATCGTTAGCCCGTCATTCGAAGTAGTACTCCCGGGTCGCGGCACCATTGTGGAGTAGCGCCCTCGCAGAAATCTCGCGAATGCGATCTCGCACAAACTCGGCGCGTCTGGATAGCGGTCGCGCCGAGCAAATTATTCCCGGTTGTTGGAGTAGCGTATCTTCGAAATACAGGCCCAAGTCTTCGCAGGCTTCGGAGTTGGGGGTTCTTGTGTTGACGCTTGTTCCTTGTCGTAGGGCGTCGAGCCTTGGGCGTGCGGCGTTATCGGGCCGGCGTTTCCTCGGCGTTCTCGTCGGGCGTGCGGCGTTATCGGGCCGGCGTTTCCTGGGGCTTGTGTGGCGTTATCGGGCCTACACGGGGGGTCTTGTGCACGGCGGTTATCAGGCCAGTGCGGTCCTTCGCCTAGGCAGCGCGTTATCGGGCGCCCACCTAAACGGTATACGTTTAACGTGCCTTTGTTCCAGCACGGGTCTGTGGGGGGTGAGCACCCGAACCAGCAAACGACGTGGGGCCGCGATATCGAGGCGGCTCTACTTGCCGGCGCTTGGTGGTTCCCCTGGAACCTCGGAAGACGGGAGGTCTTTGTGGTTCAGAGAAATTTCGGGACTGAGTCCTTACCCTATCCTATGTCCTTGCTACTGGCTACTCTGTACTACTGCTTGCTAAGCCTACCGCTCTGGGCCTATCCCTACTTCTGTCGTGCTTGCACTGCCGTCCTTCAACCTGGTTTGCGTGGCGCAATCAAGATCTTACCTCGGCTCGTTTTGGTCGGCGGGGGTTAGGGTCGGCGCGTCTTGCTCGGCGCGTCTTGCTTGGCGCGTTTTGCTCGGCGGGGGTTAGGGTCGGTGCGTTTTGCAGAACCGGGTGCGCTGGTCGACCCGTCGGATGATTACGCGTCGCACTGGATTCTGGCACCGTGTCTCACGGCCCATCACCCACGCCGACTTTCCCGTCGAGCTCGGCCCTGCGTCGCGCCCATCAATCCGCGTCGCGTTCCATCAGCCGCGTCGAAGTCCATCACTCGCGTCCCGGCGCCTTCTTCCTCCGGCGCCCGGCGCGCCTACTTCTTCCGCGGGGTACTACACCACAATCACGTTCTCCTTCACTTGCGACCAGCAGGGGAAACGACGTCGACGTTCTCGCGGTGTCGAAGACGTCACAAGAGATTCAATTTCACCGTCCGCACGCAGCAACTGGGTTACAGAAAGCTGCTGCTCCAGCAGGTATCTTCTCGTTGACGCCTCGGGGTCTTCTGGCTCAACTATCCGTGCTCGAAAGGTGAACACTGAACTTCCCCGCGTTGGGGTTGGGCTCATAACCAGAAGCGACCTTGTGTTGCTTGCAGAGTAGGAAGCTAAAGGAACGAGTAGTGACGAGCAGGCAGCAAAGGCTACCTGTGAGGCAGTCGGTGTTTTGTGGAATGAGCTCAAAGCTCCGTTAGTTCTTTCTTGCTCTCTGTAGTCCTTCTTTCCTAACTGCCGGATGTGGTGGTCAACCTCTTTCATAGGACAGCCCCACGTGGGAAAACCTCCAGCACTCTGTGTCTTCACAGGATAAACGACCCACGATCGCACTCCAACGTTGGGATCAATACACATCAATCCTCAACACGAACAATTGTTGTTTATATTATATCCGCCGCTCTCTGTAGTGGATACACATCTTTATCTCTCTTTGTTCATCCATCGTTCTCCGGCAAAAAAATCGCCTATACGAAAGTTGGCACTCGCTACTCGATTGCGTCGGGCACTTGACGTGCGAGGTCAACACTATTCACACTAATAGCGAAGAACTCGTGTTGACTGCGGTGGTTTTCAAGAGCCTATTGGCGAGTCCGAAGCGTGAGGAGATCGTTGCTGAGCTGTCTGCACTCGCCTTTAAAGCTGCTGCGCAAGCTTACGGACGTCCAAGAAGGCTGCATTATCGTGAGGTACCCGACGCTGCTCGTGTCATCGGCAACCCGAAACTGTATTGCAAGATAGAGGTGGCCTTCGCGCGACGTTGTGTTCGCCAGCACCTCGTACCAGTCCTAGTCGGAAGCAACAGCAACGCGAAATCGACGAACAATAAACACAATGTGTTCGTGCGCGTTGTTACCTCATAGCCTTTGCTACTTGCGAATCTGAAACGCGGAGCCTTTACGGCGAGCGGTTTTACCGCTAAACGACTATACCGAAGTCCTCAAGCTGTACAGCTAATACGACCGGGGACTTGTCGAATAAAAAAAATAAAAACTAGCGGTGTTGCCCATACCCGACGTTTTTGAGCTGAAGAGTGCGTATGTCGTACCACCGGCTCTTCACACGCATGATGGGTTAGACGGAAGTGCTAGTGATGATAGCCGTTCTATTATCGCTTGCAAATAGCTAGAGCTCGCGCTATCCGTACATTTCAACAAGTTGCTTGTTCAGGAATCGATACTCACCAAGCTAGGCTTAAGGAGCCTAGTAGTCCTCATGATACGTGATACTCGGAGGCCTCTTGCCTTTCTGCTTGTTAAGAATTTGGTTGGCCTTCTCTCTGTAGGCCTCGTAGTTGGCATGGCTCTGCAGGTACGCAGTGTTTTTCGGGGCTTTTTCGGCATCAATACCCACCTACTTACATATCGCCTTGATTTGCTCGATCGTGAGGACTCTTTCTTCCTCCGACGAGTCCTCTTCATCGTCGACAGGCTGGCGGTGGGTCTTCAGGAGTCGCTGACTGGGAACTACGAGCGAAGCCACTTTGGAGATCTTGGCCTCGTTGGAGTCCGGGGCGGAGGAGAGAGCCTCGCACGTAACAAGGAAGGAAACCGCGAGCAGCACTAAACCTTGAGAGATACGCATCTCGATGTCGGATTAGCAGTGGAAGACATGAGAGCTGGAGAAATATCCCGGCTGGTCGTGCATGCCAGCCCCATCGCAAAATCCTGTATACCATGATGGTAAACAGGGTTGCGCGCTTTGATAATACTAGCCTAGCGCCGCCGCTTCGCGGCGGTAAGTATACCTTAAACTATTGGGCGTGTACGCGCCCCCGTTCCGCTCGCCTCGTCGGCTCGCTGCACTACTTGCTATGTTAGGTTAGTAACACCGAGGCCGGGGCGGGTCCTACGGCCCCGCAATATCGTATTAGGGGGTCGCCTTCGGCGACGGGGCCGCCGTCGCTTCGCTCGGCAGCCTAAGTACTATTATGTGGACAACATTTAAAGTGGACAAAAGGTTCACACAGACTTTCACACGGACAGATCTCTCTGTTAGTTGTTGTAGACTAGCCGAGCGCGAGGGGGGTGTTTTACCACTGAACAGTCGGATCTCACCACTGAGGTTTGTGTGAAGGCCACCAAGCCAATAAGGTTTGCCACCCTAAAATATGAAATGGACTACCCACGCATATATACATACAGTGACGCCAACAATCCTGGGAGAGACACCCGTCAGTAGGGTTCCTGTACTTAAATAGTTACTAAGCGTAGTTGAAGGTGGACGCAAGATATGCACTGAAGATATTATCGCATGGTGCAGTAGGTGTTATTGTGCCACGCTGACATTTATCTTTGTACGAAATGTGTCGGCGCGCCGAATGAATCAGCAACTTCTTGCCAAATAAGTCGACCACTTCCTGCCATATAACTCGACCACTTACTGCCCAATAACTCGATCACTTCTTGCCCAATGACTCGACCACTTACTGCCAAATAACTCGACCACTTCTTGCCAAATAAGTCGGCCACTTCCTGCCAAATAACTCGACCACTTCTTGCCCAATAAATCGACCACTTACTGCCGAATAAATCGACCACTTCTTGCGCTAAGAACTTAGCATGATAATTCATGTTTTAATGTAGGTACTGCATGTAAAGCTAGCATAATTACGTGAAGTCGAAGCAGTTCAATCAAGAAATCGCATTTATTCAATTACTGTCACCTCGATCTTATCCTTTTCAAGCGCCTGGAGTAGAGCCGATCGGAAGTGGCTGGCCTTGGCTACGTTGAAGCTGCTGCTGGTCAGTGACTCCATCTCGTCTGCAATCGATGCCGGCTTTTTTTCAGAGATATAGTGTGCTACCTTGTGCATATAGTGTAGCCTATACACTCCGCAGTCAGACAAATGAGCTTGGCGAGGGCTCGTCTTGTATGCAAATGATTTTGCATCCGCCCTGCTGCTGTGTCCGTTTAGTTTATCTGCTCCCGGGTATAAAAACCACTTCAACGCAGCAAAAATTGCCTCCGAATCGTGGCACCCGCGCATTGAGTTGACGTGGTAGCAAACAGTATCCGCCGGGCTCATCGGATTCTCAATAATGGCAAAACTGATGTGGTCCGACCCTGTAATAGGAAGCAACAAATACCGGTAGAGTCCCCAATTAAAAATGCCTGTGACTTCATCTGGAATTTCTTCGCCATTTTCTTGAAGTCGAAACGCGTTTGCGATTCCCTGGAAGAACGTAGTTCCCAGCGGGCACACCCAAGTGTCAACACTGATCATGTGCTTGAAAATCAGACAATCTATGGCTCGATCCGTAAGCCATTCATCAGGCAATAAACTGTCGAAATCCTTTTGGTAAAGCGGGATCCTCACAGTTTCGTTTTGCATGCTGCCAGCGAGTTGATGTATCACAGTCAGCAAGGGTTCATCACGACTTTTTCGTTTAGTTGATCGTCTGGGACGAGCCACACGCCTGTTGTTTTTAGGTGTTTTGGGGTGGGGGTTGTCGTCCCTTTGATTCACGTTGGGGACACCATGAGCTGCAGGTTTTTCACTTAACTCAGGCTCTTCTTCAGCGGGAAAATTATTTGAGTGACATATACCAGTATTTACGGGCTCAGTTGTGGTAGCCTGGCCTGGCTCCTCACCGACTTCAGTTGTTCTTGATTCAATGTTGTTTTTGATGTTGGAGGGATCGCTTTTAGGACGAGCGCTAAGATCCCCGGCCACCTCGCTGTGAGTTTTACCTTCCGCGTCACTGCTACTTGTACCCTCTTTATTTGGCAACCCAGTCGCCTGACTCATATAAAACGCGATATCCACGACTCTTGAGTGCCCTCCTTTAGTATCGCAAACTCTGGAATATTATTCCGTGCATAAGTGAGCAGCTCCGTGAACGTGCATGTTCCTCCAAAGACAAGACACGTCTCGTAAAATCCACAGACGCTGGGCTCGTAAGATTTCTCTGGCTTCTTTTCCCAGCCCCTTCGGCCCGAAACGCGTCACCGAAAGCCTCCAACGCAGCTGCATCGTCGAGTATGCTCCAAAGCGCCTTCTTCCACCCCAATAGAGTCACCTTCAGATTCTTTGCGGCTACCCTGGCGCTCCAACCCGCCACTCCTTCAGCTTAGCAACCTTCGTGGCGATAGGCACTTGCTTGAGGCGCCGCTTCTCTTTCTCCATTTCCAGGCAGTAGGGACTTGAGCTGCTGAGGGGACGAGATCAGAGGGGGGAGAGACAAACGGAACTGTTGGTCTTCGCTAATGGCTAAAATTACAAATGTAACGTCTATTTTCGCACACAAACTGCTGATCATAATGGCCTGTCGACTTATTCTGCAAGTAGGTCGACTTATAGCGCAACTCGGTCGACCTTTACTGCAAGTGGTTCAACTTATTCTGCAAGAAGGTCGACTTATAGCGCAAGTCGGTCGACTTATTCGGCAAGTAGGTCGACTTATTCTGCAAATGGGTCGAGTTATTCGGCAAGTTGGTCGAGTTATTATGCAGGTAGGCGGACATATGATGTGATAAGAAGTAGAAGTACGTATGTATTCAAAGCTTCGCGACCCAAAGGGTAGTCCAATGGTGTAACCTGAATGATGGTGCAATCACCTTACTTTCAGGATCCATTTTGAAGCCGCGATTCTACTGCTCGCTTGGTTTGTTTTCGTCGTCGACTTGATCGCCTTAAGTATTGTGTAAGTGGTCCCAACGAGCGCTCTTGACAGCCTACCGCCGCTGTCAGGCTCGTGGTCGTGTTGGGTCGTTGCCTCTGGTGACGAGACTGGCCGATCATGAACAGTATCACGGCTGATATTGAGGTTCACATCTGCATGGCGTTGCGTGGCCGGGATAGCCGGATCACTGGTACTATCCAAGCGCAGGGGCTGCGTCACATCTGGAAGCACAGATCGCGGCTCTTTATCACGAGCTTGGTACGGTCAGCGACTGATTCCTCATCCTCTGTAGAAACCTCCGAATCCGAGAGAACTAAAGTTTCTGCCTCTGAGTCCAGAAGAGGGATACCTTGGTCCACGCCGACTTGGTTTTCAGTCTTTTCTCCCTCTACCCCGGTCTCTACTGTGCGTCGGCTTACCTGGTGTCTAGGATGCACAAACTGTCTGCAGTTGGAGCTCACTCCGGGCATGTGGATACCACCGCGAATGCAGGCTGCAACAAGATGACTACATGCACCATTTTTTTCAAAGTACAAGCAGGGACAAGCCTTGGTCCGCGTGTCAGCAACCCATCCTTCCACGGGCATATTTTCAGTTTGCTTGCGTCTTGCGTTCGCAGACTTGATAGACTGTTTTACGGACCGTCTCTCCGTCGCCGTGAGTACAAGCGGACGTTGTAAAACTCGATACAGATCTGCAGGAACAGTCGAAATAGTCGGTAAACGCTCGACCTCTAGGCAGCCTCGCTTGGCTAAAAGGCGATACAAAAGCATCAACCGCTCCGATGCACTCGAAAAGTTGCAAAATGAAATCTCGCGACTCAAAAAGGCCAGCCTTGCGCTGTTCAAACTTCTAATCAAGTCATCAGGGGACAGAGGGCCTTCTGGACACTCTAATTTCAACCGCCGGTGATATTGCTCAAGGGGATTGTTAGTTGCAGCGTATCCCCGCGGAGCGCGGAATGCCTGCCACTTTGCAAATCTACTGAATTCAACTCTCGAATGATATGCGTTGTCAATTTCCGTATGGTAGACCCTTGAGCGAGCCCTTCCACTTGACCAACACGCGATCCTTGATGACTTCGAACTGGTCCTGTGGAGCATAGTGCATATCATACAAATCCTCAAAGACAGACCTGGTGTCTTCGTAAGATACTCGGTATTTAGCAGCATATTTTTACACGTTTTTCGTACCATGGAACCAGCACATCAAAACCACAGTATGTGGGAGCTCCGTGACGCAGGCGTTGAACTGGGCCTTACCGGCATCCATCATTACAAATTGAGGCTCAAACTCAATACCACAAGCATCTAAGCATACACGCTTGATGTAGCGGATGCTCCAGCCAATGTCAAATTTGCGTTTCTGTGACGTACAGAAGAACGCTAGTGGCAAAAAGTGGCAGCTTTGGTCCGAATATCCAAACGCAAAAAATGGAGTAGCCGTGAATCACCATACTATGAGTACTGTCGATGTGTAGCATGGTGGTGCAATCGCTGCGAGTTAAAATTGACAAATAATATCGGATTTGCTGCAGACAAGTCATGCCGACGCGAATTGGAAAAGCCTCGGAGCCGTCACCAATAAGTGAGACGGCACCACGGCTACCAGGGCGTTCATCGGGCTGCGAGTCACACAAAATCATCATCTCAAGATTTTGAAGCGATGTAAGATACAGCATGTCGTAGAGATGACCATCGCAAATCTCTATCATGGGAGCCATAGGATTCTTGGGGTGTTTTCGTCTCCAGTTTTCACAAAGTCAACCACTTGCTGATCCTTTGGTGCAGGGCCAATCATATCTCCCTCAGAAACCATAGTAACTATCACAGCAAAAAGCCGAGACGCCGTTGTCTTTACTCCAGAACTAAGTTGTTCCACAATGAAATTCTTCATTTCAGTTGTCAACTTCTTCACAGGGGAACTGGAAGATCCATCAGTGCCTCCAACATGGCGATGTTGCTGGAATCTCGCAAACGGGGGCCGAAAGACACATCTTGAACTTGTATCTACAAGGACAGGGGATGCGGACTTCTTCCGAATCAGAGCCATCGTCATCTTGAGATCGGCAGCGTCGTGACCGACACTTAGCTGTCTGTACTCTCATATTGTGCTCAGAAACCGCAAGTGCGTAGTTTCGGTCTACTAAAGGATCGATTGTACAATTAGTGGGGTCGCTTCTTCAACACTGTGTGCTGGGAGCGAATCGCAGAACTCCTACTGGGCCTCGTCCGTAGTAGCTCTTCCAATTTTGGTCCACCTTGGTCTGCCAGGGGCTTCGATTTCATCAGCGCTATCAGAACCCGACGACATCTCCTCCATCTCTAGCTCCCTCTCTTTGGTCGCCTGCGGATCGCTTTACTGTTTGATCTCCTCTTAGCTTGAGTGAAAAATGTTTTTGTTCTGTATCCATTCATACATTTCAGTGGTATCCTCTTTTTTATCCGGGGTGACTTCCTATTTATGTTGTGGGCGGTCTCGCACACAAAATACGTAATACTTCCTTTTTTGGGGTGCTCAAACACTTTTTATCCGTGCGAAATCACTCCACTCGCCGAGCGCCGCCGCTACGCGGCGGATAGAATTTATTAAATTGTTGTTAGTTGCTATGCACCCGTTCCGCTCGCCTCGTCGGCTCGCTGCACTACTCGCAATGTAAGGTTGGTAATTCGGAGGCTGGGGCGGATCCTGCGGCCCCGCAATATCGTAGCTGAGCCTTATGCACTAACTCAGGTCAGATATAGCTAAATTGGACTAATCGATCATATAGGAGCTCCATTTTATATAAATCGGACTCCGAGATAACACGTCAAATCCGACAAAATTAGGTTGGTCCACATATCGTACTTAAGCTGCCGAGCGAAGCGAAGGCGACCCCAAGGGGAGGCATTCCAAGTTGGCCATACCTCCCCACCTCTCATGACGCATTAGAACTGCAAGACATTGGGGACAATAGTACACTGTATACAGCCACTTCATAGCACTATGGCCAGCTAAATCACCTGTGTGATCATCTACGGCCGCTAAAACTTCGTGCCACGCCGATCTGAGAGGGCCCCAGACATGTTTTCGCGGTGGTCCCTTTTGCCGGCGAAAAGCGGCATTTCTGGCCCCTGTTTCGCAACTCGCAGCCCCCAGACGCAAATCGGGCCAGATATAGTCAGCCCCTCCTAGGCCTCCAGCAAATCAGGCCCGATATATCGGATCTTGGACCACCCGATTTGCCAAAACGGATGAAAGCCACAATAGTTGTTGTTAGAATGAGGATGGTTCATCGTGGATCGTGAATGGGAGGGTTTATCAGGCAGATTCTTGAACGATTATTGATCCTTGGTGGTCATGTTTTGAGTTGAGTACTTCACTGTCACTGTCACTCGGGCAAGGGTGCGCCACACAGTACATGTACTCATGTTGAGCCCTCGGGTACATGCATTTTTAGGCTCCCCCTGATGCCTGCTTTGGCGTCTACTTTACCATAGATTTTTCACGTGCAAATTCTCGTGACATGTAATACTTGGTATTCATTCGATTTGAGCGAACTAAGGTCATCGGTCGTCCGTACGCGATTGATTAAACTTTGCTGGGGCGATGGAAATCCAAGCTTGACCGTCATTCGGCTTGTATACTGTATTTCGCACACAGCAATATGTAAAGAAGCGTGAGTTCTTCCTAGTCCTCAAGTTTGCTGAAGGCGGGATTTTTTCCTTAAACAACCCACTAAGCATAAGTAAGCGAAATTGTTGAATCCATGAAGAAAGAATTCATAGCTTTAGAGGAAAAACCGACGCTGAGGGCGATAATAGGCTAGCGCAAAGTACGACAGCACTGGTATCACTACGGTAGTCCTTCCAAGACCAATATAAATAGAAGTCGGACCTTCGCTTCGCGAGAGTGCGGGTGGCGTGTCCACCAACTCGGTATTCCGCGTACTCTAATTCGATGAGATCACTAAGAAGTCTCAACAGCTCGATGCCAATATCGGCGAGGAGGACGTCCAGCATGTATACCAAAGACGGCAGCTATATCAACAAGGTCCAAGCAGCCAACGAAGAAGCGTCTCTCTTCACGGCAAAAAGAACGCTGCTGTACGTGTGGATGTGGTCCCATAGCTGCTCCAGGCCAGAAGCTACATCAAATTCATGACTCCGCACAAGATCACCCAAGATCTGGTCGTCCCCGATAACACCCCAAGTGAGACGACGAATCTCAACGTATTCTGCCCGGTTAAAGGCTTGTTGGTGGCCGGAGCGTGGTGGAACGTGGCGGCCACTCACTACTACACAATTCCGGATTCTAAACTATGCCACTTTGTCGTGCCGCAGTACAATATCCATGGTTCGTATCTCCTTGGGACTGAAAAAGTGACCCCATCCCCCACGACACCGGCAAGCTGCTCCAACGAAAGCTTCGCGTTCCACCACTACTTTTACCATGGTAGTATTGGCTTCTACGCGTTCTACGAGGAAGCGTCAGGCACGTACTGCTCGATCGACCAGACGGCTTACGTGAAGGTGCATGGCCTCGGGACGTACGACAGCAATGGTGCCCATTTGGCAAAGGATACCGGGCACACGACGTACAGGCGGTCGTATTGGTACGGCTTGTTCGGAGCGGTCTGGATTGTATATCGCACAATGTTGATGAGGCGCAGCTTCATTTCCTGCAAGCGATTTGGACGGAGGAGCGACATCATGCAGCAGCAAATGCGGTTCAAAGACGCCGTGGTATACGTCCAGGAGAGCCTCCGACTTTCAGCCCACGGAGCGAGGAACTATCACCGAGCTGCGATCCTTTATCTCTTGGTCGAGGGTCTTATGAGCGACTTGTTCATGCTTATCGCACAGGACGGATTCATCGCCAAGATTCAGTACATTTCACTGGGATACAACTTGTCCGGGGTGCTCTCGATGCTGTTCGAGATGGTGGAGAGCATGAAGTGGCTGAGTGAGAAATGGCGCTGCTTGGTCAAACGACTTGTCTTCAACTACGAGACAGCCTTGGTAGGCGAGTTTTGCTGCGCTGCAGCAATGCAGTCTTACCTCACGCTACTAAACAGATCGAGTCTCAAGCACACTCAGCCAGAAGAAGCCGCTTCGTACTACGTGTGGAGCTTGGCTGGCCACGGTGTCATTGTTCTCGGAATTGTAGCCACAATTGTATCGATTCGAGCGACAGGGGCCCTTATTGCGGTTAGATTCACCTTTGGTTCATTGAAGCCCTTCACAACCGCATGCAGCGTTGACTCTGCGCTGGGAGTCCGATCGAAGATGATACTACTGAGTGGATATGTATGGGTGGATGGCGAGCTCCGCTACAAAGTGGAGACTCTAAAGTCCTTTGGGATAGTGAGTATTGAGGAGGAAGACGGAGCGAGTTGTCTCGTTATTCACAAATTGCGCTGGCTGGCAATTCCTCGACAGGACATGATCGTCATCGGCGAAGTTCACGAAAGCCGAGTGCAACCCTGCATCGAGCGGCCCTGTACCGGCGTCGTGAGTGTGTTCGACAGAACACTAGGAGGCCCGACCAATACAGCACACGAATCTCCTCTGATAGAGAAACAGACCTTCGTTCGACAGATGCCTTATCGAACCTAGCCAACAATTCACTTGTTGCCATGGAGCTCCTCCTCCTTCACTTCATCCGCAATAACGTCGAGAATTTCCCTCTTTACCTCTCCCAGTCCTTCAAAGTCCAGTTGCTTCAACTCGCTATCCGCCGCGTTCTTCTGCGAGCGTGGCGTCTTCTGCAGTCGCTGGCGGAGCTCCGTCATCTGCTCACAGCACCCAAAAATGACAATAGATAAGAGCACAACTTCTTTAAGAACTTCCTCACTCAACCACTGCAACTCTCACATTGGTCACTCCGAGTGCAGCAGCAGCACCGCCCACCAGCAAACAGCAGCCTGTGACCGACACGAGCGTCACACCGAAGAGCGCCTTCCAGGCCGCAGTGCTGGGCGGCAAAGGCTTGTCCAGAGCCAGTTTCTTCTCGAACAGAGTGGCCGGCTTGGGCTTGAACTCCTTCTTGCTGGTGGACGTCTTGTCGGCGTTCTTCTCCTCCTCGGCCAGCGCCTTCTGCTGCTTGGTCATGCCGTAGTAGAAGCCTACGACACATTTTCACAATACAAACATGAATATATGTGTCACAACCTCGTAATACCACGAGAAACAGCTACAAATTGAGGTTAAATCGATGAGATAGACACCCACCGCCGCCTAGAAACACCGCGGCCACTACAGACACCGCCGTAGACACGACGCTCAGCGTGCGCTGCTGCTCCGCCGCCGCCACCTCCTCATCACCAGCGCTGCTCATTATCACTGACAACGGCAACAACTATTACAATAGCAAACGTATCTGATTCGCTAAAACTCATTCCCCAAATTTCACATTACATTAGCGAATCACATCTCGATTACTACGGCAGTTTCCAATTGATGGACAATGCGGCAGGTGGTCTCCGGCGCACATCGCTTCCTGAGCTCCAGACGCCGCCCCGAGCGCTTCTCGTCGCTGGCGGCTGCTCTGCGGGTCTTCCACGAGCAGAACGACCATTTTTTGGTGCCCTATACCTTCCAGGTGCCTCAGAATGAGCCCCAGAACGCAGCCACTTCTGTGTGGCCGGAAGACGCGCGCGGCCTGAATTTGGGGCGCGAGATCCGCAAATTCGTGGACATTTCAAGCTGTAAACCCTCCCCAAAGCTCGAGGAGACTCGCCGTCAATTGGACGCCGTCGGGTTTCCCAAAATTCACGACTGGAAGCGCTTCCAGTGGGAACAAATCTCTCTTTCGGCACTGAAAAATTACAAGAAGATGGAGGGCGATCTACTGGTGAAGCGGAACTTTGTGGTGCCTGAGGGGGATCCACAGTGGCCAAAGACGACGTGGGGGTTCAAATTGGGCTCTCAAGTCAATTCCTTGCGTCAGAAGAAGGAAAAGTTGGAGAAGTACCAGATTCAGGACCTCGACGACATCGGCTTCGTCTGGGTGGTGGCGGTCTACAATTGGGACGTCATGTTCATGCCAGCACTCAGAAGGTATCAAGAGCTCTATGGTCACTGTGATGTTCCCCAGAATTTCGTGGTTGGTGAAGGTGAAGATGAGGAGAACGAGTGCCCGGAAGGTCTGCGAGGGTTTCGCCTTGGAGCCGTGGTGAACCGCATTCGAGCCATCTCAGCGTTCTCCGACTACGTGGACCGTGACAGGAAGGAGCTGGAGAAGTTAGGTTTCTACCTCAACAGCAATGACCAGAAGTGGCAGGAGACCATCCTGCCAGCGTTCGAGACGTACCATCGAGTCTACGGAGACTGCAACATCGCCGCGCTCTTTATCGTGCCGGAAGAGGACCCATGGCCGCAGTCGACGTGGGGTATTCGACTTGGCTACATTGCGCAGAATATTCGCAACCGAGGCGACTTCTTCCGACAAGTTGCGCGGGACTTTGACAAGCTGGAGCAGATCGGGTTTGTCTGGAACGTGTCCGCGGCCAAGTGGGAGTACGGCGTGATGCCTGCGTTGACGACTTACGTGCTCGCGTTCGGGAGTGCCGACGTCCCCGCTGACTTCGTGGTGCCATCCGAAGACCCGTGGCCGGAGGCGTCGCGCGAATTGAAGCTCGGGGAGTTGGCTACAAACCCCGTGAGAAGGAAGCGATTCGCAGACTTCATTGAGATCGACCGCTTGCAGCTGGAAGCGCTCGGGTTCTTCTGGTCGGCCATGCCCGGTGATGAGATCAGCGAAATGGCTGAAGATGACGATCTCGGGGAGTGGTGATAAGATACCTAAATGGAATTCCGACAGCACGGACAAACCCGTACCCATTGTCAAGTGCACATATACGTTAACCTGTTTCACCAGTTCGCTTCGACAAAGGCTCGGCTCGAAGGTGTATGTTACTGCTGAGAGTGTGATTGTGGCAGGGATGCTGCCGATGATTATTGTTTATCTCGAGCGCTGCTGTGATTGTCGTCCTTGGGGGTTCCGTTCTGGTCATGTGTTGATCGATGTGCTTGGATACTTTTTTGGCATGGTAACGACCGGGTTTGCCATGCACGCGTACGACTGCGATCTCGTATTATGCTACAAGCTGCTGCGGCACACTCGCTATTTCGCACGCGATTCTGCACGGATTCCCCTCCATGGCCAGGAAGATAGACTGCGAGTGGAGAGTCGACTCGATGCCCCTTTAACGCCACGAAAGACAACAAAAATGCTTGAGTAGCGCTGATTTTAAGGATAAGCGTTCAAGATCTTAAGAATATTAAGTAAACGTTAAATGAAAATCCGAGCATGGATAAACTCGCCAAACCCGGGCTTAGTTAGTGTCTCGTCGAGTCGTAGCGCTGTAGACGAAAAGGGCCGAAGCTGCCTCGATTAAACCTCGTGCTTGGAAATACACCGCTGAATTGCTGGAGTGCAACCGCTCGGTGCAAATAACTGTCATCTGACAGTCAGTCGCCCGAATCCGGAAGCTCCGAGGCCGCATTATGCTGTCCAAGCGCAATAGCTTGAGCGATGATCTCATCATATGGCGCGGCATGAGCGCGCACAATGTATCCATCCAAGTTCGGCAGGGCCTTTCGTTTGCTATGCGGCGGCGCAAGATCTGGTTGGAGATCGTAGACGTTGAAGTGCACAAAAAGTCTAAGTCAATTATTGGCCAGGTAAGGAGCTAGCAGTGCAGGCAGGACGTGTCATATCTTTTCTGACAACGCAATTCTACGGGCTTAGAACTTTGAATTCTCCACGAGACGCATGACAATGTCTTCTCATGGCAGTGGAGCTTCCAATAAGATTCCAGAGGGCGAAGGCACCGCCGGTGAAGACGATGCGTCCTTCCCACCGGTTTCCCAGGACAGCCGAATGCCCGAGATCATAGAGGCGGTGGTGGCTGGACTCCCCATCCAAGTCAACACATACAACAGAATTATCGTACGCTGCGCTCTTCTGGTTCTTGAACTGAGTATTTCAAGCTGAACTCACCCTGCTGCTGCATCTTTTGCAGATCAAACAGCTTTGCCTGGTCATTGCCTCCGAGCTCCGATTGAACGCAGAGGCTGGCAAAGTGCTGTCCTTCATCCTTTATCGCGACCAGGTTCCACCCAACCGGCGTCCATGTATCCCTGCTGGGGCCGAGTCGTACGCAATCTACACCGATGTCTTGGAGTCGTGCATCCAGTTGCGTGATCCGAGCGTCTACAAGCACATGCTATCGATCGGTGTGGACCGATACGTCGTCTGGATGCTCTTCCAGGTCTTCATTTCCGACACGCTGCCACTCGTGCTGCGTGTTCGCTTCCTCGACCTCGTGCTTGTCCGAGGCTGTGTCGCGCTCGTGTCAGCAATGCTGGTAAGAAACTACGGTAGCAGCAATGCAATAACAGTTCGTATTGGCACTGACAGTGTGGTGCTGCGTGGAATAGGCGTACCTAGCGTGGCGAAAGGAGGCATTGCTGCAGACCAAAACGAGCACGGAGTTCGTCGCTTGCATCAAGCAGCCGCACACCGACTGGCTGACGAACGACATGCTCGAAGCCTTCTGGGCCAAATGCGTGAGCATGCACACGCAGGCATTCTTGGACTTGTACGTGGAGAATACCTCGCGCATGCGACTCAAAGCGGTCACGATAGCTCGCCAACGAGACGTCTACGAGCCTCTGCTGAACCAACATCAACGCGATATCTTCCACCACTCGCACTACTCGTGGATCGGGTTCGACGTGGACCATACGCTCGTGGAGTATCGCCTCCCGTATCTGCTGCGAACGAGCTTCACCCAAGCTACCAAGGAGCTCCAGAAGAACTTCCCAGGTCTCCGTACTGTTCCTCCAGCGGAATGGTTGCCTTCAATCGCTCAGCGCGGAATTGTCGTCGATACAGCTCGTGGTAATTTCTTGCATGTAGGGGAGGACGGCTCTATCCAGCGCGCCTACCATGGTTCCCATGAGATTTCGTACTACAGCGTCAGCATGCTGTACGGCGACACCGTTACCAAAGATGACAACATTAGCGGGTTGCTTGGCGGTTCATCAAAGCTGATACATCTCCACACAGCCGCAGACATTATCTACGCCCCTCTGTACGCCTGGATCGTGGATGCCTTCGATTCAGGAGTGGTAAGTGCTCTGATTCTGAAAGTTTTCGTTCTCAGGACTCGAGTACTGATCCTTAGTTGTCGATAGATTGTCATGGAGGAGCTCGGAGCAACGCTTTATCTCGTCCCGGATATAGTTGACCAGCCTCAGGGCAACCCGAACGACCCCTTCCTCGCGAACAAGGCAGTGTATGTGTCACTAAGCGGCTTCGCGCTCAAGGCTGCTCGATCATTTTATGCTGGGGCTTTCTGGAAGACAATTACCACGTCTCCAGATCTGCTGATCCAGCCGAATGCCGACATCGTGACGCTGCTTGAGATCCTCAAGACCAATCTCGGCAAGCAGCTTTACATCCTCACGAACGGGTCGTGGACGCATTGCAACACGGTGATGCAGTTCGCAGTGGGGCGCAACTGGCTCAACTACTTCGATCTCGTGGTGACGGAGGCCAACAAGGAGGTCTTCTTCGACCAGTTCAACGACACATTCTTCTCGGTACGCCACGATTACGCTGCGCATATTTTGAAGAGTCCATTGCTAACGTGCTGGTTTGCTGCAGGAACTGAACGTGGAAGGCGTAGCAAATAACGAGTCGGTAGGAGGCCGCACCCCGAAAAAAGTGGTCAAGACGCTGCACCGCCGCAAGATTTACGCGCACGGCAACGTCAAGACCCTCATGACCTTCTTCAGCGAGAACGCGCGCAGACCGACATCGACACACCTGACCGTCGAGAAAGACCAGGTACGTTTCAATCTCACTGCCGCAGGTTGCATCAACCCCCACACACGCTGACCCCCACACACGCTGACCCCCACACAATACAGCGCATCTGCTACTTTGGAGACCACGTGATGCAGGACATTCTCCTCCCCGCGCGCTTCACGACCATGTGGGACCTCGTAGCGGTCGTGAAGGAGATCCAGAACATCGGCCAGCCCGCCGAAGCCGTACGCTGCAACCTCTTCCACCTAAATAGCCCCCACCAAGCTCACCGCTAACACCATTTCGTTGACACAGGAGGAGGCCTTACCGGGCTGGTTCAAGCGCTGGGTGTACCGCGGGGCTGGGATAGCCAGTCCGGACCTGCGCTCGTCCTTCTTCTTCCTCGGCCCCAGCGGCTCGGCGTCCTATTTCGGCAAGAAAGTGTGCGCCGCAGCCACGCTCTGCCTCCCGTCCGTCGGCAAGCTCGCGCACTGCGACAGCGTGCTCAAAGTGGGCACCGTAAGTGTCTTCATTCCCTTGCCAAGCTGCTCGTAGACTATATTAACACCCCTTCCATTGGCGCGTGGCCAGATCCTGCAGGGGGGTCGCTACGTGCCCAACAGCGAGCTGGGCGCCATCCCCAAGCGCGTGATCGCCAAAGTGCGCTCCATCGACGCCAACAGCAGCCGCGCGTGACCAAATTTGTGGGTTTATGGGTCTCTCTTGCTCTCTCTATTCGCCGCGCCGCTTCTTGTCCATGTTCTTCCACATGGAGGACGACGGTTTCTCCGGCTCGGGGTCGGCCTCGCCCTTCTCCACAGCCTCGCGGCGCCTCGACGTGCGCTCCCTGCCCTGCTGCGCCATGGAGCTGTACCGCGGCAGGTAGATGCCCAGCGCGCCTGGTCAAGAGATATTGTTTAGTCTATACATACCGCATGCTTAGTGTGTCCATGCCATGAGGGATGAAGCAAGCGCACCTGCGACGCCCACCAGCGTGACGCCGAAGCCCAGGATCACGGCCTTGCCCTTGTTCATTGTTGTCGTGCACCTCAAACTCTGCTGCGCCTCAAGACCAAAAGCTCGAAATGGTCCGTCACAAAAACAATCACTCCCATTTGCGTGGCCCACCTCAAAATGACCGGAGCTTCAAGCTGCCCAGCACCTGCAAGGCGCCGTCCTGGGAGCCGAGAGCAGCGGATGTGCGCTGGGTCGGCGCGCGGGCTGCGCGTCGGGCGTCGAAGCTACACTTTTAAAGAGGCATTGAACCTAAAGCGGGTACTTAGTAGCCCCAGTTTAATGGATCGACGGGGCATTAAGTTTCCGTGTTGATAGTTGAGCCCCGTTGGCACTGATTCATTGCTAATTGAAGTTTCCTCGAACGAGTGCAGGCCCCTTCGGGTTCTGCGGCAACGATGGCAGCGGTGTCTCCGACGACTCCTTCGCTGCAGCTTGGGTCGTAGTATCGTCCCTTTCGTGGAATTTGACGTGGTTGTGGCTTGACGCACCTGCAACCGGATCCGACTCGTGTTGCTGTCGTGGTCGCTTTGCAGCCTTGAGGGCATCCGGGTGTGCCAGGACGAAAACCAAGTCGTCTTCAGCCAGAACCGTGTCGCTGTCGGGGCCTGTGGCCACATAGGGCAACTGAAACGGAGTTCCAGTGCCGCGGTACAGCCCAATAGCGACGATTTCCTTGGTGGAGAGCAGATGCAGGAAGAGCTCGCCGAAGGTTCTCTGGACGAATTTGGACGGCACTGGAATCTGCACTATCGAGCTTGCGGTGCATGAGGAGAAGTTCCTGTCATCGCCTGATAGAGCCGCGGGACGGCCATTCTCGGAGAACAGGAGCTCGTAGATCAAGCGGATCAGCCCCGGCGTGAAGAAACTCTGGCACAGCATGTTGTCGAAGATGTCGTCCGAGAACCCGTAGCCTGCCGCGAAGAATGGCAGCAGGGCCGATCTGCGCACGTCGAAGTAATGCCGTCGCGTGGACTCCAGCTCCCGCCGGATGAGTGTGCGTTTGGTGTTGATCCGTTTGCTCAGCTTGACTTGCTGGTCGAGAGAGATGATGTTGTCGGCTCCACGCAGGTAGATGTTCTTGACGACGTTTGCCTTACCAATTTTGCGTTTGAAGTCGCTGGCGTCGTCGGTGATGCGTTGCTCTGACAGACTCGCGGACGGCACAACACCCACAGTGCAGATCGGGGCAGTGGCCATCACAAGGGAGTCGAGCTCTTGGCGGTGCTGATAGGACGTGGCTGTCCGCTTCTTCAGCGTTGAATCGAGGATTTGCATCGTTCGAGGCATGTTGAGCTCGACCATGGGCATGAGACCCGAGGTGGTGTCCATACCGTTCTCTGCCTGAATCGATAGGACAGCCAGGTAATGGAAAATCGTCTGGCTATCAACAGCTTCACCGTCGACATCCTGGATGTTGGACTTGTCCGCGAGAACTACGCAGCGGCTGGCGTCGAGGATATTCGCGCGAAGCAGCTCGCGCTTGGAGTCTCCAGTTGCCAGCATGATGAAAATATCGTCGAATTCGCGGAGCTCTCGACAAGTGGCGCTCGCGCTTTTGGATGAAGACCACGACAGAAAGATGATCGGGTGATAATCGCTACTACCCGACACGTGGCGCTCCAGACGCAGCATTTGCGCGAATGCTACCGTGGAGGTTATGTCGAGGTCCGAGACGACGATGATGTGGTTTCGGATGCTGTCGCCTGTGGACGGGTACTTGGCCTCTTCGATGAACATCTCGTCTACTATCCTGAGTTCTGCCGAATCTGCAACGCTGTGTTGTCTTGTCAGCTTCGAGATGCCATGTTTCGGTGGCGAATGCTTGGACATCGCGTTGTACTTTACCCCTCGCGTTGGCAGCACATTCCCCTTGGCTAGCCAGGTCTTCAGCTCGTTGGAGATGGAGCTCGTAAGTGTGAGCCTTTTACTCTCGCTCATCACGTAGACCAGTTGACCTGGACGCATGATAACTGAATTACCGGGGTTGCTGAGCATCTGCGCGGGGTGTTCCACTTGGTGTGTCCACGAGCATCTGCGCAGTTGTGGTATCGCTTTGGTGCTGGTAGGGGATTTCTTCAATGCCGACGAGGATGACGCGTTGCTCGGTTGCTCGTACACTGCTAGCAGGATGACCTCTCCATACGAGATTTTATAGAGAAGTTCGCACGCCTGGCTGAAGGTGAGACCATGGAACACCGACGGTAGCGTGGTGGCGTAGACTTCCAGGGCCATTCCTTCAGCGTACTCCTGCTCCCAGCTCGTGAGCGTCTGCCGGTTGACCAGAGTCGTGGATCGGAACAAATTGCTGATGAGAGTTACGAGTCCTGGACAGAGGCAGCTCTTGGCTAGCAGACTGATCTTGATCTGGTCCAAGCACAGCAGTTGATCCGCGTCCACCCCGTTGATGTAGTCCAAGAAGACAGGACTAACTATCTGGGTGTACACCGGCAGGTCCGGGTTATAGTTTCGAATGGCGAGCAAGCGCATGACCGTCTCGGCGTCCGTCTGCTTGGTATTTGGTGCTGCTTTGGAGGCAAGGACGAAGCACGCCCGCGCTGCATCGGCGCCCACTCGACACATGTCCTCTTCACTCATCACTGATCCTTTGATGTACGTGACTCTGTTCTGAAGCACGGGGTGATCTAACAAGGTGATGATCTCCTCTGTAGGCTCTCTGGGTCCAACAATCACACAAGGAAGCTCGACTATGGACGGGTCGATCTCGTGCTGTGTTCCTGCTGGGCCGGCGAACGAGTTCATCGATCCCAAGGCGCGATCTGGGTGGTAAAACTCTCGGAAGAAATTCAGCAGACAGCGGGGCTCCATGACGTGACCAACGACCAAGATGTGCGGCTTCCCCACCGACGGATGATACGTCGTTCGGAAGTGCGATTGCAGAGCCATGAGGTGAGTGAGGCGGGAGATCTCCGTAGGAATCATGGTGAACGACACGATGATAACACCCAGAGCGACTGCACGCCCTCCAGACGTGACCGGCACGATGTCACCGTAGCCGACCGTCGCGATGGTGACCACGATGAAGTACAGAGCCTCACCGAACGTCAGATCTGGCTGGGCTCCTTCGTTCCCTTCGACGGCGTGGAAGATACCGGCAGCTACGAAGATCAAGCAGGTCGTGAGGAGGATGATCGTGTACACTTGCTTCTGTACGGCGGATACTGTTTGGGACCCAGCCACGCGCACGACGCGGATGAGTCTGAGCATGCGCATGACTCGAACGAAGCGGATGAAGGGCAAGGACTTGCCGTAGCCTGTACCGAACTGGTCCACTAGCGCCGGGAAGATCGTGAGCGCGTCCATGATCCCGTTCACGCTGAAGACGAACTGCCACCGGTTCTCGCAGCAGTAGAGGTTGAGGAAATAGTCGGAAGCGAAGACGATCATGGAGGTCGTGTCGAATGTAGGCATCTGGCCTTCATCGTGCGGCTCGTATGTCTGAACTACGTACGTGGCCGACACCAGCAGAGCAAAGACCGTCTGGAATATCTCCCACGCAGTCCCGAGCTTGGAAAACTTGAGCTTCATGCGCACTCGAGTCCGCAGCGGGTAGTGGCTCGGAATCCCCTGGAACACCCGGAATCGTGACAAGAACCCTGTCGCTGGGTATCCGCGCTCCCTTAAACTCCGTCGGGACATCTCGGAGGTCAGAGGAGCAGGCATTGTGCTTGACTTGAGTTGACCGAGAGTACAAGGAAGCGAAGGCGACAGAGCGATGGCAGTCGTTTCAAGAAACCTACGCTATTTCGGTGGCTGACTGATAGCGTTGAAGTTGTTCCGTCTCAGGTTTTGTGCCATGGCCAAAAAATACGTGGTTTGGATGGGTTTCTTCATGTATTGTGAGCAAGACAAGGTTAAGTGATGGATTCAGCTTATGTACGGCAATTGGCGAGTGGAAACCGGCTTTGGCCTTATCAGGGCTTCATCCGATGCCTCCGCTGGACCTCCGAGCGTGGTTCCGAACACGCTCACAATACCGACACAGGGGCGCTCGATGCAAGGCTGGACTCGATATCCGTGGACTTCCCCGATGACGATCATATCCTGCCGCGGAAATGCCAGCCAGTGGAGTTTGTGGAGGACGAGGAACTGCGTGTCGTCTTCCTCCTCCATGCTCATGATCCCGAATGATTTCAGAGTTTCTACTTTGTAGCAGAGTGTGCCGTTCTCCCAGACATATCCACCGAGGAGAATCATCTTAGAGCGAACTCCCAGTGCAGCGTCCACACTGCATGGCGACGTGAAGAGCTTCAGTGACCCGAAGGTGTATTTGACAGTAACGATGGCTCCTGCCGCTCGAATGGATAGAATGGCGGCGACAATGCCAAAGACGATGACGCCGTGACCAACCAAGCTCCACACGTAGTACGACACAGCTTCTGCCGCTGGCTGAGTGTGCTTGAGACTCGATCGGTTCAACAGCGTGAGGTAGAACTGCATGGCTGCTGCACAGCAAAACTCTCCGACCAAGGCCGTCTCGTAGTTGAAGAGCAAGCGCTTGACGAAGCAGCGCCACTTCTCACGCAGCCAGTTCATGCTCTCCACCATTTCAAACAGCATCGAGAGAATCCCAGACAAGTTGTATCCGAGTGAGATGTACTGAATCTTGGCGACGAAGCCATCCTGCGCGATGAGCATGAACAAGTCGCTCATAAGACCCTCGACCAAGAGATAAAGGATCACAGCGCGGTGATAACTCCTCGCTCCGTGGGCTGATAGTCGGAGGCTCTCCTGGACGTACACCAGAGCGTCTTTGAAGCGCATTTGCTGCTGCATGATGTCGCTCCTTCGCCCGAATCGTTTGCATGAAACGAAGCTGCGCCTTATCAGCAGCGTCCGATACGCGATCCAAATCGCGCCGAACACGCCATACCAGTACGACCGCCTGTACGTCGTATCCCCGGTATCCTCAGCCAAATGGGCACCATTGCTATCGTACGTTCCAAGGCCATTCACTTTCACGTACGCAGTCCAGTCGATCGAGCAGTACGTTCCCGACGCCTCCTCGTAGAACGCGTAGAAGCCGATACTCCCGTGGTAGAAGTAGTGGTGGAACGGGTAGCTGTCGTTGGAGCAACTCGCCGGTGTCGTGGAAGATGGAGATACTTTGTCGGCTCCGAGGAGATACGCTCCGTGGATATTATACTGCGGCACAACAAAGTGGCAGAGATTTCCAGCGGGAACAGAGTAATAGTGCGTGGGCACGACGTTCCACCACGCACCAGCAATGACGAGGCCTTCGACTGAGCAGAGATCGTTGAGATGCGTTGTATTGCCTACTGAACCCTCGGGGGCGACGAGATCTTGCGTGATCTTGTGCGGCGCCATGAACTTGGCGTAGCTTCGAGCCTGCAGAATCAACGGTACCACCCCGACGCTGACCCATACACACAGCAGCAGACGTTTTGCCGTGAGGTGGGCTGTCCCGTCACGGAGAGCTTTGATTTTGTCGACGTATTTCCCATTGACTACGTAGACGCTCGACCTCCTCGGCGAAACGAAGCCCCTGAGGCTTCGAATCGACTCCATGTGCGCGTTGGTATTTGCTCTCGCGTCGACTTGAGTAAATGTTCAAGTGGCGTCTCTCGAGGTGATGCCTCTTGCTATATATGGGTAAGAGAACAAAATAAGTAAGAGAACGTATTCATAGATCGCTGAAAGCATGAAGTAGGAGGAAACCTACCGCGAGCTCATACTAGAGTGACTGAGTCAGTATCGGGAGGACGAGATACTATTTTGGTGGTGTATTTTTGTGGTGAGGCCTACCCTGCTGCACCAGCTTCAGATAGTTATGGTCGGCGGACTCCAATTGAGAATACGTGTAGGTCAACAAAGGGTTCGCTGTTGCCTCCTTTCGGGCTACTCTCATAGGTTTTCGCTGCTATCACTGCTGAGCCAGCGGTATGTCCACGTACACGTAGTAAGTTACTATGCGAGAGAGCAACCGACTTCAAATGTTGTCAAACGAACAAAAGTAGACCTGTCCAGCCGTACTGCAATTACTTTCCAGCATGCTTTACGTTATTTTGTTCCTGTCCCAGCTACTTAAGTGCACAAAACGATTCGGAAGCTTGTGCGTTCAGACGAAAGTAAAATCACTACTTGACAAAAGGACGGTCTCCGGTAAGAAGGGCAAAGCGAATCGATACTGTGTGCTTTCGCCGACATGCTTAAAACGGAATGTAATTATTGTACTTATGAGTTGAAGTACCAAATAAAACTAAGTCCCCCAAGCACTGTAGTAGCATATGTAGCATTTGTGTAATTCGAGAAAGTTAACGTTCACCCTAAAGCCTTTTTTACGGTTTGGAATGCTTTTCAAGCCGGCACTTCACGAGCAAAAGCTTGTTTATTCAGGACCGCTGCCGCATCAGAAGCACCTGTCCGACTCACAAGCGCCTTACCAAACATGCTCACAACGCTAGAACATGGTCGCTCGATGCAAGGCTGCACTCGTAGGTCGTGGACTTCGCCGATGATGATCATATCTTGCCGAGGATTTGCCAGCCAATACAGCTTGTGAAGAGCTAGAAGCTGCGTTCCGTCTTCTTCCTTCGCGCTCATTATCCCGAAGGCCTTCAGCGCTTCAACTCGGTAGCAAAGCACGCCATCCTCCCAAACGTATCCGCTCAGTAGAATCATCTTCGACCTCACCCCCAGCACGGTATCCACGCTGCAAGGCGACGTCGACGTCTTGCTCTTGGATGAAAACATGTACGTGCGGCTCCGCTTTGGCTCCATCAGGCGTACACGAAATATCGAAATGGGGCTGATCTTGGAATGGAGCTGAGGCAGCCTCGACAGGTTAGAAGCGTGTCCGTTAGCTTTCCTCCATTCGCCGTAGCTTCCTTCCGTCGCGTGCGTTAGTAAAGACAAAGAAATTGTCAAACTATACCCTACTTGCCGTGTAATTTGGTGCGCTTCCCGTTTGTCCCCACCCCATCGCATCGCCACGACAACAGTCACATCCGAACAGCAAATCCCCTCGCATCCACGTTTTCCCAGGATCTCAAAGCAATGGGCGCACCGAACACTCCCGGAATCGAGCAGGGTTCTGCCGCTTTGTTTCTTCCTGTCGGTGGTGGTTGAACCGTTGGATGAGTTCGCCCTTCCGCTCGATTATCTTCTCCTGAGCTAGAGTTTGCTTCCTGTACAGTAACACCACCGCCATCGTAAAAATCTACGTTAGATCAGCTTGAACAACTGAGCCAAACTGACGCAAGACGAACCTGAGACGCTGCAGACTCGACGCGATGTAAGTTGCGAGGTCCGTCACGAACGTCTGGACGAACAAACAGAGCTGCACGATCTGCTCGGACGTTGTTGTGATACTGAGATCCTGCAGGGCCGTTTCCGCGTGCTCGCGGTGGTTGTTTATGGTTTGCTCGAGATCAGCGAAATTTGTCAGTTGTGGGGAATGGGAATCGGCCTTCAACGCCGAAAGATGCGAAGGTTCGGAGAGTACTGGAGTGGAAGTTGAAGTCTTGAGCCCCGTTGCTGGTGTTTCCTGCAGAAACGGCAGGAACCCGGACTTGGCATTGGCAGGGGGGGTGAGACTCGCCGTGCTTGAGTGCGGGCGTTGGTGTTGAAAGATAGCCGACATGATAGCTGGCGTACGTGAGGGCGACACGGGACGGTGCTCAATAGCAGCTGAACCGAGCGTGGCCATTCCCTGTTGGCAGCTCTGAAGCGATTTCCACGTTGAAATAGCCGCTTCCAGCATAGATTTGAGGCTGTCCGCGTTCTCCTGCTTGAGTTTGGACTCCAGTTGAGCTCGCCACGCTTTATTCTCCTGACGTCGTTCTTCCAGCAGACCCTCCACCTGCTCTCTCAGCTTTGACCGTTGCTCAGTTGAAGTCAGCAGCTCCTGCTGCTGTCGGGTTAACTGCTTCTCAAGCGTTAGGATCGAGAGCTGATTGCGTTCCAGATCCGCTCGCTGTCGGGTGTTGCCCACCGTGAGGGTCGCCACCGTCTTCTCCAGCTTGGCGTTCTCACAGCGCAGCAGCTCCGTCTGTCGGTCGATCTCGATCTGAATGTTGCGGCGCTCCAGCTCCGTCTTGGCGATGCGCTTGCGCCACTTCTCCCTGTCGTGTGCGATCTCCGCCTCCCCCGCTAGCAACCGCTCGACTGCCAGATCCCGCTCCCGCTCAACCTCCAGTTGATTCTGCTTGGCGATGCCTTGGTCCAGTTGCGCCTCCTTCGCCAGCTCACGAGCCACGTCTCGGTCTTGAATCGCTTCGTTGCGTAAGCGAAGAGCTTCCTCCTCTCGCTCCCGACACTCTTCCTGCACCTGCTGCAGCTCGGCGATCACCTTTTCGGCCAGTCTCCAGCTCTGCGCGGCGTTGCTCCTCGCTGTCTGCTCGCACACCAGCTCGTTCTGCAGTTGAGAAGCTTGAATGTGCAGCGTATCGTGCTCCTTAGTGAGCGACTCGACTGCAACCCGGAACTCCTCCACCTGCTTGCTCAACGCCGCGCAGTCTTCCACCACCTGCGCGCGTAGCACCACGAGACGATCCCGCTCGATCCGTAGCTGCTCTCGTTCTTGCTTGGCTTGCTTGAGCGACTTGACCGCGTGGTCGTACTCCAGCTCGCAGTCTTTGAGCTGCTGTTGCGCCAGATCTCGCTGGGAGATGGCGATATCGCGCTCCTTCTCGCACGTGTGCTTGCCTCCGTAGTGCTGGAGCTGCTGGCCGAGGTCGAAGTGGCCCCAGTGCATGGCCAGATCCAGCGGCGTGTGTCCGTTCTTGTTCTTCTCGTTCAGCGCGGCGCCGCGTCGAACGAGCTCCTCCATGATCTTGGGGCGATTCCACAGCGACGCCGTGTGCAGCAGCGAGTTCCAGCCTTGGTCCTTGAGCGTGACGATGCTGGCCCCGGCAGCCTCGAGCTCCTGGAAGAGCTGCACGATGTAGCCGTCCGTGTCGTCCGCTTCCCAGATGGCCTCATTGTCGAACAGGTCGGTGATCTTCTCTTGGGTGGCGGCATCCAGCTCACTCTGTAGCCGTGAAGGCATCCCTTATTCCAAGAATTATATGAACCAAAGGCATACAAAGCAAACCAGGTTGTGGCAGGCAACTCGACTATATTTAACAAGGCGAGCGCGAGTTCATCATCACTGTGAACCTCCTCCGCATCGCAGCATTTGTTGGTGCTCCTGCTTCCACTACAGCAAACTCGTTAGCAGTCTGTCACGTTGGTACCATGTCACGTCTTTAAAGCTTGTGTACCTGTTCCATCGTCACCGACGAGATGCCAACTTGCGCCCGAACATCAGCCCGGCGCTGAGCCAACCGCGCAAGCTCACGCTGCGTCTTCTACACAACTTATAACACATTTGAGCATGTATCAACGCCTTACAAAAGGCTAACATGTGCCTACCTCTCTCATCTGCGCGCACCGTGCTTGAAATTCCGCCAGGCGACGGTCTTCTGCGAGCCAAAACACGTCTGTAAGGGCATCACTCCATGATCCCCACCTCTTCGGACACACCTTGCTCTGTAGTCGATGGATTCGTCGCCTCTGGTTCTTCATCGGCAGCTTCGGGGCGATCTCCATCGTTGTCGTGGTTCTTCATCTTAACGCGTCCTCTCAGGATCCAAGGAGACTCTCCAGTCAGTTAGGCCAAAAAGATCAGTGTGGCAGTCCGGACGAACAGGACGCATTTACCTTTGAAGACGCCGGTGTTGAGGGGCAAAGGATGCATATTAAAGGGTTTACTCGCTCCGAAACTATACCGCTGCTTCCTGTTCAACTCCGAGGGGCTTCCACATTGGCGCAGCTATAGCCATAGCAGACTTAAAGCTTAGTTGGTCTTGCGGCCGTTCACGTCGGCGATGAACTTGGCGTAGAGCAGACTGTCGCGGCCGGTGTCCATGTTGCCCATGGCCAGCACCGCCATCAGCAGCATAGATCCAAGCAGCACCGACGTCCACAAGATGATCTGGAACTCGGCGATGTCGGGCATGGAGACGGCGCCAGCAGCCGTCGTGTTGGTCTTGGACGTCGAGTTGTCGTCGCCCACCTCGTCCCAGACGCTGCCGCTCCGCGCGGACAGGTCCACCACCTCCTCGTCTTCGTCCTCATCACTCTCCTCACTGTCACTGTCGTCACTGTCACTGTCACTGGCACTGGCACTGTCGCTCTCCTCTTCTTCCTCTTCCTCCTCCTCGTCCTCATTGGTGAGCCCCGACACCAGCTTCCTGTTGCGCGCGCGACGCGAGAGCGCCGCCACCTGCTGCGTGGCCGCCGGCAGCTTGCCCGTCATCACCTGCGCCGCTGCAGCCCCCGACTTCTTCATCAATTGAGCCAAAAACTCAGCGACTGTGGTGGCCACGGCCTGCTGCGCCCTCTTCTGCTTGTCGCCCTGCAGCCCCGAGACCCCCACGACGTACAGCGTCTTGCCGCTCTGCTCTGTCTGCTGCTTGAGCTGCGCCGAGAGCTGCGCCACCTGCGCCAGCTCGCGGGCAAACGCCACGTCCGCGGCGTCAGCGGCGTCCAAGAAGCTGTTGGCCTTGAGCACCTCCTGCACCAGCTCCGCGGCCACGGACGGCGCGTCAGCTTCCACGCTCGCACACAGCGCGGCGCTGCCGGCGCAGCGCACGCCCGCGTGGTGCTTGGCTTGGAACTCCTGGGCCACCGCGGCCGGCACCTTGACGCTGGCGGCCTGAGATGGGTACACGGCGTGGAAGGCCGCGGCGCCGTTGAAGGCGGCGCTGACGGCGTCCAACGCGCCCGCCGACGCATCGCCCAATAGCAGCAGCGCGTACGCTTGGCTGTGCGTGAAGACGTCGGCCTGCAGGGGGCTCTGCACGGCACTGGAGCGCGTGGACACGCGGCCCGTGCGCAGGCCGATGGAGTCGAGCGCCAGGTCGGCGAGGCCCGCGGCGGAGAAGGACGGAGAGGAGGAGGAGGAGGAGGCGGCGGACGCGTGGAACTGCGCGGTGGGGGCGTTGCCGAGGACCAGGACTTGGTCGGCGAGCGCGGAGGAGGCCGCGGCGGCCGCGGAGAGCAGCAGGAGCGGGAGCGACGGCATCGGCGAGCGGTTCCCGACGGTTGAGGCTTTGGATCTCTCTCTATTGGGAACAAAATGGAATGAGGGCAATCGGCCGCATCTTTGACGGCGCAAGGGGATTGGTGGGAAATAAAGCAATTGGTGGAGATGTTAACTACGGGGATGGGGAGTTTGTTTATGGGATGGATGGAGATGATATGGATTTTACTATATTGGGCCCGTGCTCGACTCAGCGAGTGGAATTGTCTTCATCATGGAGAAGGTTTCTCCCCATGAGGGCAGGGCTATAAGCCCGACAAGTGACGTCTCGTTGAAGAGGACGCTGCCGGCGTCTTGCCAGTCGAGCGTCCACCTGAAAATCTCCCTCTCTCAAATTTCGACCAATCACACGCCAGTCGCGCAACGCATCCCACGGTCTCCGCTGGACGTGCGCCACGCACTTGTTACAGGTGCAGTTGCCTTTTGACACACAAGAGCGAGACCAAGAGAGATGGCGCACCCGAGCACCGACAAGCTGGAGCTCGTCCCCGGGCCGTCGCAGATGTTGCCCAACGTCCTGGCGGCGCTGGGGTCCGCGTGCGGCTCGTCCGACCTGGACCCGGCCTTCTGGGACGACTACCTCGCTCTGGAGCGCGACCTGCAGCACTTCCTGCACGCCGAGAGCTGCAGCGTGGCCATCCAGTCGGGCGAGGCCATGCTGTGCCTCTGGGGCGCGCTCAAGAGCACGCTCAAGCCTGGGGACGTGGTGGTGTGCGCCGCCAACGGCCTCTTCGGTGCGGGCTTTGCGGACATGGCCAAGGCGCTCGGCGCCGACGTGCGCGTGGTGGAGTGCGACTGGCGCAAGTCCATCGACGTGGACGCGCTGTGCGCCGAGATCCGCCGCTCCGACCCCAAGCTTGTGACGGCCGTACACTGCGAGACGCCCAGCGGTCTCCTCAACAACCTGGAAGGCGTGGGGGAAGTTGTGGCCAACCACACGACGGACGGACTCTTCCTCGTGGACTTTGTGTCGAGCGCGGGCGGAGCGCCGCTGAACGTGGACGCGTGGAAGATCGACTTGGGTCTGCTAGGCCCCCACAAGGCGCTGTCTGGTCCCCCGGCGTTGGCGTTCACGACTGTGAGTGAGAAGGCGTGGAAGCGCATCAACGAGGTCAAGTACGTGGGCTACGACGCGCTGCAGCCGTTCTACCGCGCGGCGCAGCAGGAGCCGCGTCTGCTGCCTTACACGCACAACTGGCAGGCGATCCGCGCCGCTCTGGTGGCGTGCGATAACATCAAGAAGGAGGGAGGCATCGACGCGGTTATTCAACGACACGCGGAGGTGAGCGAGTTCGCGCGTCGTGAGGTGCAGGAGACGCTGGGACTCAAGGTTTACGGCGAGGAGAGCGCGGCGTCCCCCACTGTGACTGCTATTGAGCTCCCGGAAGGTGACTGGGCTGCGCTGCAGGAAGAGCTCCGCGCCCAGAATCTGCTGGTTGGAGGTTCGTACGGACCGCTGAATGGCAAGGTGCTGCGTCTGGGCCACATGGGCTCACAGGCGAACAAGGAAACTGTGACCAAGGCGATTGAGATCATCGGTGCTGCGCTCGAGAAGATGAAGAAGAGTAGACTGCTGCACTGATTCAAAATGCGTACTAGATAGAGTGCAGTGGAGTTATTGCGTTAGTTCTGCTCTGTGGCAAGGAGAAGCGGGTTGTCGTGCTGCTCTGGTTTGAAGTCGTAGTGTATCAAGCAGACCTACCCAAAGAAAATAAAAGCACAATTGGTGAGTCTAATTGCATAAACTCTAGTATTTCCTGACTGCAGCAGACTTACTGCTTCTGGCTCGCCTTCGGGTGCTCCTTCAATACCAAACTCTGCCAGAGTCATCATGTCGTGTCTTAATTCGTTCGCCTCGGAGAAATGGCCCTTACAGATCTTGAGGTCGGTGATCGGTCCGTGCTGCTTTTGAATTTGTTGCTGCGAGCACAGTGCCCAATGTTAGGGGGAAATCGGGACGTATTTCGCCGTAGCACCAGCTCACCTTGATGGCAAACAATCGCGTGGTGGTCTTGGTGCGAAACTTGAAGTTGAGATAACTCCAATTCAGCAGCTAGGGGAGCGAGCTCGTTAGCAAATATACGTTGACCAAAGAGGATGCTGGCGAGTCAAAGCTACCGTACTCGCATGTCGAGCGTCACGTAATGAATTGGGTCCGCCTCGATGATAATCGGAGGAGTGTTGTCTATCAGCTATGCGACCGCAATAGGCAGAACGCAATACGTCAGCGATACCGTGACTAGAATCTTACCAAGATGTTGAAAAGCTCACCGAAGCTCCGTCAACCCCGCCATCACCCGCATCTGCAGCCGAGCTGGACTTCTTGGACTTCTTGGCCTTCTTCTTTGGCGCCATGATCGATGCGGTGCTAGAAGAAGCACAACGGACGAGTGCCACCTCCTCCGGTCAAAAATAGTTGACACACCCACGTTTCAAGCACAATCCTTCCCCCCCCCCAAATTCCTCAACTCACCAAGGCCCTTGGTGAGTCCAAGGGCGGCCGAGCGCGTGTGTCCCAGCGACCAGAAAACGAGCCGAGGGCTTTATAATTTTTTTGTAAACACATGGTGATGCCCACTTTGGGACCGTATCGATCGTGGTTAGCAAAAATGACAGCCTCTTGTCGCCCGGGCTTAATTAAGCGTGAAAAATTGTTTTGCCAAAGCTACGTTGACCAATGTGCTTCTTGTCATGACTACCGTCGAGGAAACTCATGATACATGCACATGTACCGTGGGCCCGGCTCACTGTGACTGACGAGCTTCACTGCCTTTGCAGACGGTGCGACAAGCTTTCGCGTAATGTACACATTCGCGCGTGTGCGTCGCGGTGGATATTTTTCAAGTCTTGCGCGGAAACAGGTGTGGGCCCAAGAATTGGACTCCAAGTTCGTTACTGCATGAGCAACAAGCTGAGGCTCACCGAGATGCAGGAATTAGTTTTAACATGGACTTAGCCCCACAACAATTCTTGTAAGCTTGCTCAGATCAACTGTGTCGGTGGCATTCGGGCCTGGGATACCGTACCAAAGGTACATGCACTGTACATGAAGTCAATTCGGTGGCGGGCGTCGTGAGCTGGTAGATTACGATTTTGTATGATGGTCCAAGCGCAAGTAGGCTTTGCTTTTTGGAGACACGCTCGATGAGTGATACGTAGTCGCGGCGACATACAGTACAGCATCCAACAACAAGCGTTTGCCGTGTCTTCTCGTAGGCGTAGCGATGATCATCATGATGATGTCGGCCAAATAGCAATCGGCTGTCGCAGTCTTGTGTGTCGGAGAAGGCTACGCAGGCTCTGTCGCTGGTCGAACTCCCAGCTCAGATCTGCCAGCCACCACGACTTACCGCAGGCAGCAACCACTCAACAGATTTAACGCAGGGGGGAATCCAGCGGCGGCAAAGTCACCGCCACCGCCACTTTCCTGCTACCTGCATGAATCAAATGGAGCATAGTATCTACAACTGCATGAATATCCGTGAGCTGCAGTTCAACCACCGCCAGGGCAAGTAAGTGTATACGTCCAAGCATCAATATTCCAGGGCGCATGCGCTCTCACACACGATGTGCTCTTTGCGCATCTCGCGCAGGTTAAACCTGCCAGGTTTGTGCTCCATCGCGCCAGTGTCGCGGTGCTTCACGCCCTCGTGGTCACCACGGTGGTGAAGGTGAAGGTCGCGACTGGCACAACTCCCGATAGGCAAATCGCTGACGCACAGATTCCCTGCTTGGTCTACGGAAGGCGTCGCGTTTCTTTGTATTTCGGGCCGCAGTGCGTCTTACAAGCTGATGCCCAAGCTCCCTTGGCGCGCAATCACTTGTGTCGAGCATTCGTAAGACAGTTTGACGACAAATCAAATGTAGCAATTTCATTGGTTAATATTGTATTATGTAGTCTCGAGTGTTGCTGCATCTCGGCTCGTAAATTGGACTGATTTATCTGTGTGCGCATTTTGCCCCCTTTACCCCTTTACTAGAGGCAGCGCACTTGAAAAATGCCCCTTGAAATGTCCGGGCCTTTGATCCTGACGCCATTCACTAACCTCCTGCTAGAAGATTTAAATATACTTGCCAGGAATGGAATGTAAGGACATCATAGCACAGTTATCATGCGACCGTTTGTTCCCGTAGTGGAGCAATGTTTCTTCGCTTTACTGGGGTGAACGACTGTTGTCGTTCACCCCACCACGCCAACTCTCCTTTCTACAGTAAAGTACTAACACTACATAGAAGATGGAGATTCGGATAGAGCGCGCATACGCAAACCAGTCTACGCTGTAGCATCGACAAAAAGCATGGCTGCAGGCAGTGGCGTAGTTGCAGGAGATACCGAGTAACTCGCCGATGCCGAAGGTCGAGCCCAGCAGCGATATGGCGCGCGCCGAGCGCCCGCGCAGCAGTGTGGAGCTCCTCCGCACCTCAGCGTCGTAGGTATAAGATCTAGGTATTATCGCCGTTGCAGAGTACGTGGTTGCATTTTGTTGCTGGACTGTAATGATTAGGTAAGAGGGGGTTGGAGGATCTCAGGAAGCCCATTGGCAACACCGTTCCCTGGCTGCCACGCCTTCACAACTACTATGATGTACGCTCAAGCATAAAATTTACTACATTAAAATGTACATGTAGTACCGTTACGAGCTATTTGTCCCTCTTAGTTTACGTCTGCCAACTTCATCGTAACTCCGTGCCCTACAACGGCTGCACCTCTGAGTGGAACAGCTCCACGGACTCCATGCACGCGTTCGTGCAGTCATTATGCCGATATTTAAGCTTGCTGCCAGCGGCCAACTACAGGCACATCGCTTCGTGTGTGAACAAGAGGCTACTTACCCTACCGCACCATGCAACTGCATCGTTTCGGCGCTCAACGTTGCCACCGCGTCCGCGGCAACGATGCCGCTGTGACCTGAACACTTTTGGCCAATTGTATGGCGCAAACTAGTGTCCGACAAACTGTCTTATGTTTTGACAGACAATATGCAATGTAGCCACTGGTATACAAAAACCAAGATGTAGTCAAAACGCGTTGATCGGAAAACGCAAGACGCTGTCTTATGATAGGCATTCTGGGGCTAAGTACCGTCTTACGAAAGAGCATGAATCGGCGTTGGGTGGACCGGGGCTCTATGCGGGGGATTATGAGCCCTTGGAGGCTCGAGCCTTGGGACGACGGGTTTGACTCGTCATCACGCGCGACGCAGGTCCATGTCCTCGCCCGCCCGCCCTGTAGGTCGCTCGCTCATTTCTCGATTCGCTCCCGACCCCGTAAGGCGAAGCGCTCGACTCGACTCAAATGTTCTCTTCCAACCGCCAACTCACCACGACACCGTCGGCTCTGCCCGAGTCGGTGGCGTGGCTGGAGCACCTGACCCTCGAAATGACCACCTCCACCAGCACCCGACACGGACTGGGCAAGCGCAACGTGCTGTACGAGCTGCACATGGCCTACCAGACGTCCAAGGACGAGGTCACGACGTGGACGTTGTCCCGACCGTTCGACGAGTACCGGGACTTGAGACGGAGACTCGTCAAGGCGCTGCGGCTGGGCCACCGCTGCAACGCCGAGTGCAAGTGGCTGGGCAACGTGATCAAGCATCACTTCCCCCGGGCCTCGCTGTTCTGCAGGAGCTGCCCCAGCGGCGTGGAGGGCACCCGCGTGGCTCTGCTGCGCATGCTCAACACGGTCAAGGCGTCGCTGGTGAACCACGGCAACCTCGGCTGCTCGCGGATGCGCGACGACGTCAGCAAGGTGTTCGCAGTGTTCGTGGCCAGCAGCAACCAGACCACCAAGGACTTGTCCAGGGTGCACTCGTCCACGGCGTCGACGACGTCGTCGATGTCCCTGTCGCCGACCAGTTTCAAGCGCTCGTCGTCGTCCACGTCCCTCACGTCGGACGAAGAGAACCTGGTGGCGCTTGAGTTCGACGACTTCCCCTGCGGGAACCTCGCACGCTGCGAATGCGGCGCATGTCGATCCAGCTTGAGCCATTAAACTCTGACTGTAACGGTGATAGGATGCTAGGAAGTAGCTAGGCTGCCAACATGAATGTACACTAACGTCTAATATGAATACGCTCGTGACAACCTACAGCACATGCACTACCCACACTTCCTTCGTGGTTTCACGCCTGCAGTTACTGCAGTTACTGCTGCTGCTCATTCAGGCTCAGGTTGAACCTTCACGGCGGCCAGCGCTGTCGTGCTGGAGATCCGGTGTAGTTTGCATCGCGGGAGAAAACTTTGCGGATGGGTGCTTCAAGTGACCCACCATCAAAGCACCGTGTTTGCAGCAGCTCTTCCATTCCTTCAGAGTTTGTTTACATACGCATCGCACCCGCAGCCAGTCCTTTTGAAGCAAAACGTTGGTTGCCAAAGTTTGGGGGCGTGGCAATCACCTGCTTGCGCGGGCAAGTTCACCCTACAGTTTTACGAGCCGTCGACTGTCGCATCCAGGACCTGCGCTTTGCGAAATGCAACAGCAACGTGCCTCCACTTACTTCCGATGAGTCCGTCGTGGTGCCGCTCATTTGCAGCATTTGCAGCTCTTCCGACCAGTTCAGACCATGTTCATTTCACCTGCCACGTAATGCGTCAATCCTGACGAATCTAAACCTCCAGCAAAGCCTTTCAGACAACTTCAATTACTACAGTGTTCCAAGCTGCAGCTCAATTTTTAGACGCCAGCTTCAAGCTGTTCCTTGGCACCCCGGCAGGTTTTCAGTGGATTAATGGCGGCCTCACGGGCCGCATTCCCCCGGTGATAACAGTTCCTGTCGGACACTTTTCGCCGGAATTGCCCTCCAGGGACAGTACGAGTCGAGCTGCTGTCTCACTTCGTGCTGCAACGCCGTCTCGAAGCAACTTGCACCCCCGCAAGGTGATCTCGTTGTAAGAGAGGTTGACGAAGGTCAGAGTGATGTTTTGTTGGAGTGACTTGGCAAGAATACCCGCAGCGCTGTCAGATTTAAGACCCGAGCAAGTCTGCAGTCGAATATTAATTAGTACGCAAGTGGTCATGCCAGCAGAGAATCGCTATACGTTACCAGGTCAATACTGTGCAAACTGCTCTGTTCTGCGAGGGCATGGTAGAATTCTACCACGCCAGGCCGTTCCAACGGACAGTGACTCTGTTGCAGCAATTAGATCACTCAGTCCAGTACTGAACAAAAGGTACAACCAATTTAATTATCGCTTACCAAGTCGAGTGTCGTTAGTGATCGAGTAGTTTTGACGAACTGGCCCAATGCGCTGCCAACTGTTGATTCACTCCCAAAGCAATGCTGGAAAAGTCCAATTTCGACAAAAGATTGCACTTTCAGCGCCTTCAACAGTGCCAATGCTGCCCGTTCATCCAATTTGTTCTCGCGATAGTTCAAATAACGCAGCGTTGAATTGCGCTGCAAGCCACGAGCAATCTCTACGTTCCCCTCACTTGTAAAGTCATTGCAGGAAATGTCCAGATGGGTCATTGTTCGCGTGTGTGCCAGCATATGAGCAAGATGCGTAGCGGCTTCGTCAGAAATTCCAGTGTTGCTCAGAAGCAGTGTCCTCAGTGTCGAGTTGAACGGGTCATTATCGTCGTGAGGTTCCGAGCCATCAGCCATTGTCGTGTGTCTTCGACGCTTGGCAATGCGGGCTTTGAGTTTTTCTTCCTCCGTTAGTTGTTTCTGCGATAGAGACTGAAGTAGGTCGACAGTTTTCTTGTCTCCGATAGCGTTGTGGCTTAGCTTAAGCTCACGTAGCGCATAATTGACTCGCAGTGTATCCCCAAGCCACGGGGTGATGCCGTCCTTACCGATTCGGTTGTGCATGAGGTCAAGTAGTCGCAGGTGGGAATTCATCGCTAGCGCCTTGGCCAAAGAGGTCGAGCCAACCTCGCCGATAGCATTGTAACTAAGTGTAAGCTCCAACAGACAGCCATTGTGTACAAGTGCACTAGCCAGCAGCGCCATATCTCCATCCTGTAAGTGGTTACCGCTAAGAGATAAAGTCGTCACAAAGCGCTAGAACACGTTGCAGCACGCCGTGTGAGTACGTAAGATGCTCGCGCAAGCGCAACAACAATCTCTAAGCTGTACGTACGTTGTTCGTGAGACCACGACTCAGCTGTGTAACTGTGTCAGGGCCCATGTGGCAGCCTCGGAGATCCAGCGCACGCACTTTCGTCGGGATCCCGCGATCGGGCGTAGCTCTTGGACCAGAAATTCTCCCGCCAGCAAATTCCTCCTCAACGGTATCCGATCGCTGCATGCCTGCGTCCATGAAAACACCCTTACGATTGCACCAACCTCAGTTGAAAGCCCAAGATCAACGATAAGATACGCCATACCTCACGAGTTTCTATCACATTGGAGCCCTAAGGTGAACGTTAGCATGATTTTGGTACGCTATTAATTCCAGTTGCACTCACCGATAAATACGCTGCACCGCTTGGGTGTGAGCAAACCAGAGTTCCATCATGATTGCGAACCACCAGACACAACACCTGCGAGTCCTGTTAGCAGCCCTTTAATATGCACACTCCATGCCTCGTAGATCAAATAAATACCTTGCCGAACCGCGTCTCGATGCTTGCCTTTGCCGGAATTAAGCACCTCCAGGTCAATGCAGCTCGGTCGTAGACAACGGGGTCCCTCTTCGTAAGCAAATAAATCGCCTCCTCAACGTCGGAGCACACTGGAGCGGATCCGCATTCCACATCTTCTTCAGCGTGAACTTCTTCTTGCCAGGTCATCTCGACTGCACGCTCGAGGCTCAGTACCGCTCAAAATACTCCGGCGAAGGGATTAAGATAAAGTCATGTGTGTATTTTTCGTTTATCTCCGTTTCAAGTACTTGTAGTACTTCGCCGTTGCTCATTCCTTTCCTTCATGCTGTAGGATCCCCCTCACTTTCCTTCATTTTGCCAGTGCTCGACGAGTCCCTTGAACAGGCCGTCCGGCTTCTTCTGGAGGGCCTTCGGGGTGTCGAACTCACCAACAGTCCCGCGTTCCATGACAAGAATACGATCTGCGTCGAGAATAGTGTTGATGCGGTGCGCGATCGTGAGGCAGGTGCACTCACGGAACTCCTCGCGGATGCTGCGTTGGATCTTGCGGTCCGTTTCCGTGTCGATAGACGCTGTCGCCTCATCCATGAGAATAATGCGCGATCGTTTAAGCAGAGCGCGAGCGATGCACAACAACTGACGTTCACCCACGCTGAAGTTGGAGCCCTTTTCGTCCACAGCACTGTCCAGCGCGGTCACCACATGCGCGAGATGAGCTCGGCGCAGTGACGTCCAGATCTGCTCGTCCGTGTACTGATCGAATGGATCCACGTTGCTGCGCACCGTGCCCGAAAAGAGAACGGGGTCTTGAGGGATAATTGAGATCTTGTTGCGGAGCTCGTGCAATCCGATGGTACTAATGTCCAGTCCATCGATGACGATCGAACCACTGTCAAGCTCGACAAGGCGCATCAGCGCCACCACGAGGCTCGACTTGCCGGCGCCAGTACGACCCACAATTCCAATCTTCTCCTGGGGACGGATGGAAAGTGAGAGGTTGCGCAACACCCGGGGCAGGCCAGGGCGATAACGCAGGTTGACATCACGGAATTCAATTGCACCAGCGGACGGCCATTCCTGAGCAGGAGGAAGCTTGCCGACACTCGTAAGCGCAGCCTCCGTATCCATCACCGTGTAGTTCTTGATACGTTCCACCGAAACCATCTGCGTCTGAAGCTGGCTCAGCATACGTACAGACCAATTAAGCGACTGCGTCACACTGAACGCATACGTTAGCGATACTCCTGCAAGTCCAGCAAAAGCTGCACCGCGTTCCGGGTCCGAGCTGTGAGCAAGTACTGCAGTCAGAGCCGCAAACGCTGCAATAAGCGTACCGGCAAACTCAAGACGGAGAGCCAGCCAGCAGTTAACGGCAAAGTTAAGGAAGTACGCGCGCTGGTTCCGGTCAATCAGCTCCTCGTTCTTCGTGGAAAACTGGGTCTCGGCACGATACGCACGAATAGTTGGCAAACCGTCGAGCGTCTCAGACAACAACGCAAATACAGGGGAGCGGCTGATCGAGTCGAGTCGCTGCAGCTCGCGCGATGACTTGATAAAGTAGCGCTGCGAGATGTAGTAGCCCACCAGCACGGGCAGCAGAATGATCATGAAAATCGGTGTCACGTACGAAATAGTAGCCAGTGTCACCAACACACTGATGAAGGTATTCAGGAGCATGCTCCATGTTGCAGGGATGCTCTCGTCGACAGTGTACACGTCCTTGGACAGACGATTCACAATACGGCCAGTAGGTGTTGTGTCAAAGAACGATGTTGGGGCGCGCAGGATGCGGGCCAGCAGATCCTGGAAAAGTGATCGACTCGCGCGGAGACCTCCCTTGTATGTCGTTATAGCACGAGCGTACAGCGCCGCAGCGTAGACCGCGTTCAGACCCATGTACACATACACGTAGAACATCTGCGACTGTGGGTCTGCGGGTTGCTCTTCATCATCATTCGGCTGCGAGTGTTCCGACCAGAACGAAAGCCACCACGTGGAAAGCAAGTTCACAAATTGGGTGGCGATGAACACGAAGATCACAAGCACACCGGCGGAAATCCCGCCAAACGCCATAATCCACGTCTTGTACACTTGCCAGGCAACGTCACCCACAGATCGATCTTCATCGGTCATCAATTGAGCTTCAGCTCCTGCGTCACTCGTGGCTCGGTCGCTGCGCACAGAAGACCGACTCAATCGGCGTCCCAGACGCTCGGGCGTCGGGTTGTCCTCTTCATCCTCCTCAAGTTCATCAAGTGAGATTACGTCCTCGACATCTTCGATGATGTTAGGCCCCTGCTGCTGATCTTGATCTTTGTATTTAGCCACCAGATCCATGAGAAGCCCACCATCCTTTTCCATGAGGTCTTCATAGGAGCCATCCTCCACGTTCATGCCGTTTTCCAATACCACGATCTTGTCACACTCGCTCAGGAAAGTTAGACCATGCGTGACGAGGATCACCAGCTTGTCCTTCAGGCACTTCTTAATGCACTCCTTGAAGATATCATGACCCACGTGGCTGTCCACAGCTGACAGAATGTCATCCAGCAAGTAAATGTCAGCATCCTGGTACACTGCACGCGCAATGGCTACACGGGTACGCTGTCCACCGCTGAGGTTGATACCCTTCTCGCCAATCTCCGTCAGATCGCCTCCAGGCAGCACAGCCAAATCCTTTTGCATTGAGCTTACACGAAGAGCCTCAGCATACTTAGCCTCGTCAAAGGGGAGGCCGAAGCAAATGTTCTCACGAACTGTCGCATTCTGAATAAATGGCTGCTGAGAGACGTAGGCAACCGAACCGCGCAGGTTCACCTCGCCACGACTGCATCGAGCGTCACCGAGTATGGCACTGAGAAGTGTCGACTTTCCGGCGCCCACATGACCAACGACAGCAATCAAGTCACCCGGGCGGGCTTCCAGCGCCACACCCTGAAGTACCGGCAGAGTTTCACCAGCTTCCTTGTCCAGAATCGAGTCGGCCTTGAGCAAACTGTCCTCCTCTTGTGAACCCGACGACGCCTCCGAAGACGACGATGCGCCCGGTGCAGTATCCCACATGAAGTCGGCGTTTTTCACACGGACACCAACACCCTCCAGGTCTCCGGGCCCTACCTGCTCACGTTCCTCTTCCTGGAAGTAAGAACTCAAGCGGTCGATACTCACACTCGCCTCAACAATCGAGTTCAGCACCTGCGGCAGCATAAACAGCGGGAAGCGGAGGATGTTAAACAACGCCAGCGACGTCAATGCAGTACCGACGTCCAGCGTGTTGCCCAGCTTGACGTAGGTGTAAAATGACGTCACCGTCACCAGCGAAGGGATCGCTGAGAAGAGCGTCATCGATCCGCTGCGTGCGTAGATGTACGTTTTCAGCTTGCTGAGCTCCTCGCTGCGGTATTCTAGCACACGCTTGGTGAACGAGTGCTCCCACGCCTGGAGCTTGATCACCTTCATCCCCGCCAGCACTTCATTGCAAATCTTAATGCGTTCGTCCTTCACCTCCATCAACTTCAACTGCAGGCGGCGCATGAGCTTGGAGATGCCCGCCGTAACCGGCAGCATCAAGATGATCACAGCCACTCCGGCAAACGTGGCGGGACCGATCTGCTTCCACAGCAAGTAGCACGCCACCACAATCTGGAAGAGCGAGAACCACACACTGTTGATGAACGTCGAGAGCTCCTGCAACCTCTGGGCGTCGATGGACATCAAGTTGGTGATCTCGCCCGTCGTCTTCTTCTGTCTCGCCGCGGCGGACAGCACCAAGCTCTTGCTGTACACGGCCGTGCAGACGGCCGAGCGCACTCTCATGCCGGCTTCAAAGCAGTGGAAGAAGTAGTTCCTGAGCAAGAACGACTGCATGATGCCCGAGACGAACACGACGCCCGCGTAGATGAGCCCCTCACTCAGCGGCGCGTCCGGGTTCTGCAGGTACGCGATGATCTCCTTGATCAGCATGGGGCCCACGAACTGCAGCGAGTCGTGCACGAGCTTGAGCAGCCCGGCCTTGGCGATCTGGCCGCCGAAGCACGAGGCCAGCGCCCAGGCCAGGCTGGGCTTGGCCTTGCGGCACTGCTTGCTCCAGGCCGCCCGGAACTCCGTGGCCACCTCGTGCGCGCGGTTGGCCGGGTCCAGCAGGTACAGGTCGTCGTGCTCCAGCGGCCGCTGGTTGCCCAGCTCCATGAGCGGCGTGACCCACGAGAAGAGCGCGGACGACATGCACGTCGCGTCCTGAGACGGGTACCGGTCTCCGAGACCCGAAGATGCCGGCGCGTCATGGCGGCGCAGCGTCACGTGCACGTCGCCCCCGAGCAGCGGCCGCTTCTCCTCGTCGGCCAGCGCCTGGGCCTTGGTCACCTGCAGCTTGCCCGCCATCGCCTTCCCTCCAGTCGATCGAGTGCAGGCTTGAAGGCGGATGCGGGAGTGCGCACTTGCCTGGAGGGTCGCGAAGTGGGATCTGGGGTACGGGAAGAGTGATGATCGATATTCTGACCAATGAGAGAGCAGGGCTACGCGGGTCTTTCACTCGCCTTTCGGTAACCCGACGAAGCATGGAGCAGTACCTGCTGCAGCTCCCGAAGCGCCTGGCGCAGGAGGTGCGCGCGGGTATCGCGAATGGCGAATCGGCGAACGTCGACATAGTGTCTGGAGGTGCGTGTGCTGCCGTTTTACGAGGCGGAGGGCGGCATTTTAGGAGGAGAAATGCGCGGGCAGAGACGACGAGTATAGAGGGTTGAGTTTTGACTTGTTTTATGGTGTTGTATCGGTTATTTCGCAGCGGATAACAAGCACTTTACGTTGCACGTGAACGGCAAGGAGTACCCCGCCAAGATTGGTGCGTTGAGCTGCGTTTTGGTGGTCGACACGAGCCCAGCAGAGACACTGACGCTTGTTTGCTGATCGTGTGGGACTGCAGCGCAGTTGCCGTGCATTCTGGAGACGCACAAGACCTACGACGACAATTTCTTCTACAAGAGCGGCGAGATCGGACAGGTGCAGGCTGCAGCGTCTTGCAAAACGCTCGAAGTTCTTCGCTAAAGAGTGTGATGCTTGTTATTTTTTGTTAGATTTTCGTGGTGACGGATAAAGACGAGGAGAGGAAGCTGCTGGAGACGCAAGAGGAGGTTACGAACGGAATCACCCCGCCTAATACCAACGTGATCAAGCGAAAGTATGAGAAGACCAAGAAAACGACACCATTCCCTGTACGGCTTGTCTAAGTTAGTTTTTCAATAGTTTGCACTGTTTGGCTTATGATTCTCTTTTTTTTCGTGCTCCTTTACCCAGAAAGGTGACGTCGCTCGTGTAGAAGAAGACCTCGTCAAGATTATAGCCGGCGGTGCGATCGAAGATGTTCACGAGGAGCTCGTGGACTTTTACGAGTGGATGGCGGACGATGAGCACCCGAATGGAATCACAGTCACAGACGAAATGGAGTTGATTCGAGAGCATCCTGAGTACCTCACACTATCAGAGGAGCCAGCTACCAAGAAGCAAAAGCTGCTGCCACCGAGCACGGGGAACAGCACGGTTCCGGGTACGGCCAGCGCGTCGATCATGAACACGCCACTTGCCACAGATATCGGCTCGGAGGCTGAATCGCAAACGGACGGGCGGACGTCTGTGCAGCGTTCACCGGCATTTGCGCCGACACCAAGCCCCAGGTTGTCACCTATGCAGCTCAACTCGTCTGCTGGCCGTGACCAGGATGACGACAAGGATGTCGATCTGTTGGAGGACGATATCCTGGACGGTATGGAAACCAAGCCGGCGGAGCCGCGTCAAAAGGAATACTTGACTGACCCGGCCTATCTCAAGCTGTTGCCCATCCGCGAGCGGCTGCAGAAGTCGGTTCGCGATGCCGAGCGCGACATGAGTGAGTTGAGTGCCAAGGTCGACGCCAACTCCAACATCATCGTCAAGGTAAGTCCCACTGCCTCCACCACAGGTGCTGTTCATCTGCTCACGTGACAACGCACCCTTACGCCTATGTATCTGCTCAGAATCGCTTCAAGCAAATGCTCGAGACCGCGACCAAGCAGCGCACCGAGATCGCCGCGGAGCTGAACAAGGTCAACGCGGAGATCGCTGCGTTCGAGTCGAGCTGAGAGAGGTGCGCGTTCACAGTCAGTATGTAATAGCAGCCCGATGATCCTCGAATGGCATGTGCAAGCACTCGTCTGGCCAGCTTCAACTTGCAACGGCCTGTCCACGACCTCAAGTACGTCGACGCTGGGTTTGTTTTACAAGCAAACAAGCCCTTACCGTAGACATGGCATCTCTGAAATATGAACGCTGGACGACGTCAGGTCGAGTCCGCTTCCGAGCACCTTGCAATGCAAAAGTGCAGCTCGGACAGATTTGTTAATTAGCTTTTTATTGTTTTTGTTTTGTGTGTTGGGTGCGTATGTTTCGTACCGGTACGGCTTGCTCACGGCTGCTGCTCCTGCTGCCCTCCAGTCGTTATATCATCTCCCCGTTCGACCTGCTGCCCTCGCTGTAGATTTGCAACTCCTCCTTGCGGACACCCTGTCTACGGCTGCCAAAACACGAACGCAACGCGGCGCGAGACGCATAAAAATTGCTGACGAAGTGTCAAGTCACCGTCGTCGACTCTTGATTGGGGTCATGGTGGTTTCCTGTGCCTCGCCCTGTTGCTGCTTCGGGGCTATAGTAGTTGCGTAGAGTTGGAGCCGAAGCAAGAAAATGGAGCGACGACGAGAGGAGAGGCGTCTTCTTAGAGCCTGGCGAGAAGAGATACGGACATGGAAGGGGGGCAGCGGCCTAGCCAGCGGCCTACTGCTGGTGCTTCCACTTGAGCAGCGCGTTAACCTGTTCCTCGCTCAAGGTGAGGCCGGGGATCTCCTTCAGGCCCTTCTTGTCGTGCTCCACGTGGTGCTTGTAGCCCTCCTTGTCCACGGCGTCGGTCTGGCCCTTCATCTTCTGCAGCAGCTTGCGCAGCGCCTTCTCGTCCTGCTTGCTGTGGGCGTAAAACAAAGGATTAGGATCTTATTTGGTAGACCAAAAGTATATGGCGTTTTGTAGGGGCGTACTTGAAGAAGACGGCCTCGGCGGCTTTTTCCTTGTCCTGCAGGTTGGACAGGCCCATGGACTGCACGGGCGACGCAAAGGCGCGCTTCGGGACGGCGGCGGCGGCACGGCGGACGGCGAGCATGGTCTTCCTTGGGTACTTGATGCTGATGTTGTGTACTGGCGGTTTGGTTCCCCCCTCTTTGCCAAGGCAAAGACACGACCGCCGCACGCTTCAAGCACGACTTTTTACGTAAAAAGCCGAAAGCGGGCGATTGTGCGCGGACACAGCACCAAAAGATCCGACGGGAGGGACAGAGCGGCTGATACAGCGGAGGATTGGAGGCACCGGTCTCTGGTCGGCGAGAAGTGTCCCCGTAAATTGTCTCGGACTTTTTACGGGAAAACAACTTCAAGCACATGAGCCGCAGAGAGCTCCACAAGCTCGCATTTGTGGACGAGCGCGCCGAGGGACTCGAGCCTGCCTGCCTGCCTGCTTACTGCTGCTACTGTCCGATGCATTGGTACACAACGGCCTTCTCACAGCTTCTCCGTCGTGGTTCTCGAGGCAAGATTTTCGCTCCGCAAGTGGTGGCAGCCCTACAATGCGATCTGACCTTTTGCGGCGTAAACTTCATTGATTTTGCGGCACGCATCAAATTAGTGCCCAGCGACGATGGTCAGTTGGACAATGGTGATGTTGCTGTCCTCGGAGGACTCCTCCAGCATGATAGATAGCCTTGGGCAAGCAGGCACTGCGAAGTGCGTTGGGGCAGCGAGCATGTCGAAGTCGGCAGATTTGAGTCAAAGTCTTCGACACGCCGCCGTGGTCTGCGAGTTGCCTAGCCCTACTGAGCGCCATATGTGGCGGCGTAAAACGTGGCCAATACAGACTCCAAGTCAAAAGACGCCCAAATAGTGCGCGGCAGAATTGTGTGCGGTCGCAAGAAACAAATAGTCCGATCTTGAAGAGGCACCAAAACCGACCAAAAACGCCCGGCGATCTTCCAGCAGCCCGCACGGAATCTATGATGAAGCCCACGGGCAGCCCAGTCGAGTGCCGATGGTTCAGACGGTGGTGCCGCTGCTTTCATAGGCTACCGGTAGGCCTTCATCAAACAATGCTGCAGCTATCGTTATCCATTAACGTGCGCTGCAGTCAGTTTCTCCGGACAAGTGAGCTCATAAACACCAGAACCCACACAACCAACGCCTTTAGTCCGCATGTTGAAAATCTATTGATTTCCGAGTCGGCCATCGCTAGATCAGCGCGTGAAAAAACTAAAAACATGGAGAGCTACAAGATGATGGATCACTGCCAAAATCGGTTGTAGGATGCTGCTACCAAACGTAAAGCATCGTCGTTGCGGGCCGCGTCGCGAGCGGAGCGGGGGTGTAGGGACATGTACGTGCAGCGAGGAGGTCTACGTGGGCCGGGGCCAGGGCGGCGGGCGACAGCAGTAGCAACCCCACGGTTGGAGCTGCTAGGCTGCCTCGTCGGAGATGAACCCAGACGGATGTGGGGCTGGGAGCGGGGGTGGCTGGCTGCGGTCCCGTATCAACGGAATCCAGCCAGGTCTCCGCTTCTCGCCCGTGTGAAGACCGTTGGTGACTCCTCGTCGCTTTAGTACAGGTGCTTCCAGTTGAGAAGCGCGTCCACCTGCTCCTGGGTCAGGTCCACGCCGGGCACGAGGCCGGGGATCTCACCCAGCGTCTGCTTGTCGTGCTCGACCTGGGCGCGGAAGCCGGCCTTGTCGCTGTAGCACGCCTGAAGGTGCAGCTTCCGCAGCAGCTTGCGCATTTCCTTCTCGTCGTCCTTACTGTCCAATGAGGGGGAACAAAGCACACTGGTTAGCTTTCAGACTCCAAGTAATGGATTGGACTAGGGCCACTAACCGGAAGAGCACGGGGCGGCGGTTCTCCTGCGCCTGCGTGGTCAAAGTGCGCTGCGTGCTCATGACAGCGACCTGGAGGGCCGGAGCCATGACCACAACGCGCGGGATGAGCGCGAGCGCGGTCTGCTTGGCAACGAGGGCGACAGCGATCTGCATGGCTGGTGTGGGAGCTGGTAGTAGAAGGTAGGGCGACGTTGGCAGTGAGGCGTCGACGGCAGGACTCGAGTGCGGACTGGGCGGCGAGTTCGCGAATGGCACGATGCAGCAGCCTCGCGAAGCAGCGCTGAACCGTGCGCGCGCATCTATCATAGGATTTCGCGACCGCGTTTCTAGAGGTTTGACGAGACACGCACATGCACGCTGTGACGGGAAAATGACAAGACTCGTATGAAACTGGATTTTAAATGCAGAAGGCGTAGCTACCAGCTATACCTACCCCTACAGATCTCAATTATACCGCGCATACGTCTACTGACAAATGAAAAGCGGATCAAGGCGACCGTCGTGCGGCATGACGTCGTCTACTGTACTAATAACGTCGTCTACTGTACTAATACGTCGTGGAGGTCTTCCTGCTGCACCACACATCGCGCATCCCGACGCGCCCACGGCCAGCCCATCGCAGCCGGACTACCAGGTTCTCGGACTTCGCCGAGCTGCGCTATTACCAGGCCTGGGCCTGGTCGTGCAGCGCAAGCACGAGGACGGCCACATCTGCAAGTAGTGCAGCAAGTACATGCACTTCATCCTCTACTTGCTGTCGCGGCCGCGGCTCTACGTCAAGCTTAGCGCCGGCGTCGAGCGCCGCAAGAAGGTGCTCAAGAGCTTCTGCAACGCCTTCGTGGCCATGGCGCTCAGCAGCAAGACGGAGCCCCACTCGAGAGACGCCGCGTGTGACGGCTGTCAGGCCATCCCGCACCTCGTCGTGTGCTTCCTGCGCAGTTTAGCGGAGGAGGAAAAGGAGGCTCTGCGTCATCCATCGTTGTTTTCACTCCGTCGTCGTTCCAGTCTATTAACTCTATAAGCAAGCGTCTCGTAAGCCGAGCGACGCGTGCGTGTAATGATCTACACTACGTCATAGCAAGTATATACACTAGGAACTAAGGTAATAGCGAACTATCAACTCGCTCTGCAGCTACCATTGCTGTCGAGCAATGCGGTAGCATGAGCTCGGGCATCGCGTGTACGGCGCTGCGGAACGTAGGATCCGCCGCAAGCTGTCGCTTTGGAACTACCGCGCAGTGGGTAGCCCTCTTGATCCAGCTAATGTACTACATGTATTCACCGCGTGCTCAGCTCCTGCCCCCAGCTCCCGATCACCTTGGACTCCACGGTCTGTGGCCGTATCGACGTGCGCATCTCTCCACGATCTAGAAGTTGGTACCCATAAGTGGCAGACTCGCGCTGTCGACCGTCCCCCGTCCCTCGTGGGCACCACGGTTTACAATTTGATGTACAGCACTAGCCGCGGCAGACTCTCCGTGCTGATAGGCGCAGACTCAGGGTTGATGCCCATACACAGGTCGTTCGTGTTCAGCGCGTACGTCGCGATCTGCGTGGTGACGCGCAGTTCGAGCTTCGGGACCCTCTCCACTGCACCATCTCGCAAGCGCCGCCCGCCGCAGAAGCCCTATCGCCGGGTTCGGCACTGCGAGTGCTTCTTTGATTTCCAGCATAGAGTCTCGCACGGACTGAAAAGCCGACCATAGTGGTGGTGGATCGTGTCCGTGAAGGCTTTCAGTGAAGAGGTGAAGGGTAAACTCCTAGACGAAGAGTAGTGTCGAGGGGTAGCAAAACGTGGAAGTGACGCAGCCAAGCTACGCATCACTGCTACCCGGCACCGCTGCCACCATCTAGCGGAAGGTGTACACCATATCGTCCTGCTGTTCGTGGCCAGCATCAACTCGTCCTTGGAGGCCATGGGCAGCCGGTGCGCTGCCTCTGTAGCAGTCTTGAGGCCGTACGTCCATACGCCTGTTGTCACTTGGTGGCATTCTATTACACGCCTTTAGCATAAGTTTTCGCTCCGGTTTCCCGCATACGTGTACTGTCACACAAATTACGGGTTCTGCATTTACCTACTACATTCATACGCATACTGTCATTTTCCCCATCTGTGACGGAGCAATCGCCCTGATAACGGGGCGGTGTGGATTTGCCGGTGCCGGAACTGCCACAGCGACGACGGACTTGCCCTTGCCTTCGTTATTAGCAGTGCACGGGTAGGGCAAAGCGCTACACGTAGGCGAGGGCGGGGCTGGCTGGCACTGCAGTGCCTTGAGACCGAGTGCACGAAGCGACATAAACGCACGGCGAAAGGATTTGCCGTTCCGCCCTGAAAGTTTCAGTTGTTTGGCACATCGGGTCAGCATCAACGCCTTGATGTGTGCCTCGCATGCTCATGCCGGCATTGATGGACTATCGGTGCTCTGATGGCAACTTCGCACGGTCGGGCAGATAAGCCCATGCGCTCTTGATTCCTGCGCCGCGACCACCACCCCGTAGCGTGGTTGTTGGTGTTGCTGTGAGCGCAGACACGTCCGACTCGGACGGTCCGAGTATGAGTGACCCCGATATTGCACTCGTGGTGATGATGGATAAAGGTCGCTTCGTCGCGGCAAACCGCATAGACTCCATCGCTCAGGGAGATCCCGTAGTGGCCCTCGCTGTGCATGAAGTCCATTCATATAATGGCTCTGATGCTGCCTACTGGCAGTAGATGCAACCAAAGCGTGTAGCCAGTTGCAGTCCAAGCACCAATACGCGGTGCCGAGGATTAATTAGGGGTTAAAAGCTTCCCGTCGTCAATCCACCTCAAAGTACAACCCGCTGTGTTTAACAAAATACAAGGAACTCCTGCAAACACTGCTACTGCCAAGGTGCTCAAGCCTTGAGCATCAAGGTGCTGTGGTATTTCAGCTTGGTGTCTTATCTACTTTCCTCCCATTTTCAACCAATGAAATCACTGAATTCCCTCCACCAGCCAATCGCGAAACGTCGCATCACTTTTCAATCATGAGCGTCAGCAACTGGAGCAGCAGCAGCAGCAGCGAGGACGAAGACGACGCCCCCGTGTGGTCGCCCGCGCGGCTCGCAGAGGAAGGCGTGGCCTACCGCGTCGTGTACGTACAGCGCTCCTCCTGCACCTCCTAGTCCCACCCAAAACCTCACCCTTTTCCGCCTCAACATCCGCAGAAACGTGCTCGGCAGCGGCTTCGTCAATGACAAAGTCAACATCGAGAAGCTCGCGCTGCTCGTGCGCAATGCGGACTACGCGCCCAGAGTACGCGGCATTGTATTTAAAAATTATTATGCAATAATGGTGTAATTTTTAACTGTGGAATGGTTGTTTGCTGCAGAGCTTCAGCGCGTTGGTGATGCGCTTCCAGGAGCCACGCGCGACTGTGCTGGTCTACAGGAGCGGCAAGGTGCGGCTTGCACGGGTGCACTGGCTCACAGAAATTGCGGTCTGTTTAGTTACATTGTATGGTGTGTTGCTTGTAGTTTGTGGTGATTGGGGCTACGAGTGTGGACGACTCCAAGCTGGCAGCAGACAAACTGGTCTCCATTTTCAAGGTTGGTTTCGGTTGTGTTGGGATACGAGGAGGCTATAAGCCTAAACCACTTGCTAATCTGTGGGTGTTTTTGTGTGTGTTAAATGTGCCGTGTTGCTGCAGAAAGTTTCGTTTCCGAGCGACTGCAGCCCGTTCACTGTTCGCAACGTGGTGGGGTCGTCAGACGTCGGCTTTAGAATACGACTGGAAGGCTTGGCGAGAGACCACCTGCGCTTCAGCACAGTGAGCTGAGTTGGCTATGCGTGTGGTTCCATGACGGGTATGAGTCTGATATGTGCGTGCTTTTGTACCGCAGTACGAGCCGGAAATGTTTCCAGGGCTGATTTACCGCATGCTGCGACCCAAGTGTACTTTACTTATCTTCATATCGGGCAAAATCGTTATCACGGGATGCGAGGTACAGCAGAAGAAAAGCTCTCATGATGTTTGGTCAGACCAGTTCATTCACTGACCTGCGTTGTGTTTTCTATTGTTGGTGCAGTCCCCTGCACAAGGGGAGAAGGCGCTGGGTAAAATATTCCCCGTTTTGCTGCAATATCGTCTACGTGACGACATCTCCAGTGACGAAGACGAAGACGAAGCAATGTGATGAAGACTACGCCCTTATTTAGTAACTGCGAGCGATTATCCCAACTTACAATTATCTGCTACTGCGCACAACGCTTGCTTCGTTCTGCACTCCAACGCAGAGTTCAAGGACTCTCAATGCCATCGCAGACGCTTCGAGCAAGCTTTTTCGCCTCGGCGGAATCGGGCGCCGTAAGTGAGTGGTGGGCTCACGCTAAATAGTTGTACATCTGGGCGTTGTTTTGGTCTCGCTCCAGATACTCTCGGTCGATGAGACTTTCGATACGGCGCTTGATGTCGGCAGCCTTTGCGGGGAAACGAACTTGCGTGAAGATCTCCGTCATCAGCAGCGCGTGCGACAGCTTCTTGCGCGCCTTCATGATACGCACAATAGCTGCGTCCACCTGGTACTGGCGGTCTCGGAACACACGCTCGTGGGTGTCTTCGTTCTCCTTCTTGGTCTCCTTCATCTGGATCGAGTTGATCTTGATGCGGATGAACTGGTTCGTGAAGTTGCTGTTAAATACAAACAAATCGTCGTCGTTCACGTCCTTGCCCTTCGGCACCTTCTGCAACACGCGCGTTTTACCGCATGCGAGCGACTGCAGGGTCCGTCGAAGCTCGCCATCTTCAATACGCGTCTGCTCCTTGATCTCCTTGAATCCCAACGAATCGGCTCCGTTGAAGCAAAGCAAGACCACAGTCTGGTACAGCGACACCACCAGCTCCTTTTTGCCCGAAGGGAAGGTAGCCTTTACCACACACTGGGCGAGCGAGTGTTGCCACTGAAGCTGACGGCCTTGATACTTGGACGAGTAGAACTTGTCGAAAATATCCTTCAGCGGTACCAGTGCATCCGGGAGGTTGATCTCGACAGCCGCGTACGGAGGCCAGAATCCGGTCGTCAACACTTGGACTTGCATGTCAGGGATACCACGGTTTCCGTGCAGGGCCTCCAACTCGTTTCTGGACGAATCAAAACTGTAAGTTAGTATGTCTTGACGGGAAAACCCAGCACAAATAGTAGGCGTGGATCATACCTGCTAGCAGCGTGTTGCTGGAATTGAGTCATCACGTTTTGAGAGAGATCGATATCCTTGAACATACCCTCGAGCTGTGACCAAAAGGCAAACATCACTCAGCAATGGCAGCACACACTCTGGAAATATTCAACACTCACCTTGTTTGTAAACGAGCTACCGCACTCCGTCTTCAGCTTCGACAGCATCAGCTTCTCCAGGTCAAATGATGCACTCTTGCCCACCAGCAGGCGCTTAGCAAGATCCTTCTTGTAAAACGCCTCGAACACGTCCTTGCCTTGAATGTACCTGAAAATCACCATGACGCGGTCCAAAAGATTCTCCACCTCCGCCTCGGAGCCGCCCTTGTTGCCAGTTCGCAACTTGGAGTCGACAAACTTTGCCACGAGCTCGGCTGGACGGTTCGCACGGACGTTGATCGCATTCTCCATGGCCGACTTCATCGCGAACGAGAAGTCTGTGTTCGACTGGAACGAGTCGCTCAACACTGCGTCCAAGTCCGCCTTGAGCTTGAGGATCTTCTCTACAAAAGTCTTCTCTTGCTGGTCATCCATCACCAGCTTCGAGACGTTCTTCTGGATGTAGTTGGAAAATGCCGTCTTGAGGTCGTTAATCGCATCCACCCTGGCGAAAAGTGCGTACATTCGCTTCAGGTCCTCGACCCGGCCTTCCTCCATCAGCGTCTCGAAGCCGCGCTCCAGAAGTGTAGCTACGTGGGGCTTCAACAGCTTGCTTTCGACCACTGAAATGAGCTGCTTCTTGGTAGACGAGTCCAGATAGTTGTTCACGCGCTCATTCTCCTCGTGCAGGCGCTTCTCGACGTGCACCAGGAACTGTGGCACGCTCGCTGACTCGACCGTCGTGGCTCCTTCCTGTAGGTAAAACCGCTCCGAGGCTGTCAGGAACGGTGTCTCAAAGTCGGCATGGTACAAATGCAGTGACAGCAGCATCCGCAGCAAGTTGTACAGGTAGCTTCGGTTGATCGCCTCGCCCTTGCGCTCGTGCTCGACGAGCTCCAGCAACGCGTCAATGAGCTTCGTCTCCAAGCTCCGACGTTCCACCAGGTTGTCGCGCACCAATTTCAGCCCCATGTCCCAAATGGACGCGATGTGGGGCGTCTGCATCACGTACGTGCGGTCCAAGTACAGGAAGATCGTGCGGATCACCAGCATGTCTTCACAGTGGTCCTCCCACAGCTTGTGCACCGCCTCCAGGAACAAATTCATATCTCCAGCCGAATACTGCAGCAGATCCTCCACTCGGCCACGCACATGCACCGCACACGTCTCCTCCAGCTTCGTATACAGCCTAAAAACACAATTATCAAAAACTAAGTAAAATATCCACAAAATAATAATAATAATAAAAATGTGTCTTGCAGACCTGGCCGCCATCTTCCACGTGCACATGTCCTCGACGGAGCGGTAGAGCTCCTCCCTGCTGAGCGCCGACGTCTGCTTGGCGTGTACGGCCTGCACGGCGGCCTGCAGCTTGGCCCACGTGTCCTCCTCGAAGGCCTCGGGCAGCTTGGGCGTGACCTTGAAGGGCTTGATGGTCATCTTCTTCTTCTTGGCGCCCAGCTTGAGCCCGGGGCCGCTGCTGCTGCGCTCCTGCTTGCGGCTGAAGCCCGTGCGCCCGTTGGCGGAGGGCGCGAAGCCGGTGGAAGCCATGGGATCCGTCCGTCCGACGAGCGACTGACTGGCCTGCGGGTTCGGCGGCACAACGAGCGCGTTAGAGGGCGGATTTCCACGCGGGAAGCGCGGGGCGCGGGAGGTTAGACGCGTAGGGAGGAGATGCAGCTGCAGAGAGCAACTGCGGCGCCCTGCAGACCCGCACAGAGAGCGCAGGAAGGAGCACGCACCGAGCTGGAGGAAGGATTCTCCCCCTTGTTCCAAAGAGTGACCGGTCACTGTCTCAGACAATAGATTGTGAGGCGCTTCGAATAGAAACGCCTCAAATAAGTTGATTAGAAATAGAAACCATTTAGAAATGACAGTGAGGTGTACCAATAGTGTACCACTTGACAGCTTGTTGAAGGGCAGAGAGGTGATCCCGTAATGGAGACCGTCCCCCGCGCTTCCGACGATGCTGATGAGGCCTCGGTTCTACGTCGTGTGGCGACTACGGGCCCAGGCAAGACCGAGTGGCAATTCCCAGAGCGCGGGCTGCTCTTCTCGTCGCGCTTCGACGGCGGCAACATGGCGAGTGTGGAGCAACTGGCGTCCGGGGCTTTCAGCGTCAAAGTGTCGGAGGACGCGGCGGCGTTCGGCATCGCCACGGGCTACTCTACGTGGTTCTACTTCGAGGTAGAACGACGACCGGCCGACGACACAAAGGAGAGCAAGCCTACCAAGCAACTGCAAGAACTGCAACTGGTTCTGGCCAACCTCAATCCGCAGCGAGGACTGTTCAAGAATGGCTACACCGTCATGTACAGCTCGGTGGAAGTGGTGGATGGTGGGGATTCTACCCTTGCGTCATCGGCTTGTGTCTTCCAGGACGAGAAACGGTGGGCGAGACTACCCTCCCCGTTGGCGTTTGAGAAGTACTCGGTGCCTGTGGGCCAGACACCGGAACTAGGAGAAGATTCTACGGTGGACGGGGAGGACTTGGAGACTCAACAGGGGAATGATGAGGACGGAGGGGAGAGCGGCCACGAGGCTGCCGGTCCCCAGAAGAGTTTGGTAGGGGATACTACAGCGTCGGAGAGGAAGCAGGAGTTGAAGATTCGAGTGTCGTTTACGTACCGGTTCAAGTTTGCACGAGAGCGCGTGAGGTTCGCGTTCTGCTATCCATACACGTACACGAGGGTGCAGGAGGAGCTCGCAGCTATGGATAAACTATTTGCGCGACCGGAATTGCAGCCAGAGACTTCGCCAGCGACTGCGATCAACGAAAAGGCACCACCTTTGAATGTTTACTACCATCGAGAGCTGTTGACCCGCTCGCTGGAAGGCTTGCGGGTGGACTTGATCACTATTTCTTCGATGGACGGTATCACATCGAACCGAGGGCCCCTGAATCGGAGCTCGGGTTCTTCTCAGTGCAATCAGTCGGAGAGTGCGTTCCAATTCGACCCGAAGCAGAAGAAAATGGTCGTCATCTCTGCGCGTGTTCACTCAGGCGAGACGCCCGCAAATTTCATGCTGGATGGCATGTTTCAGTTACTGCTGCACCCCACCGACGAGAGCGCTATTGCACTACGTCGTCACTTTGTTTTCAAGATTATCCCTATGCTGAACCCCGACGGTGTGTGCCAAGGGTTCTACCGCACGGATACGCGCGGCGTCAATTTGAATCGAGTGTATGAAGACGCGCAACTCGAGACCGCCCCGACAGTGTACGCTCTGAAGGACTTTCTCCTCCAGATCGTTGGTGACTATGGAGGTGCTGACTCTCAGTTCGCGCAGGAGAACGTCGTCTATCTCGACCTGCACGCGCACGCGAATCGCCGTGGCTGCTTCATCTTCGGCAACAACCACCTCCCCGACGCCCTCATTGACAACAATAACGAAGCCATGGAGACTGCTATCACTCGCCAAATCAAGACACAGCTCTACGCGCGTCTCGTGGGGCTACACACGCCGTTCTTCGACTACATGGCGTGCTTGTTCGACAAGGACAACATGACCAAGCGCGACCTCCGAGATAACAACAATGCCACCACATCGCGACAAGGCTCGAGTCGCGTGGCCCTGTACCGCGCCACGGGGCTCACGTACGTGTACACGATCGAGTGCAACTACAACGAAGGTCGCCGCAATCTCCGAGCTTCCAGTCTGGTAGCATCCACATCATCTCCGACTGTAGCGTCAATCTCCGGTGCAGGGGCTTCAAAACGCTGCTCAAGCTCGAAAGGGTTGGCGAAACGCGTTCAGTCCGAGAGTCTGCGGATGCCGAGACAAACTGCCCCGACGAGCGGCACTCGACTTTACCTCAAGTACTCGCCTGCGGAGTGGAAAGACGTTGGTATTGGGGCTCTCGTCGCGCTGCTAGACTTGTTCGAGCTCCCAGGTGCAGGGCAGCGACTTGAGGAATCCCCGTTTCGATCGCGAGAGGGTATCCGGAAGAACCTCCTCGCAGAAATCAAGTCTGCAGCCTCGAATGAGGGCGGAACTTCTGCGAAGACAAGCAGACTCAACAAACCGAAAGCACGACAAGGCGTCAAGCCGCAAGTCAAAGTCAAAGCGCAAGTCAGTAATCTGTAGATTGTTCATACACTAAAACTGAAAAAAAATACCAGACTAGCAGAAGATTTTCTACTCACTGATCGGAGTTTGAATTTGAATTTGTTGCGGTTTAGCTGGCTATCTACTCCCGGGATCGCGCTCAGCTGCAATCCCGCCAAAAGATGGCGTGCCCGTGCGGACACGCACCTACGGTAGAAGCCCCTGACTCACTGATCGGAGTGCTTTCGTTTTATCCCTACTTTGACGAAATCATGTTGACCCAAAGCCTGGTAGACGACCCCCAAGTCGGATTGAACACCACCATACTCGTCATTCGTGCGTCATACACACGACAGAAAGGTTTTTGGAAAGACGCATATCTGCTGCGATGCGTTTCATCTCGTCACCGTCGATAGAAGCAACACACCGGAAGTCAACCAGACAGAACTCGGTCAATCCTAGCGAGGAGTAGCGACCACCGGGCGAAAATCGCTCAATGCTCTCGGCCAAGTTGCTCGCCTCTCGCAGCAATTCGATGCCCCACAACAGGCCGCCTGAAGCAATCGTAAAGTCAATAAACCCACTGGCTCCGAACAACGCGCCCACGTCGGCAGACGTCACAAAAGAGCTCGGTGTACAGCGATAGACAGCCTTGTAAAACTCCAGTTGCCATGCGGGGATACCTATGTCGTTGGGCAAAAACGTTCTGCAAAGTTCCTGGCGAACGTTAGTGTAATTCATCGCTTCCATCACTCGAGCGATCATCTCTGGTAGTGATTTGGGAACGTCAAGTGCTCGAGGCATGCGACCAACGCGCAGCTTGACGAAGTATCTCCACATGACTGGCGACGAGAAGTTTAATTGCCATTCACTTCGAACCAAAATGCCATTGTGAAGACACTGCTCGACTATATCACCGTTCGACCACGGATTGACACCACAAACAGCGCGTTCGAGTCGATCCAGATCCTCGACTCTTAGAGTTTCCAGTACCTTCACCGCACGGGTTTGTGCCAATGCTTCAAACAGCGCCCCGTTGTCTGGTTCATACAGCCACCCTCCTTGTAGCATTCGGATCCATGTTTTAGCCGACGGAGGATCACTCCAATTCTTTTCATACACTTTGTTGAGTGCATCAATGACACTCGTGCACAGACCGACGTGTCCACCCGTCAGCTCTTGCACTGTGGTGCAAAAAGTCTTCATCGCAGACGACGATAATCCTTTGGCGCCTTTGAACCACTTGGTGATATACTCGAATACTTCGGCAGGCCTAAAGTTTAGTTCATTGATCCCGAACACCATTCGATCGTCGCATCCGATCGAAGTACCGTGTCGAGTGTGCTCCACATTGAAGCCGTAATCTGCAAACATGACGATCCTCACCTGGTATGCAGCATCAATCTGAACAAGCTTGACCAGCTCCCAGAAAGCAATAAAGGTCGAAGCCAAGTCGTTGTAGACCAACTGCGCTTCATCGAGTATCAGATAGACCGCACGGTCTCGTGTTGGAAGGGCCCCCTTTGCGTGTACCCAGTCGAGCTTGCAACGATTCTTGAAGAAACCCTCAAAAGTCTCGTTCTCGAACATCCCCGCCACCGAAAAGCTGCACACCACCGCCTTCTTCTTCTCCTCCTTGTGTTTATTAACCAGAGCCTGGCATAGTAGCGTCGCCAGTGACGTTTTCCCAGTCATTGGTGGACTTTGGACCAGCACTACGTGCGTCTCGTCCAGCCGGTCGATGATGTCTGCAGTTAAAGCGCTCCGCGCAAGTGTTCTTTCATCGTTTAGATGAATATCTTCCCCAACCGATCCGTACCAGACGACATCTTCGTGTACAATACCAGGTACTACCACAAGCACGTGGATCACCTAGATCGCTGGGGAACTTCTTGCTGATCTTGTGCGTCGGGTCTCCCAGTTCCTCCTTCATGTAGAGACTCTTTACCTCACAGGGGCAATCTCCCTTCCGGCATACAGAGCACAAGAGGGTCCTTAGAGTTCAACCACGCGCCGTCTTCTGTCTTCGCCAGGAAGAGCTGCAGCTTGTCGGCTTCATACGTGACCGGAAGCGGCTTCTGGTCGTGGATCGCCTGCTTTAAGTGACCTACCGACTTGACTTTTGTCCGTGTCGATCTTCACAGGGAATGCGTACCCCGCGACACCGACGATGGCACAGTTGATAGTCATCGGCGCCATATCCTTGCAGATTCTGGAATGTGCGAGTTGTTGTTGGCTGTAGTCAATATCTGCGCACAAACGGATTTGGACTACCGTAGCCCTGCAGCTGCTGCAACGCTGGCCATGCCAGTGCAGCTAGGCAATTTCGTTAGCGCCGACCCAATTACCCGCCTCGTCTGTTGGGACCCCTGTCTGCTCGAAGTTGTCCTCAAGCCTGTCAAAGCGTCTTCGAACCCTCGTCCTCATCGAGCTCCTCGAAGCCAGGAGCTGGGTCACGGAGGTCGCAACAACAACGCTGCGGGGAGTCGATGCGTTAGTCCAAAGCTATCGCAGCTAGTAACACCACGACACGCGGGGGTCTCTCCCTTTGTAACATTTCTAACGGACACTGCTCCGTGTTGTGGCGGATTTCATGTTGAGGCGGATTTCTTGTGTTTCGGATGGCTCCGTACCATACGCGGCGGTTGGCCTGCACGGCCAGCAGCTCGCTCACGTGGTGGCAGGATCCGAAGGTGCCTTGCGCGAGCTGATCGGACACCCTGCACGTGGGCTGTAGTCCAGCGGCGACCATAACTCGCACCCACAGCCCCTCGGTCGCTCTTGACACGGTACAGTGTAGAAGTTCGACTGACCAACGCCCAGGCCAACGGAGATCGCCCAGGGTTCTGCGACATCGACGTGGTGCTGGCGCGCAAGCTACAGATTCGGACCTCGTGGAGCAGATGTCGAGGCGCTGCATATGCTTCAGACTGAGCATGACGCCTTCGCAGTTGGACAACGTAGCAGGTATTAAAGCCCTTTACCACAAGGTTTGCGGTGCTTGAGAGCAGGCTCAGAGCGCACAACCACCGGTGAATTATTTTGCTGGTGGAAAGCCTGCAACACAGAGCTGTGCGTGTACAACGTGGACCGCTTTCGACTAAAATCCTGCCACGATGGCACGAAGGACAAACACGAAGTGACGACAGTGCGCCAAGCGTTTGATCCGTCTCAACGATCCTTGTCACCGCCGTTCCAGTCAGTACCTGTATGAATACACCTCGCCTATAATAAATCCCATGGCATTGTCCAGCACCCTTGAGCCTGGATTCGAGAATGCTCGACGTGAAGATGCCAGGAATCCTATCGTTTTGGTCGAGTTGGCCAGCTGGGGGCGGGCGTTGGTGGCAGCTTGGCCATCTGCGTGCGAGTAGGGCAGGTCACATGGTGCGACTTACCCCAACGCATCAGGTGCAAAGAGCGTAGATGAATGGCAGTGGAGAGGGGATCTCAAGAGTCAGCAGCGCCCGTGTCCTCATCCAGTGCATTTCTTACGCTGCCGCCCAGCGTCAGAGAGCGGCCGCGGACTCGTGGCTCGATTTACCCTCAACGCTCTCGCATCGATCACGGCACTTTTGGATTTTGCTAGGCGGAGGCAAGGCACCCGGTTCAATTGACAGCACGGGGGTTCCGAAACCATGGCGGACGTCGACAAGCGCCAGGTCAACATCCCCACGGGCGAGAAAGAGTGAGAGATTATTGCAGTTTTGTGCGCTATCGACGATGAATCTCACGATCGTGTTTTCCTACGTATTTGGTCACAGGATCACCATGGTGCCGTTGAACGACGAGGGCTATGACGAAATGGCGAGTCCTCCTGCGGTTCGCCTCCGCACAGGCACCATCGGAAGTGAAGACTTCAACGACAAAGGCGCCAACCTGCACATCGACATGGACAACGACCAGAAGAAGTCGATCAAGGCGCAAATGTTTTCTTGTAAGTCTCTATGTATCACATCGTCGAGTCTTCGAGCTCTCGCACTAAGCTTGAGGATGTTGTTGTAGCCGAGTTCCGCTTCAACGCTGAGCTTTCGCTTCGAGTGGCGTGTGGTGTGGTGATCGCTTCGTTCATTCAGATCCGCGACCCAAACTACGACCCGGCCATTGAGCACGACAAGAAGTGGTTCTTCTTCCCGGATTGGTACTACCTGGGCGGTCTGAGCTACTGCGCTGTGGCTGTCATCTTTTCGGCCGGTAAGAACGTCGGTGCGACGCTGACTCAAGTCTGCCAGGCGTTCTACGGCGTGGGCATGGCGTTGGTGTACAACCTGCTGCTCTTCTCGTTCGTGAACGTGCACACGTTCAGTGACTCGTACGACGGCTACGTCCTGATCTCGAAGAAGATGTCCTTTGGCTCGAGCGACTACTACGTCAACTCGCACAACTTCTACGCTGTTCTGCCGTGGATGGTCATCTTCACGGTCGTCATCCTCCTCATGCCGCTGGAAACCAACACCAAGAAGTTCGCACTGGCCAACAACCTCTACTTCAGTACGTTTTTCTCGATTTCTCATTTCTTTCACAGAATTGGAAACTAACGTTTTATGCTGATTTTTAGCGCTGACGATCATTAACCCGACGGATCCTCTGGACTCCTCCAAGCTGAAGGCTTCGAATGACAACTACTTCGAGACGAGCAACATTCTCAACAATCTGGCGATGTACTTCATGGTGGGATTCGTGGGAACTCTCATTTCGCTCATCATCATGTTCATCCCCTACCCGATTTTGTGAGTATCCTAACCAGAATTTTGGAATAGTTCTCTTCGTAGTCTTGGAACTAACCAATCTCCTTTGTTATGAACAGTGCCATTGCGAAGCTCCTCGACGAGACGAAGAACGCCTCGGGTGACGTCTTGGATCTGCTCAACGTCATTGTGGACTCGTACTGCTTCAAGAACAAGAACGTGGATCACATGAACTTCCTGAAACTCAAGCTTCAACGCAAGTTCGACGCCGCAGCGGCCCGCCACCGTCGCATGGTCAAGCTCCTGGAGGACGTGTGGTGGGAGCAGCTCTTCGGCTTCCACCTCTTTTTCAAGTTCAACCGCTCCGTCGCCAAAAACTACGTGCGTCTCATTGGCTCGCTCATTGCAGACTTGCGGTCGCTCAACAATGCCATGCAACTCGAGCAGTACGACCAGCTGCACTTCATGTACATGAAGGTGCTGCAGCGCGAGATCTACGTCATCCAGATGCGGTCGGGCGACCTACTGAACGAGATCTCGGGCGAGATCCACGCTTCCTCCGAGCGTACGTATTCTACATGTTCTACACCATTCTACCTCCGTTTCTAACTTTTTCTTTGTTTATTTCATTAGAGCTCGATCTCCGGTCGATCAAAACTCTGCAACGTCAGATGGAGCACACGTTGGTGCACTACCGAGAGGCGCAGATCCGTCTCCTGCAGTCGAGCAAAGTCAAGATCAAGGACGTGGAGGGCAACGTGTCGTTGAATCTGTTCCTCTTCTCGCTCAACTCCTTCTGCAGTACTCTCATTGAGTTCCAAGACAAACACAACGAGAAGGATTTCCACGGAGGTCGACGCGCGCGCTCGTTCGTGTCCGCCTCGATCAAGAACTTCTTCATGATCAACCGGTACACTCGCGCGCGCATCCTGGAGTCTGCGCGTATGGCCGTGGCCATCGTCATCGGTATTTTCATGGCTGTGTACCTCTACGGCTTCAGCTCCACGACCCCCGCCGCCGTGTCGTACGTCATGGGGAATCACATCGGAGGCTCCTTCTCCGTGACGTTGAACCGAGTGGGCGGCGTCGTGGCTGGCAGCGTGGTGCCGTCCGTGTTCCAGTTCTTCATCTCGCAGATCTGCAACCCTCAGGCCCTGAACGTCTTCCTGTCCGACTTGGTGCTCTTCGTGTGGGTGACGCTCTCCATGTACGTCAAGTTCGTCGAGGGCTACAGCTCGTACGCCGGTCTGGTGTCGGCCTTCATCGCCGCTGGCGTCCTGCTCCGTCAGACCGACGTGTGCTACACCGACAGCTCGGACGGCTCGTCCGCCATCGCCATCAGCTCGTACTCGAGTCTCGCACAGACTTCCGTGGGTCTCGTGCTCATCATCGTGCTGGAAATGGCCATGTGCCCCGAGAGCGCCTCGAGTCTGCTGCGTAAGAACATCCAGCAGACTCTGAAGCTACAGCAGAAGGCCTTTGAGATTCTGTTCGGCCACCACCTCTCGAGCTCCGGCGAGATGAGTGACGAGACGATGGAGGAGGTTCGAGACATCCTCCAGGTGCAGATCCCCGCGCAGCTAGTGGAGCAGCAGGCGCTGCTGAAAGAGGCCGAGACGGAGCCGCAGATGTGGCGCCCGGCGTTCTCCAAGCAGAAGTACGAGGCGGTCTTTGAGAGTACGAACAGGTTGCTGAATAACAACAACTTGCTGTTTAAGCTCGTGCGCTGGTACAACTACCGGACGAAGCAGAACTTGGCGCAGACCAACACTGTGGACATCCGCGACAACGAGACGGAGAGCGCGCGTGTGTTCGACACGAACGGCGGCAAGACGACGCACACCAAGTGGCAGGAGGCCAGCAACCAGTTCCTGTCGGCAGTGGACGACACGTTCAACACGCTGCAGATGCTGTTCGGCGAGTCGTTCCTGTACTCGGACCCGGACCAGACGGCCATCTTCATGCAGATGAAGGAGGCGTTCCGAGTCGCGGACAAGGACTGCAGCGGTGAGATCGACGCGGACGAGGTGGCGGTCATGCTGGAGACCATCTTCGCTCAGTCGGGTGCTGTAAAGCAGGAGGAGATCACCAAGTACGTCGCGGACTTCATGGAGGTCGTGGACAAGGACTGCAGCGGCAAAGTGTCGTTCGAGGAGTTCATGGCGGCGCTGGAGGACGGACTGAAGCTCGAGGTGGAGGTCTATCACCGCCGCAAGCCCAAGGCTACGACCACACTGAAGCAGGCGCTGTCCAGCATCAACGAGGACGGTCACGGTGCTTCTCACGCTGGTTCTCGAGCATCCAGGGTCAGCTGCAGCGTCACGTCCTCGAACGGCACGGGAATGAACAAGATCACCGCCAGCATGTTCGACTCGAACACCCCCAGGAAGGAGGGACGGATCCTCAGTGCCGTGTCTTCAGCGCAGAACACGCCGAAGAAGTCGGGCTTCAATATGAGGCGAGCCTCGACCATGATGACGTCGCCCATTCGACGCAACCACGACGTCTTGAACGTCGAGGACTTCAGTACGAGCGACATCGCGGCTCAGATGAAGTCTGCGTACGTCGAGTGGCTCATGGAGGGCCAGCGCTTCAAGCGCGTGACCATGGAGGAGCTGCTGTTGCTTAACTGCCTGGTCAGTGGCGCTGAGGGCATTGCGAGGAATCTCACGCTCATGGAGGAGATCGTGGTCTCTTCGTAGGGCGATTCAGAGGCGTGGGGTGCGTAAAACGAAAGACAAATACAGTACTAACGTTATATCTCAAAGGTTTAGTCGAAGCAGGAGCTGCTGATGATCGGGTCGATCCAGCCACGAGCACTGGAGACTCGTGAGTACATTCCTGGATATGAGGGGCCCCGTCCGCAGGCGTTGTCGCTGCGCCAGCTCACGACGCCAATGAGGACGTCTCCACGGCTCGACTCAACAACTAACGGGCCTCCAGTATCGCCACTGCAGACATCCTCGCTGATCAATCCTCCAGCACACAGCATCGAATCGTCAATGGTCGAAACCTGCGCGCAGCTCTTCTCGCTGATGAGAGGCAAGTCAACCCGTCGCAGTTCCTCGGACATCGTGCCCTCCTCAGCCGTGAACCCCCATCCAAGCGCTGTAGCTGTAGCCCCCGCCTTGAAATCCGAGTCGTCTGACGATGCGAGCTTCACGGGTTTGAAAGCGCTCGCGGATTCCAGCTCCAAGAGCGCGAAGTCGTCGCTGTACGCGACGTTAGCCGAGAAATTTGGGTTGTTCATGACCGACAAGACCTTGATCTGCTCGCTGTCTTCCGTCCCATTGAGGTAGTGCGACCCGATCGACGCCCAGCGGATGTCGTACGAGGCGCACTGCGACGCCGTGAGAACGTGCTTCGGGCCGATGAGGGACCCGCCGCAGACGTTCTCGCCGTCAACCGAGTGGCGGAGGCCAACCGTGTACGTCTTGGTCTTGGCTGGGACGATTGACCCTTCCAGGATCAGTTGGCGGTGGGTTGGAGACTGAATGGCATCGGACGACGAAGGAGTAAGGAATGCAACCGCACAGAGAGTGACGAAGGCAGCCTTCATTGCTTGCGAGCTCTTGAAAGCGAAAGTGGTAATAAGAGGCTGCTGAGGACTCCTCAGTGAGGAGGAGCGCTTGGAAGCGAACCAGATCGTGTGGCAAATAGAAAATGCATGATGCGCTTGAGATCTGTTCCGACAGGAGGTCTGCAGGTTGAAGTGTACTGGTACATGTAGATCCTTTGAGCCTTTGATCCAGCGGATAATTGTATGTACTGTACTGTACATCCTTGTTCGCTGTTTGACTGGGATTGCACTCTGTTTTCAAAGGCGCTAATCGTCAATCTTCGCTGGTTCGGGAGTACATAAGTGCAAGTTTTGCTGAGACGGACCACATGTGTACCTGTAGCAAAGCTCCGTACATTTTCAAGCGCGATAAATACATACTGTATAACTCGAACACACGTTTTTAGAGCTGAACACTACGATTGCATAACAAACCAAACTTCCCAAGCGTCTTCAGTTTGGAGAAGTACTAGTATGATTCTCTTACCGGTACATTCATATCGCGGTGAAGCAGCGCGTGGTATTTGGCCAGCTTTTGCAGGCAGGGCTAACGATCTTGAGTGGTTCATTTGATGCACGCATAATGCGACTCGCATATCGTTAGTGTACTCCCTAACGCTGACATGTTAGTTGCTTTACATGTTAGCTAACTGTTAGTTAGTGTCTAGTATTTTGAGCTAACATGTTAGTAGCGTTAGAGCAAAAGTAAGGGAAGAGTATATGTTTGCACCGAAGGCAGCCGAGAAGGGCGATGTATCAAACTGAACACAAATACACCCTCAAAACTAAGATTTTACCATTCAATCTATAATACTTTGAAGAATCTGCTAACATAGGGAAACATTTGCTGGGTGAAGCTCACATGGGGGGCTGTCACACCACTTATCAGCGCAGACGATGACCGATTTTAAGAGTGAAGACGACTTAGGCGCCTCCTACCTATGTCAAAGTCCGCGGTGCAATATAAGCACCCAGACCAGCTAGTAAATACGCTTTCGTACAGATTACTAAGTAATCTTCTCATGTACCCATTTCCTCCACTATACAGTGTAGCTAACATGTGTAGTTTTTCAACTAACTGTTAGCTAGTGTCCAGTAGAATCAGCTAACATGTTAGTGGAGTACACTCGCATATCGTCATGCAGCCGTTGGAACCACGCGGGACAAGCCAAACAACTTCATTCTTCTCAAACCGAAGAAGATGAAGTGGGCGGCAACCTGACGCGCCTCACAAACGAATTCGCTGGCTGGACGGCAGAAGAAGACTCATGGAAAAGAAGAAACACACAAAGAAGAAGACGATGACCAAAGCAGGTGGTGGTGGATCGAAGGGCGGGACTTCGAGCGGGTCTGCGTCGAAGGGCAGTGGTGGAGGTGGAGGTTCCGGACACTCGCAGGCGGCGGTCGACAACCGCGCCAACCAGCTAAACCCAAACAATCCCACCTACCACTCGTCGCGCGCTCATGGCTAAAGCCCGACAGGCTGAGGTTGCCCACGATGGAGTGAGCGGAGTTTAATGCTGTTGACGCTACCGCTTGATGATCAAGAGCAAGAACCGAAGACTGCGACCAAGTGAAGTAGTGCCCCCTGTCTAGTAACGTAGGCGTACTAGTAGTACGGTAGTAAGCCTAGCAACAATCTCGTTTTTGCCTTAAGTCGCTTTTTGTCGATCTGCATTAGACGGTTGGATCTTGCAGTTCTGGCACCACGGATCCAGCTCGGGAATTGCTGCAGGCAGCTCAAGTTCGTTTAATGCGGGCGCGATCTCTGATAAGCCAAGCGGAGTCTCGGATAACGCAGGCGGAGTCTAGGGTTCTGCAGATGCGACTTCGTACACTGCTGGTGCGAGTTCGGGAACATGAAATTCGGGCGCGAGCTCGGGCATTGCAGCTAGAGGCGGGCATCACGGCTCGAACGCAGGAGGGCGTCTTCACCGCTCGGGCGCGCCAAGCAGCTCAACCGCAAGACCCAAAGAAGAGCGAGTCGAAGGAATCCAGCTGAGTCACACGCGCGTCGATGAGCAACGTCAACTTCCCGGTGCTGCAGCGCCGAATCTCCGCCTGCAAAGACAGCAAGTTAGGATAATCCTTTTCAATGAGGTCTTTGTCGTTCGTTCACCAGCCTCATCAACTCTTCCCTCCTACATGTCCTACAGCTAATAGCGGCATGGATGTCCATGGGCGTCAAGTATCCATCGCCGCGTGTTATGCGACGCTGCATCATCTGGATTTGCGCGGAGAGGCGGCACCACAACATGCAGCCAGCTTCCTCACTTATTCCGCCTTTGGACACACAAGCGAAAGCTTTAATCGATCTACACTCACTCAAGCGCAGCATGGACTTCTTCAACAAGGCCAAGCAGGCAGTGGAATAGTACGCGGCGGCGACTCCAGCAGCAGCAGCAGCAGCAGTCACAGCAACAGCAAGAAGAGCGACTCGATCTTCTCCAAGGCCAAAGACGCGGCCGACAAGTATCACGCCAAGGAGAAGGCGGTCGAGTTCGCCCAGAAGCGGGTCGCCAAGAGGGAGGGCGAGAAGCACCAGCACGGGTACGTCGAGAAGAAGGACAAGTCGACCGTCGACAAGGCCGTGGAGGCGGCCGAGGACTTCCTCGCCAAGCAGGGACAGCCTAAGCCCCACCACTCTGGCGACAAGAAGGACAATCAGATGGATGCCATGTTTGGCAAGGCCAAAGACGCACTAGGCAAGAAGCACTAAGACGATACAAAACTAAAGCGGTCGAATACAGCATAAGGAAGTTTGACTGTAGACTTTGCAGCTGTCCTAATGCTGAGATTACTTGCAGGGCATGTGCGCGTGTTCAGCTTGGCGTGAACGGACGGAGGAGGAAGATCCAGCCGAGCCAGGATCGGCACGCGGCTGATTTACCTGGTATCTAAGAGGCTGTTTGAGCACAGATGGAGAGCTATCTGTCGGGAAAGGTGGAGGCGTGCGTACTTCGGATACATTGGCTCACTTTCCATTCTGCCGGACTCCCGACACCCGACGATTTAATTAACTAACCACCTACCGCAACGATGGACTCGATGCTGAACAAGGCCAAGGAGGCGGCGGAGAAGTACACGGGCCACGGCGACTCGCACAGCAGCCACGGCCACAAGGACGAATCAAAGCTGCACCACCTCAAGCACGAGGCGCAGAAGATGGCCATGAAGCACGCGGCCAAGGACTACGCCGAGGACCACGGCTTCTCCAAGAAGAAGCACCACCACCACGACAACCAGGACGAGTCGCTGCTGGACAAGGCCAAGGAGGCGGTCGGCAAGTACACGGGCCACGGCGACTCGCACTCGCACTCGCACTCGCACTCGCACAAGAAGGACAACCAGGACGAGTCGGTGCTGGACAAGGCCAAGGAGATGGTGGGCAAGTACACGGGCCACGGAGACTCGCACTCGCACTCGCACAAGAAAGACAAGCACGACGACGACTCCATCTTCGACAAGGCCAAGGACGCCGTCGAGAAGTACACAAAGAAACACTAATCCTCTTTAGCCACCTCGATGTGTAGCTACCTCTCTTACCGTTTGAATTGAACCACAGCACTTTCGTCAAGATTCTTTTGGTTGAAGATGTGAATGGGACGAGCTATGCCTCAGGTGGAATCGCTAGCGACAACCACTGGGACCAAGCGTAGTTGGCAGCCTCAATGTGGCCGCCATTCTCCGAGGCTTCTTTCAAGCTCCTCTCCAAGCTCACAACTGAATTGGACGCGCAAGACCCACCAAGATGGAGGCGATTCGAAGCGCAATCGACAAGGCCACCGGGGGCAAGGCCCGAGGCAGCAACAACGACGACGGTCCAGAATCTGGCTCGGCCTACCGTTCGTCCGATGCGCGCGGGGAGCCGGACGCTGGCACCAAGAGCTACTCGCGTGACACCGACGACGACCCGTACGATCGCAGCAAAAACGACCCGGACACGTCGTCGTCCTACTCGTCTCGCGGGGGCAGTGGCACCACCACCGGGCTGGGCGGCGAGAGAAGCACGACTGGGTACTCCGGTGGCTTTGGCGACGACAACCAGAGCTACTCGGGTATCGGCGGAGACAACGACACCTATGGCTCTGGGTCCTACGGGGGCAGCGATACGTACGGCAGCGGCTCGGGCTCGAAGCACCAAGGCTCGAAGAAGCATTCGCGTCGATCGGGCGACAACGACGACGACGACAGTGGAGCCACTGGGGACGACGAGAGCGGAGACATGGGCGGGGGTTCGCGTGGAATGCGCGGCAGTGCCGGCCACTCCGGTCGCTCGAGTGGAACGCGCACGTCCGGCGGCAACCAAGGCTTCGGGAGCTACGGGTCGGGGGACAGCAACTACGACTAAGCGTGGACGAGCACAAGGGCAGACCATGGCTGGCAGGATATTGAGCGTAGCGAAGGAGAGAGTGAGATCAGTAGGAACAACAGTCGCTACATCTATCTATCTAATCATTTGAGCTTGAAGGTTTGTTTACCAGCCCGAGCATTTCATATATTCATAACTCTCCACGTTGAAGACGATTGGCGAGCTCTGGTGTCACAAGTGTGTGACAAGCATCAAACGCGTGCAGAGAGTACCACGAACTGGTTAAAGCAACTGAGAATGCCATTGCTGTTCGAGCGCTGGCCTTGATTTTGCTGCTTTTGGCCTTTCAGCTCATCAGCAAAGTTCACCCACGCCTCGAGTGTGCCTCATCTGGCTTTGCCTACGCATGCGCTCATTGATCACCCCTCGGTCGGTTCATTTCAGCTTTTGCCACATCAAGAACAACTACACTTAGGAACTATGGGCTTTTTGTTCGAGGCCGCCAAGAAGGTGGAGGACTTTGCGCAGGAGAGGGTCGCGGAGCGGAAGATGGAGCGGTGCCAGCCAGGGTACGTCGAGAAGCCCAAGTCCATGGTGGAGAAGGCCGTCGAGGCTGCAGAGGAATTCATCGCCAAGCAGGACGACGATGACTGCAGCTCCAGCTCCGACTCGGAGTGCGAGACGAAGGAGTACTCGACCTACACCAAGACATCGCGAGAGATCGCGGGTACCGGCACCCGCGTAGAAGAGGAGGTGACCGTCTCCGTTCGCACCACCACGGAGCCCGAATACCCCGGCGTCTCGACCCAGAACTACGGCAGCTCCAGCTACCGTCACGGCGACAACTACGGGGCCTTTAACAACGATGTGTCGAGCAGCTCCGAGTACCGTTCGACTCAAGTCCGCAACGGAGACGGGTACGAGCAGAAGGAGTACACCTCGTCCTACAGCAAGACGTCGAGGGACGACTCAGACGGCTACTACGGTGGTGCTTCGTCGTCCTACTCGACCCGCGTCGACGAAGAAGTGAGCTATTCGGCTCGCCCCGAATATCCGAGCAATGTCTACAACGGCTCGAGCTATCCTAGCGTCGTGCCGCAAGCTGGCAGCTACGGTGCGCCCCCGATGGAGAGCAACGCTGTCTCCAGCACTTCGGAGTACCGTTCAACTCAAATCCGCGACGGAGACGAGTACGAGAGGAAGGAGTACTCGTCGTCCTACAGCAGGACGTCGCGGGACGACTCGGAAGGCTGCTATGGTGGAGCCTCGTCGACCTGCTCGGCCCGCGTCGACGAAGAAGTGGACTACTCCGCCCGCACTACGCGTCCCGAGTACATGGGAGGTTCCGGTCGGGAGTACAACAGCTCGAGCTACCAGCGAACCGTCCGCGAGGACGACAACTGTGACGCATTCAACCGGATGACGCTGGAGAGCAGCGAGACCGAGTACCGCTCGACTCGAGCGCGTGATGACGGCGACTACGGGAGGAACGAGAACTCGTCCTACAGCAGGAACACGCGAGACAACTCGGACTACTCGACTCGCGTTGACGAGGAGGTCAACGTCTCTGTTCGCACCACTTCAACCCCCGAGTACCGCAACAACTCGACGCAAAACTACAGCAGCTCGAGCTACCGGAGGGACGGCGACAGCTACGGCGACGTGTCCAGCAGCTCCGAGTACCGCTCCACAACTCGAGTTCGAGACGCGGATGGGTGCGAGACGGAGGAATACTTGTCCTACAGCAGGACGTCGCGGGATGACTCCAACGAGTACCGTCGTCCAACAGGCAACTTTGGTGATGAATACTCGTCACGCGTCGAAGAGGAAGTGAGCTACTCATCTCGCAGTAAGCTTACTTCACGAGGGTACCCCTCAGACGAGTGCGAGTTCCAGGGCCGTCCTGCTGGTGGCGTGTATGGCAGTCGTGAGCTGCAGATGAGCAGCAACCAAAGCTACGGAGCCTACAACTACGGCGTGTAGATCTAGGTGAAGAAGGTCAGGATAAGCTTACCCTGGATAATACATCATGACATGAGTACTACATTGTAGTCCAACACCTTCCATTGCGGTATGAGAGTTCACCCACGTGCTGTCCTGGCCGCGTGTATGAGACGCTGCGGCCATGTGGATTTGCCGCCACCGGGTCATTTCAGCTTTCGGCGCGAACGCGGCAGGCGGTGATTGACAGGAGGGAACATCGTCATGGACTTTTTCAACAAGGCCAAGGAGGCGGCGGAGAAGTACGCGGGCGGCGGTGACTCGAGCAAGAGTAGCGCCGCCGATGACAAGAAGAAGAGCGACTCGATCTTCTCCAAGGCCATGGAGGCGGCCGAGAAGTACCACGCCAAGGACAAGGTGGTCGAGTTCGCCCAGAAGCGCGTGGCCAAGAGGGAGGAGGAGAAACTCAAGCCTGGCTACGAGGAGAAGAAGGACAAGTCCGTGGTGGACAAGGCCGTGGAGGCGGCTGAGGACTTTTTGGCCAAGCAAGGAGACAAGCCCGGACAGGTTAAGGAGGAGAAGAAGGTCGAGGAGGTCAAGGCCAAGGAAAACAACGAGCACTCGAGATCCAGAGCAAGCTCCAGCTCCAGCTCGGACGACGAGAAGAAGAAGAAGAAGCAGGAGAAGCTTTCGCACCACAGCGAGAGCCCGAAGAACCAGTCAGAGAGTCCCCACCACAACCCGGCGTCTTATCCTGACACTAATCCCGACACTAGCGCTGAAGGCGACATGCACGGGTCGTTCTCGAAGATAAACCTGAACGACAGCAACGCTCCAAGGTACGATGCTGGCAACAATGGCTCGGCTTATCCTGTTCGTGAAGAAAGCAACTGCAATGCCGAGACATACCCAAGTTACGACTCAGACTACAGTCGCCAAAACGCTTCGAGTGCACCGCCAGCATACCAGTCAGCTAGCAGCGGCTACCCGAGTGGGAACAACCCGGGCTATCCGAGCTATCCCGACAGCTCGAGTTACCCTGACAACTCAAGCCGTGACAGTAACCCGACTAGTGGCTCGCGTTACGAGACGTACCAGGAGTACTGGGGTCGACAGGGCAGCAGTGACAACCTGAGGAACGAAAACTACCCCACCTATTCCAGTGGTGCCGCCGGAGCTGGTTATGGATATGGCCAATCGAACGCGGGCGCCTACGATGGTCGTGATGTGTACGACAACAACAGCCAGTATGGACGGTCGAACGGAGCGAATGTGTACGGTGGCAACCGAGGCTACGGAGGCTACCCCAACGGTAGAGTCTAAGGGCCGGCATCCATACGAATCAGTTGCTTTTCGCAACATTGATGAAGGTGTCCAGGTTTGGTAGTGAAGAAATTAATTAGCGGTGGTTCGTTGCTGGTTAGCATAAAGCTAAGGCATGCGTATGCTTTTGTTGCCATTTGTCGAAGAAGCTCAACGCTTGCGCTCTTCTTGGGCTCTGGGCTGTGGAGTGCATAATGTACATCAGGTGCCCAGTGCTCGCACATCGTTAAACTACATGTATTTCAAAGAATATCTAGCATACTTTTAGCCGTAATGGTTGCGGCAGCGATTTGATGTTTGTGTGCGGGCTTCCAAGCCCATTAGTATTAACTCCGCATAGAAAAAAATCCTTATCCATCGGTTTGCCAGTAGCTACTTACTCCTAACTGTATGTGCATGAAGATAGCTCGAAACTCGTCCGAGCATAAAGCTAAGTTTTTCTTCCTGTAAAACAGGAAGAAAATGTGTTCGATTACACATTTATCTGGTTTCTCAATTTATGTGCACTACATGTAGGACGCTACTCGAGCGATATGTTAAATGCCGAGAAAACAGATTCAAGCTTCGGCAATTGTACGTACATGCTGGAGCTTGAGTCTGATTTTATCTCTGCTGATGAAGTCGCCTAAATGTTTGGAGTGCCGAAGACGCTTCAAAAGTGATAACTTGATTTGCTTCGGAGTTTGAAAGTCGTAGGAGCTGTCGATAGTTGGAGCTGAATGTACTGCAAACTGTTGATATCGCTGTTTCAAAGGGTTCCGGTTCTCCATCCTCCAAAAAGCTCATCTCTGCATGTAAAAACACTTAAGGTAACGTGAGGATAGAACCGTATTACCGCTCAGATGCACATGTAAAATATCTAGAGCACTGTCGACGATCGGAACAGTTCAACATGATGCTTGTTTCTGACTTGGCACTCGCGAAGCGGCCACTCGGCCTGGGGAGAAATTTATCCATAATGGTGGTGCTCATACGTGATCTTCGGAGGTCCGTGGGGCTTTTGGCCGTCAATAATCTTGTTAGCGAGCTGTCTGTACTCCTCGTACCTCTTGTGACGTAGGAGATAGTTCGGGTTTTTCAGGTATTTGGTCCAAGAGAGGCCCATCTCGTCGAGAATCGACTTTACTTGAGACTGAGAGAGGGTCCTCTCCTCGGAAGAGTCTTCCTCATCTTCGACAACACGGTGGTGGGTCCTCAGAAGTCGGTGGCTGGGTGAAACCTCTTTCGAGATCTTGGCCTGGTAGCGTGGAGTGCGTCCGATCTACACGTGTATTAGGCAGGCTCCCACTTCGGAATTTACTTTCGAGCTCCTAACCCCGACTCCCAGTGACCAACAAGATGCGTCTTTCTCAAGTTTTGATGGTGCTCGCCGCGTCCTTCCTGGTCACGACTGAGGCTCTCTCAACAATTACGAGCTCCAACATGTACATGTGAGGAATTTCCATAAATCAGTGATTTTCACTGAGATTTGACAAAATGATTGTGATAGTTTGCCTGAATTCACTGATGCAACATCAGTAGTATCGTACTAGCGCGTCCATACAATTTGCAAGTCAAATGTAGACCTATAGTAATACTAGAAATAGTACATGTAGATAGTATGTTACCTACTATAACTAATACTACATAATATAGTATCACTGTCGATGTTATTAGTACATACTCCGGTTGCTACGGTACAGTAGACAGGCGACCCCAACCAGTGGCACTTACGTGATATCTGAACTATGCTTGAAGCGCATACCCCCTTCCTTCCTAGTTTTTGGTTTTCATGCATCGATAGTAGCTTCAGATGAGATATGTTATCTTTAATAGACCAAGGTTTTGTGAAGCCAAGTACCCAGCCCTATAAAAGTGATAAAGTAGCAATGAGGACAGCCTTGCGGGATGCCAACCGCTTCAACCTCCGCTACAGGTCCTCCGTCCACGGGTCCACGGATCCTGCAATCTCAGGAATGAACCGCGTTCGAGGTGAGCGAGATTGTGTTGTGCGAGTTAAGTTTGGGTCCGCAGAAGATGATAATGGTCGACGGGCGAAAGGCTCATGAACATCCTGGTAGGCTCTTAGTCAATGTAGCAGGAGATGCGTTGTAATGGAAACGCAAATTTACATACCACAGATACTGCAGGTAACAGGTAATCCGTAGATTGCAGAGCTTCTTCGTGCAACGCGCGCGACTTTGTATCTCGTTGAATTGCGATAGCGATAGTGACTGCGCCGCCGCGGTGAAGATGCTCACACTAAGTTCTATCCCAGCCTATGCATAGCTCTCGTCATCATTTGATCGGCTACAAATAATCGGATGTAGGTTGCACTGGCAACTTTACTCCTCCCCCAGAATAAATGTAGTATGTAAATAGAGACATCTTACCAAAAAAATAAACGCAGGTCGTGTAAAAGTCTCGTTGAGGATGATATTATATTGTGCTGCGATATAGTAACTACTATAGTGTATTGGCAACTTATAAAGTGGCGGATTCCCACAACGTAGAAAGACAAAGTACTTCCGCACCCACCTGCAAACATTGTGTGCGTCACAAGGTTTTCGGTTCATGTTCTTAGTTTAATATGTCGGATCCCATCGGTACTCAGTTCTTTCAAGTCTCTTGCCGCGGCGACTCTGCTCGGTTGTGAAGGGGGGAAACATGTCGACGCATAGTTAAGTAGGCTACGGCCTTCGTCGTGGTGTCTGCTTCCTTCACATCGACTGGGCCTTACCCAACGAGAGTAATCGAAAGAAGCGAAAACCTACTACTGTAGTATTACTATTTACCAAATCACTGAGTCAGTAGTTTTAAGCTATCACAATCATTTTGTCAAATCTCAGTGAAAATCAATGATTTATGGAAATTCCTCTGTACATGTAGTGTTAAGTGTGGTTGCACCCCATCCCAAGCCATTCCGGCGTCTTCTCAACATATAAGTATTCTGTATTGTAGATGCGATAATACTAATCACATCACATGACATCCGGGATGAGATCTCGGAATGTATTGATTAGTATTTCATTTTTTTCCACGACCATACTGTAGATGCGATAATACTAATCACATCACATGACATCCGGGATGAGATCTCGGAATGTATTGATTAGTATTTCATTTTTTTCCACGACCATACTGTAGATGCGATAATACTAATCACATTACATGACATCCGGGATGAGATCTCGGAATGTATTGATTAGTATTTCATTTTTTTCTACGACCATACATGTACGTACAAGGTGCATGTTGTTGGCTCGGCACCATGTTTCCATGTAAGTCCACGGCTGATCATATAATATATGCAGATATTATCTGCGAATGAGAATGAGCAATTCGCTAACGCAATATTAAACCGAAAACAAAATGATATATGTGCAAACCACACTGCACCTTGTCCCTGTAGGTAGACGTTAGTACATTGAGTAATACGAGATGAACTCTTTGGCACCCGCTTAAGCACTACGGCAACTAGATTGTGCTTGCAAGGCGCTATCCGTGATAACCTGTAAATTTGAGGTACTGCTGTTAGAAATACTACAGTATTAACATCTATTGGTTCGCAAGTTGAAGTGTCCACAACACGGAACCAACACTTGGGACAAACCATTGGGATCCAATGAGCTGGGAGTTAAGGTAGTTCGCATTCAGTTCACTTGGGGATTGATCAATGGATTCTGATGCGCTCTGCCCTCGCTAAGCGCCACCGTCTTTTCCGAATGACGACGCAGAGCAGACGTCTAGCTCGCTTGCTGGACACGATTGGATGTGGTGCTCCTTGCTTTGCATTTCATACTCGTCCCGTAAATTGTTATTATACTTCTCGCCTGCTTGAAGTAGATCATGTGCGATCCGGTACGGTACAGAAATAAAATACGAACCTTGGAGGTGGCGTCGTGCACATTGTAGAACTCTACTATTATAGCAATAGAAAAATATTGTGCTTTGCAGATAAAATGTCGCCCCGTTTTATGGCCTAGATCGAGGTAGGCCGGTCCATAAATCAGGGCACAAATCAGAGGGGGTAGCATGGACGATCTCGATTTACTTAGATCGACCTCGAATTGCGCTTTTGAAAACGCAAAAAGGATCGATTTACCGTAGATCGACCTCGTTCTACTCAAATCCACCCCTCGAGCCCTGATTTGGATTGGCGAGTTATTAGCCGGCCTAAATAGATCGATCTGTCCCTTTCTTTGACCTCGTTTTATTAAATCGCTCTTGATTTATTATAACTCGAGGAGAGCTCCAAGTCAAAACGTATTATCCCAGACATTATTTATTATGGCCAAGCCATGGACTCGCGCGGGGAGATGAAGGCGCTGGACGCGCAGATCGAGCGCCTGCGCCGCGCCGAGAACCTGACGGAGACGGAGATCTACGAGCTGTGCCAGAAGGCCAAGGAGATCCTGTCGGGCGAGTCCAACGTGCAGCCCGTGCGGCGACATCCACGGGCAGTTCTACCACCTGTTGGAGCTCTTCCGGATAGGCGGCGCACCAACTAATAATAATAAAGAAGTTTCTGCATAGTTCAACAGCATTCGGCAGAAAACGGAGTCACGCATAGTATTTGCGACCGTGCAGGCGAGGTGGGTACTGTATCACAGGCGCTAGTGGTCGCAGCGAAGGCAAACTGTGCGCTTTGCAGAGACCGCAGCAAACGCAAATATGTTCTTGATCAAGTTGTCATCCAGATGCAGGAATGCGTCATTCACTGGTGCGCTGTGACCACGAACCACACTCAGAAACGCCAGGCGGGAACGCAGCGGCAGCCTCTCCTTCTCCACGCAGAGCGTTTCCTGGTGGTGAGCTCGAAACGCAGCCGAGTACTTGTCAAACAGCGCCGGCAGCACCAATAGATCGAGGTAAATGAGTTTGTGGTTGGTCTTGAGCACGTCCAGGAACGCCTTCACGTTGCCGTCGGTCATGGGGAACTCCTGGTTATCAGCGCTCAAGCACAACTCGCGCATCCCATCAGCGAGCGCACTGTCCGGGTCTCCGAGCGTCTGGGCGAAGCGAGTGATAACATCAGCGGGAGTGTTGTAGTACACGAGACCAAAGCAGCGGATGTTCGCGTTGCCCTTCTCCACCTCGACCATCAATGCATCCAAGTCAATTTGTACGCTGTCGAGCAAGAACTGGTCTAGTTTTGGGCACGCCTTGAGGACTTCGTGGACATCCAACGCTGTCGACCCGACCGTCTGGATTGACAGCTTCTTGAGTGGCCGTCCAACGAGCTGTAAGAAGCGAAGCAGGACGGTCGTGTCTTGCTCTGCATTGCTGTCGATAGAGAGCGAGAGCGAAGTGATCCCATTACGAGGTTGGCAAGGCTGACGTAGCTCATCGTCCGAGAGTCTTCGAACATCTTCCGATGCAATGACGCCGTTACCGCGTCCAGGCACCAGAATATTCACCCACTCACTCTCGTCATCGCTCTGCAATAGGCGGAACGTGAAATCATCTGCGGTTTCCAGTGTGGTGCAGTCGTTGGGGCTGGCAATCGACTCCTTGATGCGCACCGACGTGCCTTTGGGGACCCAGACGTACTCGACAGCTTGTCCTCCCTCGGCATACGCAGACTCGGCGGCGTTACTGGCTTGACCGGGCTCAGGCACCTTCGCGGTGAGAACTTCAGCGATCGCGTGGACGTCTGCGTGGCTCAGTTGGACGCCCATCAGGTTGATCTCCTCAATAGACGAGCCTGAAGCTTCGCTGAAGAGCGCGTACGCTAGCCACTTCCACCTCCAGGTGCGTTGAGTCGGTATAAGCGGTCGGAACGCGCCGCCCAGCGTCAACTTACGCACCACAGATGCGTCAGCAAGTGACGCACACAACCCCGAGAAGGCCAAGTCGTCCATGCCGAACATGGGAATAACAACAGACTCGATGGTGCTACGACGAACAACTTGCGGCTGGTCATTCGGCCTTGTAACAATCGATCCACCTCCGAAGATGGTGTTGAACAGCATCCCGCAACGATAGTACGCTGCCAGAGTGCGAGGATGGACCTCATCAGGGCGGACGAAGCTCGTCTGAACGTCCTGCTGGAGCGAAAGCTGCAGCTCCGAGAACACCACGTCGGGCATGCCCAGCGCCGTCAGCATGACATTATCCAGGTCCCTCGACACGGGGATCGTGCCGAAGCACATCTGCACCGACTCCAGTTCGTACGCGAAGTAGTGACCGTCCGCCGTTCCGTCGTCTTCACTGCAGATCGGCGAGCCGTGCGTCTCGTTCCCCTCCTCATCCAGCAGCAGCGGTCGATGCTTCTCCTCGTGAGCTCCACTCAACCACGCATTATGCCGTCGAACCTCGTCCAGCGTGACCAGCAGCGCGCTCAAATGCGCCGACTGCACCTGTTGCCCCACGTTCCACAAGTCCGTGAACTGCAGAGCGTAGGGGATGGCTCTCCACCTGTTGAGCGCCTCCTGTCGGCCCCCAGCTGCTCGGTGGAAGGCCAGAATGGTGAAAAGCGCATCTTGGTATCCCGCGCTCGAGCGCGCGCCGCGCGCCGCCGCCTTGTTGACGTGCAGCGGCGGTCGTGGCAGGAAGAACTGGCGGATGGTGGAGGCCGGCAGCGACGCGCTGTAGCGCAGGTGCTCGGCGTCGAACCGCAGCAGGAACCTCGGCATGAACTCCCCGTCCAGCGATTCGTCGTCGTTGTCCAGCTTGAGGCCGCAGCGCTCCAACAGCAGCAGCTTCCAGGCTTCATTGTCGACTACAGCCACGAGACTCAGCAGCTCCAGCGCCTCCCGCAGCAGTCGGACGTCGGTCGCCTCTCGATTGAGAATGGCCATGAGCGACGGCGGAGGACGCACCGAGACCCACCAGTACTCGCCCAGCGCCGAGTGGTCCGAGAAGCGTCCTTCCGTGGCCAGCCGGCCCCGCAGCACCGAGCACCAGGGCTCCAGGAACGCGTACTTGTCCACCAAAGACGACGCCTGCATCGCTTGGAGGTGACGAAATCTTGGAAGGTCTCACAATGAGCTTCAAAAGATTTTCACGGGGGACAGCAGTGGGATGAGCATGCAGACAAAGACTCGTTGAAATCAAGTGGATCACGGCGCTACTAACGGGCGTTTTGGTGCTTGGGGTGGGTCTCGAGACGCTTACGGCGGCGTCTCGGCATTCACTGGCGCCGGGGGGTCCGACGTCGGGATGTGGGGCAGCGGCAGCTCCTCCTCGCCGTCCTGAGACGTGGGGGACGGCGGCGGGTACAGAGCGTACGCCGTCAATGGGTCCTGGTCGTTCAGCACCGTGTGGAGGCGCGCGAGGGCGGGGCTGGCACTCGGGGGCATCGACAGCCAGTGCACGTGCTGCGCCGTCGACACCACGTCCGCGAACGTCTGGTGCTCCACCGTGACTTCCACCACCGGGATGGTCAGGTCCGGGGCGTACTGCATTCGCTCGATGGCGGTGTCGTTCTCGACCTTGGTTTCTTCGACCGTCTGGACTACTTCGGTCGTCGTGGTTGTCGTCGTCGTCGCCGCCTCGGTCTGCTTCACCTCGGTCGTCGTCACCTGCTCGGTGGTCTCCTGCACTACTTCGGACACCTCGGCGTCCTGCACTACTTCTAATTCCTCCTCCTCTGTCACCCTAACTTGCTTGGTCTCGTGGACCACCTCGGTCGTGGTCACTACCTCGGACTGCTTCACCTCCTCCGTGCTCGTCACCTGCTCGGTCTGCTGCACTACTTCGGTCACCTCTACTTTGGCCTGCTCGGACTCGATGGCCACATCCTCTTCCTCGGCCTGCTTGGCGTCTTCAGTCTGCTGAACTACTTCGACCTCGCCTTTGTCGGACTCCTTGATAGGGACGGTCTCCGTCACGGCTTCGTCCTGCTCCGCCACTTCAGCCTCAGTCACCACTTTGGCCTGCTCGGCTTCAGCACTCTCGACAACTTTGATTTCTGCCACGGCCTCGGTTGGCTCGACGACGTCGGTCTCCGTCACTTGTTCGCTCTGCTCAGCAGCCTCGGTCGTCGTCGCCACTTTGGCCTGCTCGGCCTCTTCGGTCTCAGTTACCACATTGGCCTGCTCGATAACTTCGGACTTAGTCACCGATTGGACTTCCTCGACAACTTTGGTCTGCTCGGATTCCTCTACTTTGGTCTCCGTCACAGGTGCTGCCTCGACGGTGACGTTGCTCTCGGTCTCCGTCACGGACTCGGCCTGCTCGGCTTGGGCATTCTCGACAACTTCAGTTGATGTCGCAGCCTCAATCTGCTCGACCACGTTGGCCTCCGTCACCACTTTGTCTTGCTCAGCAACCTCAAACTTCGTCGCCACTTCGGCCTGCTCGGCCACCACGGTCTCAGTCACCACTTTGGCCTGCTCGACCACTTTGGTTTCCGTCGCGACTTTGGACTGGTCGATCACCTCGCTATCTTCAGCATTCCCGGCTACTTCGGAATCCGTCACTACTTGGGCTTGCTCGGCAACATCGTTATCGGTCACCTCCGCCACTTCGGCCTGCTCGGTCTCCGTCACGACTTTGGCCTGCTCGACAATCTCCGTCTCCGTCACCACTTGAGCCTGCTCAGCCACCTCTGTCACGGCCTCGGTCTGCTCAATCGACTCGGTCTCCGTCACAACGTTAGTCTGCTTGGTCACCTCGGCCTCGCTAGCCTTCTCCAACTTCGCCTTCTCAGCGGCAGCCAGCAGCTGCGCCCGCTCAAGTTTCTGCTTTTCGATCGCCGCCTGCGCCTCCAGCTCCTTCAGCTTCTGCTTTTCTAGAGCCTCCAGTTTCGCCTTCTCAGCCGCGACGCGGATGCTAACCTCGCTCTCCGGTACGATGAAGGTGTCGATGGCCCGCACAGCGGGGCCCACGTTCTGCTTGTCCAGCGACTCAAACTTTTCCTTCTCAGCTGATACACGGACGCTGGCTTCATTCTCCGGCACAATGAAAGTGTCAATGGTTCGCACTGCCGCCTTAACCAGCTTCTCCGGCGTCTCAAACTTTTCCTTCTCGGCTGACACACGCACGCTTGCTTCGTTCTCCGGCACGATGAAGGTGTCAATGGTTCGGACGGTCGCCTTAACCAGCTTCTCCAGCGACTCAAACTTCGCCTTCTCGGCGGACACACGAACACTGGCTTCGCTGTCAGCAACGATGAAGGTGTCAATGGTTCTCACAGCGGGGCCAGCACTTTGCTTCTCCTTCGACTCGAACTTTGCCTTCTCAGCAGACACGCGCACGCTTGCCTCGCTCTCCGGCACGATGAAGGTGTCAATGGTCCGCACGGCCGCCTTCACTTGCTTCTCCGGCGTCTCAAACTTAGCCTTCTCCGCAGACACGCGAACACTAGCTTCGCTCTCTGGCACGATGAAAGTGTCAATCGTCCGCACAGTCGCCTTGGCTTGCTTCTCTGGCGTCTCAAACTTGGCCTTTTCAGCAGACACGCGCACGCTCGCTTCGCTCTCAGGAACAATGAAAGTGTCAATCGTTCGCACGCTTGGGGCCGCCGTCAAAACTTGTTTCTCCAAGGCCTCAAACTTCGCCTTCTCCGCGGAGACGCGCACGCTCGCCTCACTGTCAGCGACGATGAAGGTATCGATGGTTCGTTTAGCGGGGGCCGACGTCACAGGCTTTTCGAACTTCGCCTTCTCGGCAGCCACGCGGACGCTCGCCTCGCTGTCAGCGACGATGAATGTATCAATGGTGCGCTTGGCAGGGGCGGACGTCTTGACCTGGTTCTCGAACTTCGCCTTCTCCGCAGCCACGCGGACGCTCGCCTCACTGTCGGCGATGATGAAGGTATCGATCGTCCGCTTGGTAGGGGTGGACGTGTTAGCGTGGTTCTCGAACTTCGCCTTCTCTGCGGCCACACGGACGCTCGCTTCGCTGTCCGCAACGATGAAAGAGTCGATAGTGCGGACGGGGGCCGCAACAACAGAGTTCGCGCGCGTTTCAAACCGGTGCGCGATTCCGCGTACATTCGGGCTTTCAGCTTCAGTGGTCGTGTATCGTCGGGCGTGAACCGTCTTGGTCGGGGTAGTAAACGCATCCGCCGCAGATTCCTTGGCCAGCTTCTCTTCAGCTTCCTTGGCTTGCTTCTCCTTCTCCAGTTGCTCGTACTTCTCCTTCTCAGCGCCAACGCGAACGCTCTTCTCCGTCGGAAAGAAGCTGCGCACCGTACGGAACGACAGGTTGTCCAGAGACTGCTCCGCCTTCTTCTCGAAGCGGCTGGCCATGTTGCGGACGCTTGACATGGCTGAGCTCTTCTTGGTCACAGGCTTAGCGGGAGACTTGGCTTCAGTCTCCTCCTTGGCGCGCTGCGCGATCTGCGCGTTGTACTTCTCCCTCTCCTGGCTCACGGAGATGCTGCGCTGTTTCTCGGAGAAGAAGTCGCGCTTAGTCCGGACCTTGAGATTCTCCAACGGGTTCTCCTCTTCCTGGTGCGCTTCCAGGCGGTTCACCACATTCTTCACGGGCGACACACCGCTGAGGTCCAGCTGAGCAGCCGACGGGGTGCGGTGGGTCTTCGGGGGGGCCTCTTCGTGCACTTCCAGCTGCTTCACCATGTTCTTGACCGGCGAAGGAGGGTTGAGCTCCAGCTGCGCCGCCGAGTCGGTGCGGTGCGCGCCCGTCTTGTTGGACACGACTCGGTCAGCGAAGCGCGAGATCATGGACGAGAACTTCTTCGGCGGCGTCTTCTCCGAGTCGGGCTCCTCCGACTCCGCGTCCGCCTCCACCTCCGCCGTCGCAGCCTTGACCTCCGTGATCGTCGACTCCTTCGACATCTCCTCAGCCTGCACGTCTTCCTTCACCGTCACCTCATTGCTCACAGCAACAGCTTCAGCTGCAGCAGCCACCACCTCTTCAGTGCTGACGGTGGTCTCAGAGACCTCCGTCGTCTCCTTCTTGTCGGACGTAGCGGTGCTGTCGTTCGCACCGTTCGTCTCGGCAGCCTCCGAGTCCGACTCGCGCATGTCTTCAAGGCTTAACACGCTGTCGGCGTCCACGGAGCTGCCGATCGTAGCCGCAACGGAGAAGTCCATCTCCGAGGCGTCGTCCACTGCCGAGCTCGTCTCCACCTCAGAAACCTCCGCCCTGGCCGTCGTCTCTTCAGAAATGGCAGCAGCCTCCTCCTCCTCCACCGTCTCCGTCGCCGTTACAGCCTTGCTCTCTTGCTCCTGCTCCTCCTGCTGCTGCTTGTCCAAGGCCGCCAGCTCAGCCAGATCCACCTCTGCCGCCTTGCTGCTCTCCTCCTCCTCCTCCGCCTCCTCGCCGGCAAAGTCCTCCGTCCTGACGCTCTCCCCGTCCACGGAGCTGCCGCGCGTTGCAGCCACCGACTCGTCCACCTCAACGGCCGCCGCCATCTCCTGCGCCGCCTCGACCTCGACCTCCTCCTTTGCCGTCGTCTTCGCCTCTTCCGCTTGCACCGCTACGGGTTGCTGCTGCTCCTCAGTTGCCGCCTGCTGCGTCGCATCCGGCTTGGGCTCGGGGGTCGCCATGATCCGCCGGCCTCTCGTAGCTGAGCTGCTCGTCTGATAGTGGCGACCGGCGACTCTGGTCGTCGCGCCCGCCCTCTGCTGCGTCATGATGCGGATGCGTGGGTTTGATTTGCAACGGCACAAAAACCGAGTTGAAGTGGCCGAATTTGTGCAATTGTGCGCGCGCATTGCCACATTGTGGCGACTGCTCCACGTGGCATCTTGCATTACCGGTACAACGGCAACACGTGTGCCTACAGTACCAGGCAACAGTACTGTAGCAATCTTATTTAAGTTATGGGTCAGTCGTCGTAGTGGATCGTCACGGCCCGGGTGGCGCATGTGGCAGCGAAGCCCAAAATATGGGTCAGTACACCGTCGTCTAATAGCCCAGTTGCAGTTTGTTGCCCTTGTTGCTGTTGCTGTTGCCCTCGCACGGCACTGAGGAAGGCCAGTTTGTTGAGAATGGGCAACTTGTCCTTCACAACCGGCAGCGGCTCGCCGTGGTGTCGTCGGAAGGACTCGTCGTGTAAAGTTTGCAACTCGGGGCTCATCCCGAGACTGAGGTACGCGAGCTTGCGGTTGGCTCGCAGCATGGACAGGAAGGCCTGGACGTTGGCTTGGTCGATGCAGCACGACGTGTCCGATCCAGATACTCCGAGTTCTGTTAGGTATCGAGCGATGCGGCTGCTTGGAGACGCGAGGGTTTGCGCCAGTCGCGTGATCTGGTCGTTGCTGCGGAAGACGTTCACAAGCCCCAGACACTTGAGGTGGCACTTGGAGCGCTCGACGTCGAGACAGAAGTCGCTGGGGTTCAACAGCTCGACGCCTTCGAGGAAGAGATCCGTTAGCTGTGGACACGCCTGGCCGATAGACGCCATGCTGATCGGATACGAACCGATTGCGTACAGAGCGAGCGATAGCAACAGCGTCCCAATGAGCTGCAGGAAGTCGGCGAGCACATCGCCGCCATCGTGACCAGAGACGACAGCAAGAGCGAGCGTCAACACCTTCAATCCAGAAGGTGAAATGCCCGTTGAAAGGTGCTGGCGCCGCTCGACTTGAATTGCAGAAATCTTGTCAATACTGGCGACTCCGAAGCCTGGTAAGCTCACGTCGAAGTGGTCACCGTCGTCGTTCACAATGTGGAGCCACGAGTCTGCTTCTAGCAGAATGGGTGATGATCTGCGCTCGGTTGTTTGAACTGGGTCGAGAAGTGTGAGCTCCGTGCCTTCTGAGAACTGCCCGTAGGTATCGTGCCTCCAGTCACCGAGATGTAGCAGGTTCTCCTCGCGCACGACCTCTGCCGATACTGTGGTAGGCGGAGAGTTCGAGTGGATTGTTACAGCGATAGCCAACACATCCTCGCGAGTTAGCTGGGCCGCTGTGATAAGAGCTCTCCCCACCGATGAATCTGTCGACGTCCTGAACAGCGCGTATGCCAGCCACTGCCATTTCCACCTTCTCACCTCAGCGCTGTCGGACATGCCGAACACGCCATACAAGCGAAGGTGCTTGGTCACGGACGCAGAGCCGATCGCAGAGCACAAAGCAGCGAACTGCCACTCGTCACAGTCATGGCAGCCAACGGAGAGCGTCTCAACGCCCCCCTCCTTCGCTTCTACAGTGGAATAATCGCCACTTCGACCTTGCCCACACACCACCGTCCGCAAGAAGCGGCCAACACATTCTTGCATTTCCTCGTAGTTCTGCTCGGTGGGCTTCTTCAGGGAGAACGCAAACAACGAAAATGGCGGTCCTGAGCTCAGCAAACTCGTCAGTCTCTGGGTCAGCGACCACGACATGTTGACTCCTCCAACATCGAGACGAATCGACTCCAGCTTCAAAGGCAGCAAGTCCCCCGCAGCAACCCCACGCCTTTGCTGAGCTTGCATAACCCCCAGCACTGTATTTAAGTCGCGTAGATGCGCCTCCAGCGTGTCATCGGGCAGCGTCACGAGCTCGAACTGCAGCTCAAACGGGATCGCAGTCTCTACGTCAAACCCCTTCCGAGTCTGCGCTCCCTCCACCTCCGCCAAAGCTCGCCTCGCTTCCAAGTAGTCGCCACTCTCACGTTGTGTGCTTGCAGCCACGAAAAATCCCTTGCAAACCGCTGCAGGCGACAAAGCTCCTGGCTCCACGAACTTTTCATTGAACACGAAGCGGAACCGCGGGTGCAGCTCACAGTCCAGCGGTTGGTCGTCTTCATCCCTTGGAACACGACACTGCTGCACCAAGAGAGCTCTCCACGCCGCGTTATCGATCAACGCCACGCGCGCGAGCAAATCCAGCGCCTCCCGAATCCGTCGGAGCGCTCGCGAATCCGCTTGGTCCGGGGCATGCGGCAGCCTCACCGCCACCCAGTGATACTCCCACCGCGCCGAGTTTTCAGCCGTCCGGCCTTCCAGGTGCAACTTGCCTCGCAGGACTCGACACCACGGGTACAGGAACGCCCAGCGCGCGGGAGGAGCGGCGTCGACCGCCAAAGCCATGCCTATCAGCGGTGTGACCTTGATGACGTCGTGTTGCCAAATCGCGAGGATACACTGGGATCAGGTCATACCCAAAAACTACCGTCAACATCCGACATCACAAATGTGACTTGTCCTCAGCATGCAACACTTAATGGCACAATTTATAGTCCGGAATAGTCCCATTAGCTCGCGATTTTAGTCACTTCACAATTGCTGCAGTACCATACCATGACGGTGCCGACATCTGCCTACACCTGCCGACACGATCTATCAATGGTGAAAATAATGAAATTCCATGATTGGTCTAAAGGGCCACATTGACACTTCTCCCATTTCAGTGCGGGCGGGCGGCGACCCTGCGGCGACCCTGAGTGCAGTACCTGCGCCGTGACCTGCGCTACGCCCCCCCCCCTCCCCAGGCTACGCGTGCGTGGCGTGCGGGCATGCGCAGGCGTGATGGCTCGTCATCGCCAGCAAACTGGCCCTCTCTCCTCGCCCAGTGTGAGGGCACAGCGGTGCGCCCCTCCAGCCAGACGAGAGAGAGGACGACCAGGAAACCCACGGCAGGAAGCGCGATGGACTGAAGGCACAGGGCGAGAACACCAATAGCGTGGAGGAAAGCGAGGGGGCGAGGACACGAAGGACGGCGTGCTGACGAAGGCCACAGAGGGTGACAGAAGCCTCAAGAGCGCGAATGGGCGGCGAGAAGACCAAGCGCGCGAAAGGACGGCGGAGGGATCAAGTGCGCGCAGGACGGCGAGGGGACCAAGGGCTTTAAGTTCGCGGAGGACAGCAAGGAGACCAAGGCCACCAAGTGCGCGAAGGACTGCGGAGGCAACAAGTTCGCCGAGAGCAAGAGCTAGGAGGAGGAGATTGATTGATGGAGGGCGCCTGGCGGCGGCGCAGACGATGTCTTACCACCCACGCTGGACATCACGCAGGACAAGAAGAACAAGAAGAAGGTGCCTAAGATGGAGAAGATGCGGAGGCTAGAGCAGCAGACAGCACGCGGTGTGGAGAGCCAAGGGATCCACCTCCTCCTGCAGCAGACGTAGCAGTAGCCGCCCGCCACCACGGCAGCCAACAGCAGCAGCAGCGCAGCGGATGTGCGCGTTGCGCCGGCGGCTTTGAGTTGTCGATAGCTGGGTGTGACGAGAGGCACGCTCGCTGCTGGCGATCTTGGGGAGGAGTAGGACGTGGTTATACGGCTGCTACTGGTGGTGCCTCCGCCGCTGCAGGGTGGGGCGACGCTTTCTACTAGCGCGGTGGTGCTTGGTGGTGCAGTGTAATGCACGAATATTACGTCTGTAGTTATTTATTTTAACATTGAATAAATTAAAGTTTGATGTCTACTTTGAACTCTCTACGCTGCACAGTCCGCACCTCAGTCACTAAGGCTCAGTGGCAGCGACAACAGCGGCTTCGGCAATGCCCAAAACAGCTTGTGCCATGAATCAGAGATGGTTCGGGCGTTACCGACGAAACTCGGTTGAATTTGTAGAGCAAGCGAAAGCGCCATACAGAACGCTTCAAACAGGCAAACAGAAGCAATACAATGTCATAGTAAAGTGTCGGCACCGTGCAAAATATGTGTATAATCACCTAATTACTTAACTTCACTATAGGTGGATAACATATCTCGACAGCCCTGCCTACATTATACGTCGGCAGGAGTGTCGGCGGTTCATACACCTACCCCTAACGTTGATGATTGGATAAAATACCATCTATCGCCCTTCTCATTCGATAATAATCGGTCATCGTCATTTGATTGGACCACGGCCACCATACAGTGGCTAAGTATAAAATCATATGTGTCGGCACCGTCACGATATTTATCCGTATCGTCGCCCCTACATGAAGATGGAGGTTGAGGACGACGGCGCCTCGCGGCCCGCGGGCATGATCCCGGACATCCTGCTGGACGGGGACCGCCTCAACATGCTGCTGGACATCGTGTGCGCCGACTACATCACGGCGTGCTACGCCAGCCGCGAGAACGGCAAGCGCGTGGTGTTCAAGGCGCTGGAGAAGCTCTACATCAGCGTGCACGCGGGCGCCCCCCTCACTGGCGCGGACACGCGCGCGCTGCGGCCCGCGCAGGACCCGCTCTTCCAGGAGCGCGCGCGCCGGTTCTACGACGAGCTGATGGCGGAGTTTCGCACGCGGAAGCGCGCTGCAGAGGCCGCGCCGGACGCCAACACGCCGTCCGCGTCGTCCTCGACGAGAGGCCTCGACGACAGCGTCGTGCGGGAGGTCATGAAGCCCCGACTGCTGCAGATAGTCGAGGAAATGTGTCGCGAGCGCGACCGCCAGTTGGTCTTTATTGCGGGCGCGGGCTCTTCTTCTTCTGGTTCTTCTTCGGCTCGAGCGGCTGCAGCTCCAGTCTCCACTGCAGATACAGCAGCAGGGGAAGCACATCATGAGGAGGTGCTGCCCCCCACTGCCGGGGATATCAGGATGGAGGGATGGCTGCGCAAGAAGGGCCAGCACGTGAATCTGTGGCGAGAGCGGTACTTCATGATCCGCTCGACGCCCAATGGCACGCACTTCTTGTGCTACTTTAGGAAGAAAGGGGACAAGGAGCCGCGTGGCTGGTACGTGCTGGGTCCCGGCACGACGGTGGACGAAGTGAGGGAGTCGCCCAGTAAGATTGAGACCAAGAAACTCTTCACGTTCCGCATCCGCCACCTGAACCACGCGACGAATGACGACGTGGAGGAGAGTGGAGCTGGAGTGGAGATGACGCCCGGGACGACGCCTTCGCGGCTTGGAAGCGAGTTCCAGTCGTCCTCCCCGTTGGACGCGACGGCGCTCTCACACGACACGGAGTTTGATGGAAGACCGAGCGTCAAGCGCGCGACGTCGCGGAAGTTTCGGAACCGCGCGGCGGCGGCCGCTGCTGCCGCCACAGCCGCTACCGCCGTGGTGTTGACTGGTGGTCTGGCTGGTGTTGGCATCGGTGTCATGGGTATGAGCATGAGTGCTGCAGCTGCTGCAAGCGCTGGGGCAGCAGGAGCTATGATCGCCCAGAGCCGCAGCAAGGGACCTATTGCACTTGCTGCTGAGTCGTTGGAGACTGCTGTCTGGTGGCGCAATAGCATTCTTGAGTGCATCGCGCAAGCGGAGGAGCAGTGGAAGCGATACCTCAACTGGTATATGGACCACGACCCCGAGATGGAAGAAGCGCTTACACCGTTGCCTGAAAGCAAGATGCACGCGACGACAGCGTCGGCAAGCACTGTTCCGAGAGGACGGACGCACTCACAGCATTCCTTGGGGAAGTCAAACTCGAGTGGAGCTCTTCATCCAGGCAATCGGCAACGCTCTGGTTCATTCGGATCGATGCCACGCTCCATTGCGAAAAGCTTCCGCACGTCGGCGACATTCTCACAGGAGACGTCCTGGAAACTCTACGAGTTCTCAAACAAACTACGCGTTGATACTGAGCGCGTGAGTCACCAGAGCAGCCTACGGACGTCTGCACCGCCTCCTGCCCTGAGAACGAGCCTCAAGGTGAACGCATCGCCGCGGAAAGTATTCGAGATGCTCATGAAGGTGAACAGCCCGTTCTACGTTTCCAACCACGTGATCGACGAGGCGCGCGTACTGGAAGAGCACACGGAGGATCACAGCGACGTGGTTTACTGGAAGCTGTTCCCAACATTTTTGTGGCCAGTATCTGTGGGCGCTCGAGAGCTGTGCATGCTACGCTATTGGCGTATGGAGCCCGATGGCTCGTATTTTATTTGCTTCCAGTCCACAACACACTCAGATTGCCCGCGCAACTCTGGGGCTGTGCGTGCGAACATCATGGGCGGCGGGTTTATCATATCCCCTCGTGTTCAAGAAGACCACGACAATCACTTCGAAGAGTGCTGGGTGACGTTGACAATCCAGATGAACCCCAACGGCTGGATCGATTCGAGACTGGCGCGTTCGTGGTACTACGTCCACGCGTACGGTGTATTCTTTCTCGAGATGATCACGGCAATTACAGCCGCTGATGGACTGCAAACTTTGCGCCCGGTGACCGCGACCTCCAACCAACGACGAGTAAGTCTCGGTGGAAAATCGCCCGTTCCAAGCCAGCAAATTGTCACCGAGAAGAAGTTTCCGATGCTCGAGAGGTACCGCACCGACCTCACGGTGCTGCACGGGCTGCCGACCAAGTTCTGGAGTGAGCCGAGCGCTGGAGGGTTTATGGTCCGGGGTCCTCAATATTTAACTTCCAAGACAAAGGTGCCGTCGGCTCGTCAGGCTTGTCGTCTCGTGAACGTGGAGCTGTACAAGTCGAGCGAGCCTATCGCGCACATCGGCGTATCTTCTTTCGTGGGTGATGGCTTCGATGCCACGGACGTGCCAAGCCCAGCCGTGGAGGACCGGCCATTCATCTTCATCATCAACTTCATGTTGCCAGGCCCACCGCACCACTCGCTCGTGCTTTATTTCACCCCCGAAGACCCGTCGGAGCTCCAAAAGAACTCGGTCTTTGCTGATCTATGCCACGAAGTGCTACGAGGCCCCAACGACGAGTTCCGTACGCAGCGCATCAAGCTCATCCCGCGTGTGGTGCAAGGCACGTGGCCTATTCGCGAAGGTGTTGGCACCACACCGGCCATCCTCGGCACCAAGATCTACCAGAAATACTACCAGGGCAAGAACTACCTGGAGGTGGACTACGACATCGGCAGCAGTACCGTGGCCACGGGCATCCTGAACCTGCTGCTCGGCTACGCCCGCGACCTCATCATCGACCTGGCGTTCGTGATCGAGGCTCAAAGTGCCATGGAGCTGCCCGAGCGTGTTCTGGGCACGGTGCGTCTGGACTGCATTGATCTCCGCCATGCCGTGCCCTACACCAAGAAAATGGGCATGGACAAGAAGAAGTAAGGCGAGGTAGAGCAAAAGAAAAATAAATCGCTGTGCAGTTTGAAGTTGACGAGTTGAAGGAGAAATGAACGACGTTGGAAAGGCAAATTGATTCATTATAGGTGGCTCGAAAGAGTACTCAAAGCCATCCGCTATCACTAGAGGTTATGGAGCTTAGGCGACGCAGACGCCCTTGATGATGGAGTCGATCCAGGGGCGGACGCTGGACACGGAGGCGAAGACGCTCATGCCGCCTTCCTCGCCGCAGCCGTCGGTGCCGCTCACGAGCCCCACCAGCACGTCGCGGTTCTTCTTCTTCACCACGACGGCGCCGCCCTGGTCACCCATGCACGACTTGGTCATCGACACGCCGCGAGAGCACAGCATGGACTCGTCCACCGTCAGCTCGGTCGCACACTGCTTCCGGCTCACCAGCTGCACCTCGACGCTGTGCAGGTAGCGGGACTGCACGGCCTCCGCCAACGTATCGTTCCAGCCGAGACGGCCGCCCTTGATGCCGGCCCGGACGATCGACTTGGCCGGGTCCAGCAACACGGGCTTCAACGTCGTCGCCTTCTCCAGCTCCAGCACCACGAAGTTGTTGGCGTAGCCTGTGTTGTTCGGGTGCGGCATGTAGGCCACGACCTTGATCTGCTCGCCGTCGGCCGCACCCGTGTACGAGTCGGAGGCCAGCGAGACCCAGCGGATGTCGTTGGGGATGCAGTCCGCCGTGGTCAGCACGTGCGAGGCGCTGATGAGCGCGCCGGCGCAGAAGTTGGAGCCGTCCTTGATGGAGCGAACGCCGGCGACATACGACTTGCCAGCCTGGATCTCCGTGACCGGGACGTCGGCGAGGTCACTGGTGAGACTGGATAAAGTCGACTGAGCGGTGACGGAGCACGAGGCCAGCGCGGCGAAGGCGGCACCAATCGCAGACGTGAACTTCATTTTGATGGAGCAGCGCGGCGGCAGCGACGGGAACCCTGCAAAAGCCCAAATGGCTGAGGACGGTGCATTGCAGCATCTGCATCACGGGCGAGCTGTGCAGACGGAGATCCCTGCTCACAAGTCTCAGCGCTCCATCACCTTGCTAAGTTCGCATCAATGCCCATTGCTATATTTGAGAGTGCGGTGGCCGTATATCTTGTAGCAACAGCGTATTGGTTCTCCGATCGACTCACCTGTCAAGGTGCAGGCAGAGACGTTAGCAATACTTAGTATTCGTATGCAGTACAACGAGATGGGACGCATTCGTGCTGGCCGAATGCAATGTGCTTTTGAGCTCAGCACGGTCCACAATATTCCAAATCTTGCACTACAATACGGGCATATTAATCACGAGTTAGTCTAGAAAGAGAGACAGACCGGATTAAGTGGTCCATGCTGTTGCTGAGAGACTAGTGCAGCTCGTACCTGCCGGGCTCGACTGCCTGCAGAACTGCAGACCGAAACAACTTCGACGAGAACGCCGAACATTTGATGAAACTTCACATTTGGCGCTAAGTTCGGCTGCTCCGAATATCCCGTTCATAGCTGTGCGGACACCAAAATGGGATCTGCCAAATCCGAGCAAAGTTTCCGCGGTGTTGAAGAGACCCCGAAGGCTCCGACTCAAACTTTGAGTCAAAGTGGGTGAACCAAGCAGCAAACTGATTGACTTGGGTTGCATTTGTATTTTCTTGTCACCCAGCTGACACTCCGGCTCCTGCGCCTACCGAGACGGCCTCGGTCGAGGTCTCGACTCGAGACCTCCCCGACATATCTGTCAGTTGGTGGTCTGATAGAACTTGTCGTTAATTGTCTCGAATCTGCGACTAACAAACCGCAGGTGAAGAAGGAGAGACCCGCGTAATGGCGGCTGATGTTGTAACGGCGATGCAGCACACAAATGTACCTGTACCCAGGTCACCTGGCAGTTGTGCTTCCTCAGAAGGCATTCACTCCGAAGCTCGGGACAGAGCTGCTTTGGTGCACGTCACGCGAAATGCCTGTTCCTCAAACATATTGTTCCTGTTGAAATTATTACCTTCGCCGAAAAAAGTGCTTCCAAATCGTAGTGCTTAAGTTCGCACATTTTCACGTTACCGTGCAGGTTTGACAATTGGGACGCATGCTTGAGCTGCATCGAGTTGGCCGCGGGGCCGAAACCAGTGCCTGCATTGAAAAACCTCCTTACATACCGAGATGCAGTTTCAATGAACTTGCAACATTCCGATTTTAATCTAAAAATTAGCAGATTAACTTGAGCACATCTCAATGAACCGCACAGCGGGCTTGTCCCTGGAGCAGCAAAGCGTCCCAGGCGCGGCATCAGATGGCTTGCATTGCAGCGACTGAACATCACTTTGGATTTCTTTGACCGCAGCCCACCGCGCTACCGAACCAGCCGTCGAGATGAAGTTCACCGCCGCTATCGTTGCTGCGTTCGCCACGCTGGCCGCCACCGCGAACGCCTCCAGTGAGGTGGTCGAGCGCAAGCTCATCCTTGGCGGAACCACCGTGCCCAAGGGCAGGAAGACCTACTACGCCGGCATGCGCCACACGGCCGAGGGCAAGAACTTCTGCGGCGGCACGCTCATCAGCCCCACCCACGTGCTCACGGCCTCGCACTGCATCTCGTACGACATTCGCTGGGTCTCGATCGGCTCGCACTACAACAACGGCACTGACGACGGCGAGCAGATCAAGGTCGTGGCGGTCATGAACCACCCCAACTTCACCGAGTCGCTCAAGTTCTCCAACGACTTCGCCATCCTCGAGCTCGAGGTGCCGTCCACGATCACGCCAGCGAAGCTGGCCAAGGCGGACGGCTCAGACTTCAAGGCCGGCGCGACGGTGACTACCGTGGGAACTGGTCGCCTGTCGGAGGGCTCCACGGCCCTGGCCGGCCACAAGCTGCAGCGCGTGGACTCGACCCTCATCACCAACGAGGAGTGCGCGACGAACGGACAGATCTCCGTGGACGACTCCATGATCTGCGTCGGTGGCCAGATCAGCAAGGGCTACTGCGACGGTGACTCCGGGGGCCCGGCCTTCATCGAGTACTTGGACGACGATGCCGACGACGTGGTGGTTGGTGTGGTTAGCTGGCGCAACTGGCGCGACGGCGAAGTGTGCGGCCGTGGCAAGAGCGTCCCCATGGTCTACTCCAGCGTGGCATACGCGCGCTACTGGATCGACCCCATCCGCAAGTCCTCGTGCTTCGACTAGGTTAGAGATAGCGCAGCCCACGGTTGAGCACACCAAAAAGTCACGGCGATGCAACAGGTCTGGGCGCGATAATACAATTTGTTTGTCATTACTCAAAGTGGTTTTCTTGAGCCCTGGCTGCGTGTGTGGAATTTGTCGGGCACTTCGAGTTTATAATTTGTTTGGGCATTGTGAACTACGCAAGAATATCATAGGCTGCAAAAGCTCGCGGCCTGCGACGACCGCCAGACGACGTGATCTCACTCTTCTAATGTACCTCTCGCCAGTCGCACGCATCGGCATGCACGATAGCAATTGCAGTAGACGACCCCTGTGCCTTTAGGCTCGTGGGCAAGTCCGCAGCGGCGTCTACCTTTCATCGTCATGGCGCATCGCAGCCGCCCGCAGGCCGCCTGCCGATGCTCATGTGAAATACGAGAGCGAGCTGTCGTAGTTGATGGAAAACTCGTCCAGCAAGTGGAGGTACGACGCGTACATGCGCATCCACTCGCCGGCGATCTTGTCCTGCACCTCCGTGTTGAACAGCGCGAGGAACACGCACACGTCTTTCTCGCTCATGTTGTTGCGCATCCAGCCAAGCAAGTGGGCCACGATCACGCCGCACTCTTCGTCGCTAGTCAACTGATTGAAGAGCGTGCTCAGGGCCTCGTACTCCTCCTTCTCCGTCAACGTCTGCGTGATCAGGTACTTCACGGCGGTGACTTCTCCCCTCAAAATCTTCTCCAGCTCGTCGAACATCTTGAGCACGGCTTCGCTCAAGTCCCGACGTTCGTCGTGCACCTTTTCCAGAGCCACCGCCATGGCCTCGTCGTACGCGTCGTACAGCGTGGTGACCTTGTGGCCGACCCCTGCGATGAGCGTGCGCTCCTCCAGCAAATACTCTTTCAGCGTCACCACGTGGCGCACGTGGTTGTCGAAGCGCTGCAGCCACTTGGCCAGCGCGATGATGCCCTGCGGCGAGGCGCTGAGCAGCTCCTCCTTGGCGATGAACGAGCGCACGCGGTTCATGTCCTGCATGATGGGCTGGTCCAGTAGGCGGAAGCCCACCTCGGACCAGTCCGCCTTGAGCACGTCCTGGCCCCAGGGCACCGGCAGCTTGGGCGCGTTGCCCTCCTCATCGCCTGCCTCGTTGTTGTTCCTGCTGCTACTGCTGCTGCTCAGGTCCTTGGGCCCGCTGAGCAGCCGCAGCACCGAGCGCACGAACGTGGACGAGCGCTTGCGGCGCTGGTTGCCGTCCTGGGCCTGCACGAACTGGCGCTGCTTCTCCAGCCACGTGAGCGTCTCCTCGAGGCCGGAGCTCTCGGGCTTGGCGGCCGCTGGCGACTGTTGCGGCTGGTTGCGCTCCGGGATCTCCAGCGCGTACCGCTGCTTGCGCGGGACGGCGGCCTGGCGGGGCAGCGGCATCGTGTCGGCCATATCGCTCTCTTGTGAGCTCCTCTTCTCTCCTCCGCCTTGGCACGGATTGATCCTTTTCGCAAATGAGGAAGCGGTTAGGCCCAAATACGGCGCCGACGGCCGTTGAAGTGCCGGCGTGTGATCTTTGTCACATTTCCGAATCAGGCTCGAGTCGAGCTCGACACCAAACACCAGCAGGTTTCTCTGGGCGAGCGGGGAAACACTCGCAGCGCTCTGGATAGTCGAGAACGCCGCGGAATGTGCCATCATCGTTGAATGGTGTGCATGTAGCAGGTGACCAAGCAGCCTGCTCTACTTGGGCAGACAGCGTTCGTCAACCATTGTCTTGTGCTGTCGAGATGCCCTTGCACCGGCATTTGCGACGGGTAATATCGTCAGCTGCTTAACATCCGTCGCAGCAGCCTCTCATGCATGTACATGTACCGCCAGCACCGCGGATTAATGGCGTCGGTCGCCCGCCGCATTCAGCTCTGGTGCATCTACATCTACAACTTGTTGCAGGCGACCTGTACGTGGTACGATGCGGAATCACACGCCAGCCGCCTGCCAGGTGGCGCCTGGGCAAATGAACATGTATCCAGAGCTAGGTAAACACTATAGAGTATCCGTCCTCCGCTCCTGCATGTGAGCACAGTGCCATCATGGTCGAACTTCGCCATGCCTCCTCGTAACTCGTACTTAGTCGAGACGTCATGAACGTGGTCCACACAACAACGAGGTTTTACTCTCCGAGGTTATTTCCGTCTCAGCGGCCGCAGGCAGCCGACACCAAGCAAGACCGAGGCGACCAAGGGCGAGCGATCTCCATGGCCGACAAGGACGAGAAGGTGGGCGTGGGCCTCTCCTCCACGGGGCAGTTCGACCGGGACATCTACGGCGTCGGGGGCGGCGACCGCTTCGCCGGCTACAGCGCCACCGTCACGGAGGAGGGCGACGAGGAGCCGCAGGACCAGAAGCCGCAGAAGCAGAAACCCAGTGACCATCACTCTCGCTCCGATGGCCTCATCGACGACAGCTACGACCCGTTCGCCGAGGCGCGCGAGGCCAACGGCTCCGGGCTCGTGAACACGCGCATCGTGGACCGCGAGAACTCGTACCGCAAGCGGCGCTTCGAGCGCGTGCTGTCGCCCGAGCGCGGCGACGCCTTCAGCGGCCAGACGCCCGCGCGCAGCTACAAGGAGATCATGCAGACGCAGCAGCTGGAGCAGGAGCGCGCCGAGGTGGTTCGCAAGATCCAGCAGAAGCGCGAGGAGCAGGAGAAGCTGCAGCAGGAGCACAAGCAGGAGGAGCCCGACGCCACGCCCAAGAGGAAGCGCAAGCGCATGCGCTGGGACCAAGAGGCGCCTCCGGCCGAGAAGACTGACGACGGGGAGAGCCAATCCGAGTGGGATACGGCCTCCGACAGCTCCGCGGCGAGCTCCGTGGCCGCGACGCCCACGAGGACGTCGTCCAGGTGGGACGCCACCCCCGTGTCGGGCTCGGCGGTGGGCGCTACCCCAGGAAGGAAGAACAGGTGGGACGAAACGCCCGTGGCTAGCAGTGGGGCGTCCAAATGGGACGCCACCCCCGTGAATTTGGGCGGCGCGACGCCTGCAGGCACTGGGAAGCGCTCGCGGTGGGATGAGACGCCCGTGTCCGGCCCGACTGGCATGGCGACGCCCGGTAAGAGCGTGCAGATGACGCCCGATATCATGAGTGGAGCACTGACGCCTGAGCTGGCGCAGCGGATGCGATGGGAGCGGGAGATTGAAGAGCGCAATCGCCCCATGACGGATGAGGAGCTCGACGCGCTGTTCCCCGCTACAGGATACAAGATCCTGGACCCGCCTGCGTCGTATGTGCCTATTCGGACTCCGTCACGGAAGCTACTTGCTACTCCTACGCCGATGGGCCAAACACCGGGGTTCGCAATGCAGGCCACGCCGGCGCGTGAAGATTACGGTGTGCCTGTTGGCACCCCGTCGGGTGGGGATGGTAGTTCCATGCCCTTTATCAAGCCGGAGGACTACCAATACTTCGGCAAGCTTATGGACGAGGTGAACGAGGAAGACTTGGATCCGGAGGCTGCCAAGGAGCGTAAGATTATGCGCTTGTTGCTGAAGATCAAGAATGGCACCCCGCCGCAGCGAAAGAGTGCGCTGAGACAGCTGACGGATAAGGCACGCGAATTTGGTGCCGGCGCGCTATTCAACCAGATCTTGCCATTGCTCATGGCGCCCACGCTCGAGGACCAGGAGAGACACTTGCTGGTGAAGGTGATCGACCGTGTGCTTTACAAGCTGGATGATCTTGTTCGACCGTATGTACACAAAATCCTGGTTGTGATCGAACCACTGCTGATTGACGAAGATTATTACGCTCGTGTAGAGGGCCGCGAGATTATTTCGAACCTCGCCAAGGCTGCTGGTCTTGCTACCATGATTTCCACGATGCGCCCCGATATCGATATTGATGACGAGTACGTTCGTAACACAACTGCCCGTGCGTTTGCGGTCGTTGCCTCGGCGTTGGGTATCCCGGCATTGCTGCCTTTCTTGAAGGCCGTTTGCCAGTCGCGAAAGTCCTGGCAAGCACGACACACAGGTATCAAGATCGTGCAGCAAGTCGCTATCCTTATGGGTTGTGCTGTGCTACCGCACTTGAAGCATCTCGTGGAGATTATTGAGCACGGCCTGGAAGACGAGCAAAAGGTGCGCACTATCACAGCGCTTGCTCTTGCTGCTCTTGCTGAAGCTGCGCACCCGTATGGTATTGAGTCCTTCGACTCTGTGCTCCGACCACTTTGGCGCGGTACCCGCAAGCACCACGGCAAGGGCCTGGCAGCATTTCTGAAGGCTATCGGTTTCATCATTCCTCTTATGGATGCGCAGTACGCGAACTATTACACTGTTGAGGTGATGGAGATCTTGATTCGTGAGTTCCAGTCGCCTGATGAAGAAATGAAGAAAATTGTATTGAAGGTGGTGAAGCAGTGTGTTTCTACCGACGGTGTTGAGGCATCCTATGTGAAGGAAAAGATCCTGCCCGAGTTCTTCCGGCATTTCTGGGTTCGCCGCATGGCATTGGACCGACGCAACTACCGCCAGCTAGTGGAGACGACAGTGGAACTTGCAAACAACGTTGGGGCGAGCGAGATCATCTCGCGTGTTGTCGATGATCTGAAGGATGAGAGCGAGCCGTACCGCCGTATGGTCATGGAGGCAATTCAGAAGATTATCTCGAACTTGGGTGCCACAGATATTGGAACCGATCTTGAGGAGAAACTCATTGACGGTATTCTTTATGCTTTCCAGGAGCAAACTTCGGACGACACTTTCGTGATGTTGAATGGGTTCGGAATTGTGGTGAACGCGTTGGGAATTCGTGCCAAGAACTACCTGCCGCAAATTTGCGGTACTATCAAGTGGCGACTAAACAACAAACCGGCCAAGGTCCGCATGCAGGCAGCTGATTTGATCAATCGGATTGCTGTGGTTATGAAGACGTGCGACCAGGAGCCTCTGATGGGTCACATGGGTGTTGTTCTGTACGAGTATCTCGGTGAAGAGTACCCAGAGGTGCTTGGTAGCATTCTTGGTGCACTGAAAGCCATCGTAAATGTGATCGGCATGAGCAAGATGACCCCACCGATCAAGGATCTGCTTCCGCGCCTCACGCCAATTCTCAAAAACCGCCACGAGAAGGTCCAAGAAAACTGTATCGACCTTGTTGGACGCATTGCTGATCGTGGTGCGGATTTGGTATCGGCTCGTGAGTGGATGCGGATTTGTTTCGAGCTGCTGGACATGCTGAAGGCTCACAAGAAGGGTATCCGACGTGCTGCAGTCAACACATTTGGTTACATTGCCAAGGCTATTGGTCCTCAGGACGTGTTGCACACTTTGCTGAACAACCTGAAGGTGCAGGAGCGACAGAACCGCGTGTGTACGACTGTAGCCATCGCTATCGTCGCCGAAACATGTTCTCCGTTCACGGTCGTCCCAGCGCTGATGAACGAGTACCGTGTCCCCGAATTGAACGTGCAGAACGGTGTGTTGAAGGCATTTTCGTTCATGTTCGAGTACATCGGCGAAATGGGCAAGGACTACATCTACGCGGTGGCGCCGCTGCTGCAGGACGCACTCATGGACCGTGATCTGGTGCATCGCCAAACGGCGTGTACTACCGTGAAGCATCTAGCGCTGGGTGTGGTTGGATTGGGTTGCGAGGACGCGCTGCTGCACCTGCTGAATTTCGTGTGGCCCAACATTTTCGAAACGTCTCCGCACGTGATCAACGCCGTGTTCGAAGCCGTGGAAGGCTGTCGTGTGGCATTGGGTCCGCACGTGGTGCTACAGTACGTGCTGCAGGGTCTGTTCCACCCGGCGCGCCGCGTGCGCGAGGTGTACTGGAAGATCTACAACTCGCTCTACATGTACGCGCAGGACGGCCTGACGCCCGCGTACCCGATGCTGGAGGACGACGGCGTCAACTCGTACAACCGCACATACCTGGAGCTCTGCATCTAAAATGCCACATCCTACGCAGGGATAAAAAATCAACACAAGGTCCCGATGATATCACATTGACTGTACGCAGCTGATCTTCTGGTGGGTACTTCATATGCATGCGCAAGATCCAAATGGGAGTTGTCATCGTGCGGTAAAGACCAGCAGGCTAATATATTCGCGCAGGTTGCTGTAGTTGAAGCCCCCCCCCCCCCTCACTCTTTTTTTTACCGTAACTTTGTCGAAGGTGAGTGAAGCCACTTGCATCTGCACCGAATGGTTTCGTACGCTTCCTCATTTTCTCGACTGCAAGTGCCAATGCCACTCAGTCCTCCATTACTCCGGATGATTGGTGCTGGCCACCCGCTTTCCTGCCGGTGGAAGCGGGAGGACACTTGATACCCGCCGCCTTCAACCTGCGCGGAATCAGCCTGCTCAGCCAGCCATGTGGTTTCCGGGCGAGCTGCCACCTATACAAAAACCAACATACGGTTAGGCTCTAAACCGCCACAAACACGTCGATCAGTCTGCAACTAGCTGCCCACCCCACACGTCTCCGACGACGTCCCATTTTCTCTAACCGGACCAGAGCCCAGTTACCACCTCCACCCACCGCAATGCTGCGCTGCCTGAGCCTCCTCCTGCTGGCGCCGCTGGCTGCAGCTCTACAGCCGCGCGACTTCCGCGTGCCCCCCGTGGACTTTACCCAACTCTCGAGCGCCGCCAACAACGCGCACAACTTCGATTTGCTGGCGAGGCTCCAGGAGAATGGGATCATTGCGTTGCAAAACGTACCCAATTTCTCTAACCTGAGAAGCGAGTACCTCCGCACGGCTGCGGACTGCGCCGTCCAAGCCCAGCGCCAGGGCGCCGAGTTCCTGCTCCACCGCGAGCTGAGAGACGGCACCAACCGCTACACCGTGAGTCTCGAGTCGGGTCGCCGGTTAAGTGAAGCCCTGGACCAGAGTGCCCAATTGCTGGCAGTTTGCCCCGAGTACGTCGAAGCCCACGCCGCATTCAGCGCTGCAGTCGAACTGGCCGTGGCCAATGTGGGCACGGCGCTGGACGCGACCCAAAAGTTCCACGTGGTGGCGGAAAAGGGTGCTGTTGCCATGACGGCGAGGCAACTTTTGGAGGACTCGGTGCATTTGGACCATTTCCACGCCTACGAAGCCTCCCGCAAGTTGGAAAATGGGTACATCTCAGACGCGGAGCTCAATGTTGCCGACTTGTCGCTGGAGTTGCACACGGACAACGGCCTCATGATTGCCATGATTGCACCTGCGTACTTTGAGGTGTTGCCGACTGGCGAGCTGCAACTCAAGCAAACGCAAGGGCAAGACGCGGGACTGTTCATCCAGCTTGGAAATGGGGAGATCGTGCGCCCAGTACTTAACCCGGATGAGCTCATTTTGATGCTCGGGTCGGGTATTGACGACTGGATCAAAACCTCGCCACCTCTTCACTCGGTGTTGCATGGCATGCGCTACCCACGCACCGTTAGCGTGGTTAACGAGGACGGAGAAGGCAACAAGCTGTTGCGGTCGTGGTTCGGCAAGATGATTTTGCTCGAGGAGCACCAGGTCATGGATAACACTGGCCTAACCTTTGGGCAATACGCAAACCAGACGACTCGGTACCTGATGCAACAAGATGGTGAAGACCACCAGGCTTTCGGTGCTGTGGCGTGTCCCCCGCAACGGCGTTTGGCTGCATCGGACAACAGTTGCTCGCTCAAGATCTGTTCTCTTAAGAGCACGGCCACGGCGTCGGACCTCACGTACTCGTGCCAAGTTACGTGCAACCACGACTCCACCACCGACGCCGCGTTGTGCGAGAAATACTGCGACTGTGAAGACTCGCCGAATGGCGGCACGACCTGCTGGATGCTGTGCGTGGAGAATTTCTCGTCGGATGTGTGTCCGGGAGAGCAGGAGTGCAACAATGCAAGCACCGAGGACAAACTGGCGATGACTTGTGTTGGCGGGACAGCTGCCCCCTCGACCTCAACGACTTCGACACCGTCGACTACTACGGCTAGCAACACTGGAAATTCCGGTTTGGCGACCACGACTCCCAGCACGACGACCCCCAGCACAACTGCGCCGTCGTCAACCACCGGTACGTCGACTGAAGCTCCAGCTACTACTGCGCCGACTACTACCGTGCCAGAAACTGCTGCACCCGCTACAATTGCCCCGGAGGTGGCAGGGTCTAATTCTGTGTCGTCTGCTGCAAATGCAGGGTCTGCTGCTTCGTCGGTGAACGTTGGTGACGGATCTACGGCGGCTTCGACTGCAGTGGGGACTTCGTCGGGCTCGACGGCCGCATCCACTGCCGACGGAATTTCTTCCGCGTCCGCCTCGGCGTCGGCATCATCGGAGACGTCGGCTTCAAGCTCAGCTGCGAGTGTGGTCCCGTTTGCCATTTTCGTGAACGGTGCAGCCCTGCTGGTGGCGATTTTCCTGTGCATCCAGTAAGACTTGACGCCGTAGGAATGGTTGCTTTTACATTTTTAAGGTTCATTTGGGTATATCGAATTAATTGTTGACTGCTGCTCGTTGCTTCGTGCGATGATAACGAATTTGATGTAGATTAACAAAACGAGTGCGAAGACGCTAGGACACTGTCACTAGTACATGCACTTCACGCACTTCAAGGATAAGCACAAGCCTCACCGTGAAGTCCGCCGGTACTGTACCCGACCAATCTTAAGTCTCAAAACGGTGGTTGTTATACGGCGGTGAAAGACCGCATACAAATTGAAATTTCCCGCCGGAGCACGTCGTATATTGCTTCAAATTCTGAGACCTGGGCTGACTCCGCACATTGCAAAGCATGTTGTGAAGTCGCATCACGTAGCTCTAACGCAAACTCTAGGTCGTTATCCGTGTAACGGTGTTAATATTCAGTGTCCCGGAAAAGCGAATTTCAGCCGCAGGCACCATAGTTTTCGGGTGCTTTGTCGTCTCCTTCACCCCGTCTCCTCACTACCTCCTCCTAGATCTTCTTCTCGTGTGTTGTTTTCCACAAAATATCTATTGTGCCTTTCACGTATTTTGGCGGGTGAGCTGTTAATTCAGGCGTAATTAGAGTCATAAAAGGGCGATCAACGCTTATTTAGTGCTAATTCTGCCTAAGATTGTCAGCATTTGAGAGCCAATCGACGGCAGAATGGCATGGATTGGCGGGTAGGAAACCGCCAATCGCTCTGTTTCCGCCTAACGCAGACTGGATTAGCTTATTCCGCCTTAACTCGGCCTCACCATCGCCGCTCCTGAGAGCCTGTTCGCGTTGTACTAGAGATGGAGATGGTGCTTGATCTCCACCTACAGCTCGTTCGCTATGTATCCATCTCCAGACAAATTTTAAGCCAATCACAGGACAGATATGGGATGGCTCTCCTCCCCACTTGAGAAAATGCCGACTCGCCTCACCAGTGCGGCCACGCGTGCGGGACAAGACGGACTTTGTGGCGATATTCAAGCAGAGCGAGCAGTTCCAGACCTTGCAGGCGAACTTGGAGCGGGAGGGGCTGTTCCGACCGTCACCGACGCTCCCACCTCTGGAATTCAGCGACAAACGCGCGTCCACCAACCTGACGCAGATGACGTTCCTGACCAAGCGCTTCTTTGACTTGTACTAGCGCACTGCGTCGTACAACTTGACGCGCTTCTTCATCTTCATTGGACTGGGAATTGTGATCGGCATCACGTACACCGACAGCGACTACACCTCGTACCAAGGGATCAACTCGGGCATGGGCATGATGTACATGACCATCACGTTCGTGGGCGTCATCTCGTTCCACAGCATTCTACCCATTGCGGACGAAGGTAGAGCGTCGTTCTACCGGGAGCGATCGACTCAAAGCTTTAATGCGCTCTGGTACTTCCTGGCTTCGAGCCTGGCGGAGATCCCGTACGCGTTCGTGGCCACACTGCTGTTCATGGTAGTGTACTACCCGTCCGTGGGCTTCACTGGGGTGGATTCGTTCTTCCTCTACTGGTTCAACATGTCGCTCCACGTGCTCCTGCAAGCGTACACGGGTGAGTTCATGATGTACATTCTACCCAGCATGGAGGTGGCCGCGGTGCTGAGTATGCTGCTGAACACCATCTTCTTCCTGTTCATGGGGTACAACCCGCCTGCGAACTCCATCCCGGCGGGCTACAAGTGGCTCTACCACATCACGCCGCACTCGTACACGTTCGCCATCTTGTCGTCCATTGTCTTTGGAGACTGCCCAGTGACGGTGACGGCTTGGACGTTGGCTGCAAGGTCATGACGGGAACCCCTCCGTCCATGGCGGACGACACAACGGTGAAGGCCTACCTGGAAAAGGATTTCCTGGTCAAACGCAGCGACTTGTGGATGAACTGCGGCATCGTCATCGCTTTCATCGTGTTTTTCCGAGTGTTGGCGCTGCTGTCTCTGCGTTACGTCAACCACCAGAAGAAGTAGGCCGGGATGGTTGTAGAAGAGCGTTCTAACTAACAATTAAACGAATGATAATATTGGGAGTGCGCTACTGCGGACAGGAATCTACGACCCGTACTAGTATCTTACCTATGTCCGTGTCGGATGTGCCTTAGCCTTGATACGTTCCTGCCGAGCTAAGAACGCGTCAGATCCGAGCGCTTTGTACAGTCCGTACAACTTCAAGACCTCCATGAACTTTTCTTCAGGGAGATCGGCCAGGCCAGCCGTCCTGAGCTTCTCACCAGCGGTTAATGTCCTCCAATGCTTGAACATCTTCATCAGGGAGGGGGCATCGTCGACAATGTCGGCCACCACGTCGTCGACCTTGCCGAGGGCCCCTCCCGCCCTCTCTTCTTCGCCTTCGCCGCGCGGCTTCATCTCCAGGCTCCTCAGAAGCACGTAACCTTGCCTCCGAGCAGCTGGAGAGACCTGAACGGCATTGACCGAAGACAGCGTCGCACAGGTAGCGAGGAGAACGGTCGCGACTGCCACCAGGAAGTACTGGGCACGCATCGGTAACCGGAGAAAAGCGAACTGATGTTCTGTGAAGACCGAGGAATTCAGGCCCAAATCCCATCTCGGTCCTCTATCATGCAAAGCTTCATGGATTTTTGTAAGCCTGCGTCTATCTATCTCTTTCGTGGTTCGCGAATCGTCACGATTCAATCGTGGCATAACTCCGTGTAGAGTCTACACTGTAGACCGCACACAACGAAAAGATTGACCACCAAACGGGTTGACCCATAGCACGTTCTGACTGCATCGTGGCACCGGAAAGAATCCAACGACAAATTTTCTACGTTCTATCCCTTCACCCGTGTATTCGTTCAAATTTGAGATATTATAGTTCATAATAGTACATATAACTTACTACCTTTTTTGGTTGGGGTTGGGGTGACGTCCTCCCCCTTCCGGCAGGGGCTCTCGGGCATCTGCACGTCCCTTGCGAGTCTCCGCATCAGCCCAGCACCACCTCCCGCCGCTACCGCATCGACATCCTCGGCCTCCAAGAGATCAAGCTCCCGACACTCGGGCGCCAACAGATCGGAGACCATACGCTGCTGACCCTCCCAGGCACCCAAGAGCGCCACGGAGTTGGCTTCGCGGTCTCGCCACGCATGCGCCCCTTCCTACACCGATACTGGGCCCACAACGACCGGATACAGAATTCTGCCCGAATAAGGAACGGGTGTACAACTAATAGCCTCACATATTTAATATTATTTTCCAGTCGATGTGGCGATAGGGGGATGTGCAAGGTACTGCAAGGTACTGAGGTACTAAGGTGAAAAATCCAGTGCCAATCATCAGCTCTCCACCCTCGTTTGAAAAATGGCGCGCATTTAGCGATCTTACTAGACTTCAAACTACATGTACCGTAGTGGTAGACTCGCACTTTCGCTTTTGCACCTCGCCCCACAAGCCCACCTCCTCCCCCACTCCACCCATGAAGTCCACACCGTCCAAGCGTCTCCGCCTCACTTAAGATGATGCAGGCTCTAGACCGGCTTGGTGAAGGGCTAGATAATCCCTACGAGGTCGACCAGTTGACAGCGCTGTTGTGGTGCGAGGGTGCCTGGTCAAAGGTTAGTGCTTCGACCATACGCCACTGTTGGAATCATTCCGGACTCGTAGGTAAAGCTGCTCTTCAGTTCATTTTGAAATAACTAAATCAGTACATTGGAAAAGTATACTCAACTAACATCAATTTATATATTCTGCGTCTTTATATATATCAGGCGTTCCTTACTCGGGCAGATTACTGTAGGAGTTCTCCAGCTTTTTATGCCGCACACAGGACGCATCAACGTCGTGACAGCGTACTCACCACACAGCGGGCGCCCCCTCCGCGACATTGACAATTTCTATGCTGATCTGAGGTCGTTGCTCGACCCGTTCGCCCGCCGAGACATTACAGTCATCACAGGGGACTTTAACGCCAAGCTCGGAGAGGCATTCATGGGCCCCCACGCGCGCGGCATTCGCAACCGCAATGGGCATGCGCTGGCTAACTTTTGTTTGACTTATCGCATTTTCGCAACTAACACAGATTTTTGTAAGAGAGCCACGCACAAGACCACCTGGAGCCAACGCCGTACGGACTACCATGTCTACAACCAGATCGACTACATTCTCTGCCAGCAAAATTGCCGGCGCTTTTCTATGGACGCCCAGTCCTGGGGTGGCACCACGACCGCCTCGGGCCACAAACTCGTGACGGCGGACTTCGTTCTTACCCACACTCGCCGGCTCCGGTTCCAGAGGAGCCCAATACCAGCTCAGCGGCTACAGATTGCACGGGAACGCCTCATCTTCGACGGCACCATTCAGGACAAGTTCACCACAGCGCTAAAGGCGGCGCTCCGCCCCACACATGACGCTCCGGTCGCCCACCAATGGAGCGGCCTCATGGACCTGATCCACGACACAGCAGAGGCAACCGTTGGCGTCAGAGCGGCGCCGACCAAGTACAAGCGCTATGACGACCCAGTCCTCGCCGCTTTGACCGAACAACAACGCGCACTCCAGATCCGCATCTACCACGACCGACAAGCCGCTACATCGGCGCTTCGTCGAGAAAGAAATGCTATCTTGCACCAAATCCAGTTCCGATGCCGAGAGCTGGCCAATCTAGCCCTCGACGAGAAGATTCAGCAGATCGAGCGCCTCAGTCCCACGGCTCAAATGTTTGAAGCAGTCCGCGAGGCTACGCGTACGCGCATTCAGCCGCTGCTTCTCCGTGACACTACAGGTAAGTATATCCTACACGAACGTACAGCTAACAATTTAGTGCGAGCCCATGTTCAGGAACAGTTTTCTATCTCGACGCGACTCCCCGTCCTGCCGGACCAAGAAGCACGTGGGCTCGACTGCCCGGTAACGGCTTCCGAGTTCACGATCGCTCTCCGCCGACTTAACAATCGACGTGCGTCCGGACCTGACGGCATACCCGGCGAGATGCTCAAATATGGTGCAGATGTACTCGCACCTCGCCTGGCTGAGCTCGTCAACGCAAGCTTCGAACGCAGGGAGCCACTCACTTTTGGTGACGGTACCTTACTTTGCCTCCCCAAGCCCAACAAGCCACGAGGTTAGTGCTCCAGCCTCCGCCCCATCGTGTTGCTCAACAGCATACGCAAGGCCGTCTCTATCCTAGTCCTGAACAGGATCTCGCCAGCCGTGGAGAAGTTCCTCTCGGCTCATCAGTGCGGGTTCCGCAAATACCGCAGCACCGCAGATGCGGTTTGGACGCACCGATGGCTTTGTGCTCGCATTCAACGTTACCAGGAGAGCATTCACGTCCTCGGCATCGACCTGTCCAGAGCATTCGACACTATCGACAGACACAAGCTTCTCGAAGTCCTTCGAACATTCCTGACCGACGACGACGTACGGCTCATCCGACTCCTACTCGCGAACACGACGCTGGCCCTACGCTCCGGCCGCCGGACGCTCGACCCGTTCATATATATATATATTAAAATAATAATATATATACTTTATTTAAAATTATATTTATGTTAATAATTTCTTTTTTTAAATATAAAATCTATTATTCTCCACAAGACACAAGTGGATAGTCGAGGAAGACAGATCAAAGTATACTTTAGTTCCTATCGGAATTGACTAGGGGACCATGTCGGAGGGGGACCAGTTCGTCGAGACGTTTCGGCGGCTGAGTCTCCGAGGAAGTCGAGCTGCTGCAGCTAGGACGGAAGGAACGGGGACAGCAATTCCGGCACTCCTCAAGGCGACTCTCTCTCACCTGTTTTGTTTGTGATCTATTTCGAAGCTGCACTTCATGATTTAGCTAGAAAACTCGATGTACCGCACGCGCTGCTCGAGCAAAGGGTGGTGTACGCTGATGATGCCGAGTTTATCTGCCGCGACCAAGCGACAATCGGAATTATCCTCGACAAAGCCCCCGCCATCCTAGCCCGCTGGTCCCTCACTATGAACATATTCAAGACAGAGATCACGGAACTGCGTCGCCACACCCTCCCCAGCGGCCACAACCGGCTCACCCGCGCGGCAGAAGAACGGTGGCGCTCGACAAGAAAGATAGGCTCATTGCTCGGTGATACGGAAGACGTCACGCGGCGGAAGGCACTGGCGGCGGCTGCGCTACGACGTCTTTGGACGATTTGGCTCCGCTCACACTACACCACGGACAAGACTCGGATACGGCTCTACAACTGCTACGTGCTCCCGGTGCTCCTCTACAACTGCGGTACCTGGGCTCTTACTACCTCAGAACTCCTTGGTCTCGAAAGTTTTCATCGTCGGCAGCTTCGCAACCTCTTGGGCATTCGCTACCCGCGCCACGTTTCGAACGTGACGCTGTATGAGATCTGCGGCGAGCGACCGCTTCGCCACCGAGTCGCGGCAGCCCGATGGGGACTCTTTGGACACATTCTCCGACGGCCGGACATCCCTGCCTACACACAAATGGCTGCCTACTACGCCCCCAGCGAAGCAGGCCAATGGCGCGGTCGCCCCCGCACAACCCTTCCTGTCGTACTTGACGCTGACCTCGTAGCCAGTGGCCAAGGCTACCGACTTCGGAACGCGCAAGATCTCGAGGGACTCCGCACACTTGCTGGTGACAGACTGAAATGGAAGACTCTGATGGCTGGAATTGCTGACTCGCTGTCGGCTACTGGAGACTCGACGTATGTGGACACCACACTATGCCGCCGACTAGCTAAGTTGAGCCTAGCGCAGGTGTAATATGGCTACGCGAACACGTACATCATTCATTCATCATTCAACTTACTACTTCCTCTGCAACCTCGTGATCTGTACATGTACCTTGCGCCGGTCAGGGACGATTACGCTCGAAGGTTGTATGGAATCCAGCAACATCTACCAATCTACACTTCTGACAAGATCGAAGCGTTCTTGGGGCCAACGAAAAACATTATTTTGAGTAATTGTACCCAAAGGCCAGCAAAGAATTATGACTCGTACAATTTATCGGCTAGGATAAGCTTTTTTAAAAGCTTAAAAACAACACTGGTCCAGTGGGCACCTGCCAATGTACATAATGCTTTAGTAAAATAATGATTTTAACGTTACGAATGTTCTCACCATGAAAACAATGAGCTCGGATAGATTGTCTAGCACCTCGTCGGTATTCAGAAGAAGCAGAAGCTGATTAACTACTTGTACCGGTAGCCACTACAGTAGCTATGGCAAGTTGTACATATCTCCTGGGGCAAACTTCGCGGATCCATAATTTAGCAACTTGCTTGAGAAGCTTGTGGTTTGGGTGCACAGGTTTCCATGGTCGTTGTACATAAGTGGCAACAACAATATGGAGTAACGAAGTTGCATTGGAATCGCAATACTTGAAATACAAACACAATAAAACTAGCAACCACGCTAAGCCCCCTTCACCCTTACAGCGTCTTGCCCGCAGCTCGGAACGCCTTGATGTTCTCCTTGGCCGCAGCTGACACGCGCTTGTACAGTTGCGGGCGGTATCCGAAGGCGAAGAGCGCTTCAAGCAGTACGAACATGGGGGCCGTGACCAGCGCCTGGTCCAGACTGTCGAACAGCGCGGGCTTGCGGCGCTCGAAGACTCCATGACCAATGAACTGCATGATCCACGCGAAGCAGTGCACGCCCAGCGCGACCTGCCAGCCTGGGCGCTCGAAGTGGCTGGGCGCGTAGTCCTGCACGAAGAAGTTGGCGAAGAGGTAGCTGGCGAAGACCAGGATGGCGCCCAGCGAGCCAGCGACGTGGTCCAGCAGGATGTACCAGACCATGTAGACGCCCGCCAGCACGCAGGACGGGTTCAGCAGCAGGTACTCGCCGAACGGCAGCCCCGACGCGAAGCTCGGCGGCTCGGCGAAGGCCTCGAGCGACGCGAACATGCAGAGCGCCGAGATGAAGATCTGCCAGATGCAGGCGAAGTGGATGATCTGGTTGATCTTGTTGTCGTGGTAGGACAGGTAGAACGTCACCTGCTTCTCCAGGTCGAAGCGGTCTGCCCAGGCTACCATTTTGCAAGGAAATCTGCGACGTGTGTACACTTGGACTTTGGCTTGGGAGGCTTGACGCGGATTCAAAAGTGGGGTGATGATGGCTATCTTCTGGCAGAGGTGCTCACTTTTGAGCGTGCACATTGGTTTTGGGGAAACGGTACAAATCGACCAGACATTGGCTGAAAATGCGCGTATACCGCAATCCATTGGCTGAAACAAAGACACGCAGAGATGGACTCAACGAACGGTCAACAACATCAACTTGAGGTTTACTTAGCACCAGTGGTGGTGCGTGCGCGAATAATTCAACTTTAAGAAATATGTTTATCGAGATGGCCAAGATGGACATGATCTGGCACTGCTTGAGTGCAATCTACACAGAGTTTGGAGGGACGGTACAGCCTTCGCTACGTTAGCATTTTTAATTTTTATTTTTTTGCTGAATGAAGCTGCGGTGCTCAAAGTTGACGGTGCAGTCGGTAAGCAGTCTTTTTGCTAGAGCATCATTCCGGTGCTGGTGTGTTGCCATATTTGCATTTTCCCCAGAAATGGAGAAGACTGCGATTTTCGTAACGGGGGTTGACGCGCCATTCAAATCTGGACGGCTCACAGGATGCCAGCACTTCGAAGCTCCTTCCGGTAATGGAGAGCCAAAAGCACTCAATTGCTGATGTAGTTGATGAATAGTAAGGAGCTGGGCGGGTGCTCACCATGGGGACGTTTGGCAAGTACCAGGGAATCGAGAGCCGAGGCGAATTCTCAGCAGTCGGGACTGTCGAAGGTTGCGCGATGTTGTATGGACAAGATCAGTGGTATGAAAGCGGCCAGAACACACAAGAAGTGGCGGAAACAGCAGCGACTACCGCGTAGGAATTGTGTCATCTCGCTGGTAGCTTGAACCTTTCTAACTGATTTCTGTGCATCCACAAACCGTTTTCGACTGAACGCAGAGATGGCTATTCGAGCGGCATGTGGGGTGATTTTAGCCTCGTTCATACAGCTGCGCGACGAAGCTTACGATCCTGCAGGCGCACACACCAAGAAATGGCGATTTTTCCCGGACTGGTATTACCTTGGTGGCTTGAGCTACTGCGCTGTTATGGTCGTCTTCTCGATGGGGATTAATCTGGGTGGAACACTTCGGGAAGTTTGTCGCGGAATGGGGGGCGTAGGCCTGGCGTTTGTTTACAACTACGTGGTTTTCATGTTCATCGAAGTGGAAGCGTTCGATAGCAGCCGCAGACCCTAACGGAAACTACTACGAAATCCACAAAGCGTTCAATTCGGAGGCGTATTGGATCAACCTTCCCAATTTGCTAAGAACACTCCCCTGGATGATACTCTTCACGGTTGTGGTGCTTCTTCTGCCGTTTAATGTCAACACGCGGAAGTTCGCGCTTGGGAGCAATGCTTACTACAGTTAGTGTTTTGTGTTTTCATCACGGAAGATGTCATTATTCTCTAACTAGATTTTGTTATTTCTGTAGTGTTAACTATCATCAATCCTGACAATATCCTTCGAAACTTGCAGGCATACTTGGTCGTGGGGGTAGTCGGAGGTTTTATCTCTGTGTTGACTATGCTGCTTCCATACCCAATCATGTACGTAATATTTACCATAGCTACTTAGGCCGCATCCGACTAAATGTTACGGTGATATTCTGCCATCCAGCGCAATACAACAGCTAGATGCTTGCTCCATGAGAGTTTCGCACGAGATCGCTGGCTTACTCGGACTTATCGTTGACTCTTACTGCTCTAAAAGCCACAACGTCGAGCAAATGAATTTTCTCCAGCTTAAAATTAACCGCAAATTTAATGCTATCGAAGCTAGGCATCGGCAAATGACATCGCTGCTGGACGACACGTGGTGGGAGCAATGCTTTGGTGTCCACTTCGTTATCCCCTTTAACCGCACGGGCACGGGAAACTATATCAACTTGGTTGGGTCGTTGTCTCGACGAATTTTCACTTGCGGTTCGTGAGTCTTCACCTGGTAAGTCCACGCACTTCCACCCACACATTAGGTAACTTCAGCAATTTAACACTTATTGTTACGTGCATGGTACTAAAGGTATCGCTTTGAAGACGGCGCAACCACTGGAGAATCAACTTGAGACGATTCTCTACAGATTACGCAAGATTCAGAGTCGGACGCTGAGAACGCAGGCGACAACATTGGAGGAAGTGGCTGGGAACGCGCCTCTCACGCTCTTTCGCTTTTCACTCAATTCATTCTGCACCACACTTTTACACTTTGAGCACGTTCACAACACCACGGGGTGCGATATAGCGCGGCAAGTGAAGGTCTTTGTGGTTTCGTCCCTTCGGTCTTTCCTAGACCCGATCTGTTATGCAAGGCCATCCACTTGGTTGGGTACTCTGAAGGGTACGCTGGGGATGACGACTGGAATATTTCTAGCGGTTCATGTGTCGGCTTCAGTGCCACGGTGCCCTCAACCATAGCTTACGTGATGGGGAATTTCCTGGGAGGATCCTTCAGGGTGACTGTGAACCGAGTTGGAGGTGTGGTGGCTGGCAGCGTTGTCCCCTCTGTCTTCAAGTTCTTCTTCGTACAGTTGTGCAACCCAAGCTTCTTGAACGAGCTGCTGTCTGAAATGGTAATTTTTCTGTGGGTATCCATGTCAATGTACATTTGCTTCGCTGGAGAGTACAGCTCGTACGCAGGATTGGTGTCGGCTTTTATCTCCGCTGATACGTTGCTGCGTCAGACCGATTTGTGTTACCCAAATGGATCCGATAGTCCAGGGGCAATAGCAATCTCTTCGTACTCGAGCCTTGCTCAAACGTCTGTGGGCGTTGTGATTTTTATCATTGTCGAGACTTTCATCTTCCCGCAAAGCGCAGCCAGTTTACGAAGTCGGAACATCCAAGCCTCAGTGAAACTGCAGCAAAAGGCGTTCGATGCATTGTTTGGCTACCATCTCCCCAGCTGCATCGGGATGCCAGCCGATACATTAAATGAAGTGCGCGATATTCTGGAAGTACAGATTCCAAGAAAACTTTTGAAGCGTAAAAGGCTCATGGGAGACGCTCAAGCGGATCCCGTATTGTGGAGAGGACCATTTCTACGACATAAGCACGAGCGAGTGCTAGAAGTCTCTCACAGAATGCTCAACAATATTTATTTACTGTTCAAGTTGGTATGCTGGTTCGACTCGCGGGTAGAGCAAAAGCGCGTTGCACTAAGCTCGCACGATATCCGAGACAACCAAGTCGGACCTCGAACAGGCGAAGGTACCAGCACTCAGACCAAGTGGCACGTCTCTACGAACCACTTCCTCTCCTCTGTTCGCGATAGGTTTGACACAATCCACAAGCTGTACGAAAGTGCGTTCTGGCACTCCAATCCGGAGCAAACCGCCGTGTTCATGCAGCTGAAAGAGGCCTTTCGTCTTGCTGATAAGAACTGCACCGGAGAACTCAGCGCGGATGACGTCTCGGGCATGTTAGAGAAAGTGTTCAGCCGGTCGGTTGACGTAAAAGAAGGAGAAATTCAAAACTACGTGGCGGAATTCATGGCGGTGGTTGGGAAGTCACACACGCCGACGATCTCCTTTCAAGAGTTTGCTGACGCTGTGGAGAATGGACTTAAACTTGAGGTGGAAGTGCAGCATCGACGAAAATCTCGAACGTCTTCAGCCGGTAGTGATGCAATGAAGTCGCGCTTGTCCAGCTTTAGACGAAGCAGTGGAGCTGACGGTAGCAAGCGGTGGAGCGCTGATGACAAAACCTCGGAGGCTCGCGATGCTCATCGCGCCGACGAAGTCGTGATAAATATTGATGTCGACAACAACACGGATAGCGCTAAGCCCAAGGCTTCGCCATCAATGCAAGAGTACATCGAAGGCAGTATTTCACGCCGAGTAGTGGATCGAAGGGGGTCTGTCGTCGTCGAAGAAGTCTCACTAACGATTACTCCAAATTTGCTACACCTCGACAGTGACGACGAGGACGACAACAGTGGGTTGGCTTCTGACTACACGTCGACCCTATTGTGGCGAGATCATGACGCCCAGAACGTGGAGGAGTTCTCGATAAGAGACATTGCACAGAGGATGAAGTTTGCTGATGCAGAGTGGCTGATCACTGATTACCAGTTCGAGCAAGTGTCGATGGAGGAGCAGTTTCTGCTGCAGTGCTTGGTGAGTGGTGCGGAAGGTGTAGCAAAGAACCTTACGGAACTAGAGGAAGTCACACTGTCACTGTAATCTAATCAGAAAGAGTGAAAATAAAATAATTTGCATGAAAGTCGTTGACTTTAGTTGAATCTGGTTTGATTAGTTAGTTCAATTTTAGGATGATGACATCGCAATCTCCTCTAAGCCTGACAAGTTCTTCGCAATACTCTCAGCTCCACTTACCAGACAGTTCAGCAGCAATTGTTCCTCCATAGAAATACGCTCGAAGCACTTATCCGCAAGGAGCCACTCCACGTATGCAGCTTTCATGTGTGCCACGACGTCGGAAATGGAGAAGTCCTCCACATTGAGAACATCATACTCACGTCGAATGAACACCGACGCGTTCTCAGACGGGAAAAAGCTGGTTGTATGTGTGTCCTGTTCTCGAGCGACTCCAACAATTGGAGCAACACTTTCGGTGATTGAAGCGGGTCTCGATTCTTCCTTCGTGTTCCCTCTGGCTTCTTGGCTACAGGCGGCTGAGTCTTCATTCATCGCAATTTTCTTGATTTCCTCAGGTAAGTTGTCCGATGAAAGTGCAGGTGCACGTGGCTTCACCCGTCGGTAGACTTCCACCTCCAGCTTTAGCCCGTGCTCGATAGCGTCCATGAAGTCCTCGAATGATACCGTCGTCCTACCAGGTTCCCCCACCACCCTCATAAACTCCTGAACGTAGGCTTTGATCTGCCCCTCCTTCACTGCGCCCGACTGGGCGAATATCGTTCCCAGCATGATGGCGACATCGTCCGCGTTGAGCTCACCACTGCAGTCTTTATCTGCCAGACGAAATGCCTCCTTCATTTGCATGAACACAGCGGTTTGATCCGGATCCGAGTACCGGAATGTGTCGCTGAAGATCATCTCCATGGTTTCAAAGTTGTCGCGCACTAACGACTGGAAGTGGCTACTTGAGAGCTTCCACTGCGCGTGACAGTCGACACTGTCATTTTCATCTTCTTGGACATCGTTGCGAATATCTGCAGGGTTTAGCTTCACCCGGTTTTGCGTCACTCGGAAGTGGAACCAACGTAGCAACTTGAACAGCAAATAGTTGTTATTCAGCAGTCGATGGGAATATTCAAGCACCCGCGTGTACTTGTCAGCGGAGAACTGCGGACGCCACAGCAGCGGCTCGACCTGAGCTTCCACCAGTAATTGTCGCTGCGACTCGAGCTTAAACGGTATCTGCACCAGCAAGATATTGCGGATTTCTGTCATAGTAGCGTCGTCCATCTCAACTGAGCTAGACAAGTGATGGCCGAATAAAGCATCAAATGCCTTTTGATGCAGCTTAAACGTATCCAAAATGCTCTGGCGTAGCAAAGAGATTGCACTCTTCGGGAAGAGGAACGTCTCGGCCGAAATAAAGATGACGACGGCCACGGATGTTTGTGCGAGATAGGAATATGACGCGACAGCCACGGAGTTGGAGCTGTCGGAGCCATTTGAATAGCAAATGTCGGTCTGGCGCAGGAGGGTGTCCGAAGCAACGAACGCAGCCACCATGCCGCCGTAGGAGCCATAACCGCGTCCGAAGAACACGTACATACACATCCCCACCCAGACGAACATGACGATGTCGGAAAGCACGACGCCTAAGACTTCCGGCTCGCAGATTTGTACGAAGAAGAACTTGAAGACGGACGGAACAACGCTCCCCGCTACGACCCCGCCCACTCGGTTCACTGTGGTTCGGAATGAAGTGCCCAAGTGTCCGCCCATGATATACGCAATACACGAAGGAACGGATGCGCTGAACCCGTAGACGCCCACGCTGAAGGCGACGCCTGTCATGATAGCCACGGTGATTTTCAGTGCGGTTATCCAGAGCATGGGGTTCTTATAGTACGCTGGATCGATGAATCTCTTGAGTGAAGTTCTCAAGAAGGACCGCACACGGTGGACGTCGGTGTAGACTTTGCTGTTGTGCGACTGCTGGAAGTTGATGAGCGTGCTGCAGAATGAGTTGAGGGAAAACAAAAACAAGTTGAGGGGCACGTTTCCCGCGACTTCAGCCGGCGTCACAGCTTCTTTCCGTAGCGTCCGGTTCTGAACTTTGCGGAGCTTGTACAGCGCCATTTCAACCTGATTTTCCAGTGCACCTAGCGCCTTAAGGTCGAGGTCTTGGCCAAAACAAAACAAACTATCAGCGCAAATACTTGGTAATGATACAGTGTATGCAAGTACTTACGGGGCGACAAAGCGTCGACTTCGCGAGAAATCTCGTTCAGCAGATCATTCGTTCGCGTCTGAATGATGTAGATCTCCCGTCTTAGAACTGCCATGTAGATCGAGTGTAAACGCCCGTAGTCTTCAAGGCACATGGCATAGTTCAGGGTGCGTAGGTCGGCGAGCAGGGAGCCGACCAGTTTGATGTAGCTGCGGCTTATGGCGCGATTAAAACCGAGAATGTAATTCAGCCCGAAACACTGCTCCCACCAGGCATCATCCTGTAGTGTCAGCATCCGGCGATGACGGGCTTCGGCGTCGTCAAATTTGCGTCGAAGGCGAAGTTTGAGGAATTCCATGTTCTCCACATTTTTGTTCTTGAAGCAGTACGAGTCCACAATAATGTTTAGCAGCTCCAAGAGATCCGCGGATGCTTTCTTTGAGTCCTCACGTAGCTGAGAAATTGCACTGTTTGATGAAGGATCAAGTTATGTTAGTCCTCAGTGATATTCACGCATTGTTTACAAACTAATACTCACAAGATCGGGTAGGGGATGCACATCGTAACAACCGAGATCAAAGCACCCAAGACACCGACGATCGCAAACGTCCGCAAATTGCGTAAAATATTGCTAGTGTCAAAGAATTCGTCGTCAACGCTTTTTAGCTGACCAGAGCTCAAAGGGTTGGCGGGGTTGATGATCGTCAAAGCTGCGTACACAACAACAATATCGACAGTTGGTTAGCTGGGGTTGTAGTGGTAATGAGCCGATTGTTGAAGAAGTACTCACTGAAATAGGCGTTTGTCCCCACGGCATACTTGCGTGTATTTAGGTGAAATGGCAGAACCATTACGGCGACGGTGAAAACTACAATCCACGGCAACGTCGCGACCAAGTTCGGTACATTTATCCAGTACGCGCTGGAATTGAACGCCTTGTCGATTTTGTAGTAGTTCTTGTACGGGTTCTCAGCGTGACTGTCGAATCGCTCCACTCCAATGAAAGTGAACAGCACGTAATTGTACAGGAGAGCAACACCCACACCACAAAACCCTTGGCAAACTTCTCGGATCGTGCCTCCGACGTTGAAAGCCATCGAGAAGACCACCATAATCGCGCAGTAGCTGAGTCCACCGAGGTAGTACCAATCGGGAAAGAACAGCCATTTCTTGTCGTAAGCGTGCGACGGATCGTACGATTCATCCCGCGTCTGGATGATAGACGAAATGACCACTGCGAATGATACGCGCAACGCCATTTCAGCGTTGTGTCGGAATGTCGCTGTAGCGAGAAAAAATCGATGTTAGTGCGATTTACCAAATAATAATTCTACAATTTAGCTGTTCGAGTCTTTACCTGATAGTCGATGTGGGCTCAGAAATCCTTTTCGTTGTTTGTCAACATTGATCCGCAGTTTGGTTGCAGTTTCGCTAGCTGCGTCGGTGCTGCTGGTGAGCACCCTTGATCGTTTGAGCTGGGGAGGACTCGGCGACTCCAATACAAGCGGTACGACGACATCGCTGCAAAAAGACAACATCATTAGTATTCCTTAAGGCATCTACTTCGACATTATTAAAATCGCACCGCGGTGGTGGCTCCGTGCTTGCGCTCTCCATGCTCCCACTGGTAGTCATGTGTAGTCGAGAGCAGAGATTGATGGCTGGCAGAGTGTTTCTCCCGATCAGCGGATAACTGCAAGGTGCGAACTTTTGGTGCGAGCTATCTTGAGCCTGGCCAAGTTGAAGTGCTTTTTGTTGAAACGATGGACTGGATTTCCAAAGCCCCCACCGCGCAGCATAGCTGAAAGTGCCTATCACATGAAGCACACTCACAAAACAAGAAATATCCTCAAGCGAATCCCGATTTGTTACCTTACTATTATTGCGATGACATGAAGACGGCGCTGCACAGTTGCAAGATGGAAATAGTAGGGACGCTCATCGGACACTATTCGAACTCTAGCCCTGCTATTAGGCGCTTGGTGCACCAACAAACCTAAGGTATAGCAGTGATGCCTGTCAACGTGGAGTGAGTCGCGCAACGATGAAACGCCGCCATGCTGCCAACTAGAACGGTTGGCTACCGGTGCTCTTGGTACTTTGCGGCCTTTACACTGTGTCACAGTCTCCATTGTAGCCATCCTGTCTCAGCGCACTTCAACATGGCCGTCCAATCGTGTTCCCCCCTCTAGCTTCTCTCTTGAAAAATGTATGGCCTACTGCAGCTTCTGTCGCCGCGCTTCCATTCGCCAATATTTCAGCCAATCACCTCGCTTCAAGATCCGCACCAAAAGGGAAACGCACCACTATCGATTCCGCACTCCCGAGGGGAAACGTCACCCCACTCACCGCCAGCCATGGGCGACAAGGGCGTGTGCCCGACGCCGCTGCGCCCCTTCGTGGACGGCGGCGCGCTGCTGGCCGACGCCAACGGCAACCGCAAGCGCCGCGTGGACGCGCTGGGCGGCCTCTCGCCCGCCGTGACGCGCGCGCCGCCCGGAGCCTTGGGCTCTCCGGCCTTGCGCTCGTCCTCGGCGGGCTCCAGCGCGCCCTCGGTGCTGCAGATGTTCACGGCGGAGACCGCGGGCTCGCGCCTGGGCGGCAGCTTCTCGTCCGTGTCCTCCGTGTCCTCCGCGTCCACGCTGTCGTCGTCCTGGGGCGCGCGCAGCGCGCGCGACCCCGAGCAGGAGCCGGAGCTGCACGGCCTGCCCAATAAACGCTCGCGAGTGGCGCCCTACGCGCTGCCGGAGACGGTGGTGATCGGCGGCGTGGGGGACAACAGAGGCACGACGTCCAGCAGCCTCGGGAGGGACACCAAGGCGCTCATGGACAATAGGGAGGAGCAGTTCGAGGCCTTGCGCGAAGACTCGCAGAACCTCATGGAGGCCATGAGCATCTCGCAGCAGAACACGCAGGAGTGCACGCAGACGCTGGAGGACAGCCCCTCGCTGTGTCTGATGCGCCTTTTGCTGCATCCCGAGGTGGACAGAGCGGTGACTGCGTTCCAGAAGAACGCGCTGGAGAAGAAGGGGCTGTATCGCATTGAGATGCAGATGCTCACGCCCAGAGTAACCCTTGGGAGAGATAACTATACGGGCATTTTTGACAAGAAGACGTCGGGCGTGGACCCTGTGAAGCTCAGCAGAACGCATTGCATTATTGAGACGGCGCTGGACCCGGAGACCCACAGACACGCTGTGTTTATTACGGACAAGAGCACGAATGGGATTAGGATTGACGGAGTACAGGTGCAGAAGAACAAGAAGTACAAGCTGATGGACGGACAGAAGATTACGTTGCTGTCGTCAAGACAGGGGAATGTGCTGCTGGGATACGTGGTGGAGGACCCGCATGTTCGCGGGGCACAGGAAGGGACCAAGAACAATCAGTCAGCGATCCTAGCGGACTCGCAGGATAAATCGCAGCAAGGACCGAATCTGCAGGAGTACACGCTGGGTGTGCTGTTCTCGGCGCCGCTGGTTGGGAAAGATATCCACGGCAAGTACCACCCGATCGCTGAACTGGATGTCAAGCGTGAATACTCGATCCTGCAGAAGAGTCTGATAGAAGCGTCCAAGTTTGCGAAGAGACCAGCTACAATTAATGATGCATCCGGCAACAACGGGCCTGGTACGTTATCCAGGATATACCAATGTCCGCGGCAAATTAGTGTGGTAGCCAAGTTCGCGAACACGGACACGTTCCGGGCAATGGTGACGCTTGGCTGCCGAGCGCTTCACTTCTCCGGTCATGGCGACGAGAATCATCTATACTTCGAGGACGGCATGGGACTGGTGCATCCGATCCCTCACAAGGGTCTCCAAGAACTGTTTTCGGCGGGTGGTGGAGGAGGCGAGTCGACACTACGTCTTGTATTTGTATCGGCATGCTCCTCAGCACCACTAGCGTACGCATTTGTATCGTGTGGCATCCCTCATGTTATTGGCGTGCGTACGAATCAGAAGATCGAAGACTACGCAGCTATCGAGTTCACGCGTGCGTTCTACTTGGCCCTCGCTACGGGCAAGTCCGTGGGGGCAAGCTTCACTATAGCTCAGCAGTCTGTCGCGAAGTCGCCGAATATTCGAGGGCCCATGGCAGTCGCTGAAAAGTTCATGCTGCTTCCGGAGGATGGCGACCACTCGGAGATTATTTTCCCGTTGGCGGTTGTGGAATCCAGTAACACTGTCAACCTTGAGCCCATGAAGTCGAAGCGATACCCGAAGCTTTGGTTCGACGACCTGCCTGCGATGTGCCAAGGGTTTTGCAACCGCTCTGTCGAAGTATACAAAATCTGCTTGGCTTTGATGATGACCCAGTCTCGCATTACGCGCCTCGTGACTATCTGCGGCGAGGAAGGGATCGGCAAGACTGCGGTTGCGCACGCGGTGGCGAATTACGTTGGGCCTCGTATCACTTCTGAGGGAGGTGTTCGCATCTTTTCGGTTGCCAGGCTTGCTCAAGACGAAATGGACGAGCATGTCGGCATGATGCGGCGAAACATCAACATCGCGAACGGCAGGTGTCGCGTGCTGAGTCGGCTAGAGATCATGGTCACGGACCACTTAAAACAGCACAAGGAGCGGATCGAGTTCAATAGCCAGCAGATGCTGATGGTCTTAGATGGTTGCGACTATCTCCTACGCAATGACGCTCGCCGTGATCGCTTCCGCGCATTCCTGTCGGACCTGCTGACCAACAACGCCTCGCTGAAGATCGTGTTGACGGCGCGAACATCAATCTGCACGGATGGCGCTGTCCACGGCCACGGCGAGAGGTTATACACGCTGTCGAAATTCGACATGAAGAGCGCAACGATGATGCTGGTAAGTCTAATGAGCCGGCCGATTCGAGTTGAAGAACTGAAGCACGCGCGCGCTGCCAACTCAGCGGATAAGCTGGAGCTCATTGCTTCTCACCCAGCTCTGCGAGCTACTCAGGGTATTCCAAAGCGCATAGCTGATCTGGCTGGCAAGCTCAACGAGACGACCATGGACAAAGTCCCAGTGGACGAGAGCGACCTGAATCTCATGGAGTGAGACGTACGCAGCGACGTTGATCAGTAAAGGCTACTATAATATAGCAAGGGTGTGATGCACGATGAACCAACGGTGCAGCTTGCAACTTTGAGTCTGTCGTGACGCACGTGGATTGGTTCACCGGTTGAAGATGAGGTCCATACAAAATCGAAGATACATATGCTCGCAGCGTCCCACCCAGAAAGCAAAGCGTTCCCGGAAGCTCATGACTCGGCCACGCTCGAGAGGAGCGCCTCCGCGTCCTAGCAGTCCGATGGAGCGGCACGTCGCTGATGTCTGTGCGTGTCTGGAGGGGAGCGTCTATCTCGTACCGAGCCAAGCTCCAAGCTCCGAACCAAGCGATGGTCTCTCGCTGCCTGTTCCATGGATAGCAATCACCTTTCGAACTGAGACCACCGGGAGTGCCACCCGTAATGCTAGCCCAAACCAAAGTAGTGGCAGTGCTCAACGCGCCAGCACTGTCGTCCCTACCAGTACCAAGAACAACAGTCGACGTGCAGTCCAGGAAACTTGTATGAGTGGAGTTAGTGGTGTTCCCCTTGGCCCCAAGCTTTCGACAAGTTAGTGGCCATTCGCTTTCTAAGCCTTGTGGCGTGCTACCCAGAGTATTCGTGGCGTGGAAAGCCACGCTTCTGGTGGCATTTGCTGAACAATATCTGTGGTTCGCCTCGCTGCGACGAGTTTTTCTCGCTGCCTCGTGAACCACGGTTCGGTCGTCACCAGGAGGTACCAAACTGTGCGCCAGCTAGAAGGGCAACTGAAGTACGCGTGATGCCGAAGTTTCAGCTGGTGTTTCCAAAGGTCAAAGTGGATAATGCACTCCTGAAACTCATTGCTGAAGCTTTTTCACCACACTGCAACGAGCCATTTCGTCATATGGACCAACGCGCGCAAGAGCTGCTAGCTAGATTGCGAATTAGCGTTCCACAACCCCCCCGGACAGTGGTGATCGACCTGAATTTCTTTGAGAGCCGACTACGGATGATGCATTGCGCGAGTGGGATGGAGACGCTGTTGAAGGCAGCCTCGGGGCGGTGGGGGCATGCGACGGATTCGACGCGAGTTTTCTTCAAAGTTCGGGCCTTGGATCTGAGCGATACTTTGGTATCTGAGCGTGATTTGGCCCCACTTGCGCAATTATTGGCTCGCCCCGAGCTGTCAGTGAGCGATCTCAAGCTGAACAGGGTGGTTACTGCAACGATGACTAAGCGCTTCATGCGTTCATTCTGTGAATTCGTGTCTGCTTGCTTTGCGACACCATTATCTGGAGGTGGTAATGACATTTCCGGGACATCAGTGACGAAACTCTCCTTGAATTCAAGTACGCTAAACCATTTCCAGATCGCCTCTCTCTTTTCGGCCATCCACGAAGCTAATAGCCGACGAGGTGTTCGTGAGTTGTCGTTGCATGGATTCGAGGGCAGCGAGTCGTGGTTGTGGCTCGCATACGGTATAATCCACCCTGCATCGAAGTCCCAAATCACACATTTGGACATCTCGTATTGCGTACTACGACTTGAAGACATTGAGCTCGTGCGTGAAGTTCTGGGGTCTCCTGATTCTGGTCCATTGCTGGTCCCGAAGAAAACACGCCAAATACGCCATGACTCTCATGTCGGGGCGAACCAGTGGGCTCTGGTGGCTGCCGGTAGTCGCTTGGAAATTCCTCGGGAGTCAAGCAAGCATGTCAATTGCCGGTCGAAGCCAGCGCTAAAACTCGAAACAGATTTGTGGTGTCATGTGCTGGAATCCGGAGCATCTTGGACCTGTGTGATGGTTCCTGCGTATGGAATCTTTTACGTCAAAAACTCGAAGATCATGAAAACAGAGTTCCGATCTGACAACGGTAGTACCCGGTATCTGCAAGCACTTACAATGGTCGGCGTGAGGACAGCTCCGCAAGTTTTGAGGCTCGGGTCAGATGGCGAACTGGTTGGACTTTTGGATTCACAGCCGATCGATCGTACTCTATCGGAGTGGCTGCAAGTCGTTGGGCAGTCACTACAAACACTGCATTTGCGTGACAATTCTTTCGCGAGTCGCACGCTAGACACAGTTCTGCGTAGTTGTCCACTGTTGACGGAGCTAGATATTGGCGGCTGTGAATTGACTGATATTGCACCGATCACCAGAGCGTTTCGAGACGAGAGCTGCATCCTGCGCACGCTTAAGGCCGTCCAAAACCATATCAGTGCAGCAAGTCAGGAAGATCTTTTCCGCTTGTTGGGCGATACTGACTGTGCTGCTATCGGCCGCTTGCAGTTCCTGCATCTTGAGGAAAACCCCACGAGTTCGAGAAACAGGATCCTGAACAGGCTCGATTCGTCGCTGTTCAAGAACAAAACGCTGAGGCATTTGTCAATGACACTGGATATCAAAGACCCGCAAGTAAAGAACGTCGAATACCGCTTCGAAAAGAACCATCATGACAAGTGGCTGGCCTATGAAGATCTACCGATTGAGCACCGACTTGCCCTGCTGAGCGTCCCGATGGTGGGAAAGTTGCCGACTGCTGTCATTGAAATCATCCTGGATTTTGCCAGACGTGACGTCTATCGGGAGGTCATTTGGGTGTGACCTGTTCAAACAGAGCTGAATGCCAGCCGGGTAGTGAGTAAAATGCAAACTACTCCTTGAAATTAACCGAAAACCAAAGTGCTTCAATCATTTTTTTATAGATATACTCCTTGAAGCTCATCTGCATACCCACGCTTGCTCTAGCAGATCTCCATCGGAGCCGGACCTTCATTCTTTCTATCAACGGGGTGGAAGTAAATGCCGCACCACGCCTCGCTTCGGTTGCGCTTGAAGTGCAAATCCGGATCGTAGCCGCCGGCAAGCTGCTGCTGACGACGCAGCTTCTTGGACTCGTTCACACCGAAGTTGGGTCCACGCTTGCCTCCAGGAACCGGAACGGGCTGCGGTCCACCAATGACTCCCGGCTGGAAGCCCATCATCGCCGCTTCCATCTCCGCCGTGACGGCCTGGTCAATCGGAATAGCCGTCGTCGTGGCGCGCAGCTTGGAGACGTCGCTTTCGTCTCGTTCTCCCAGCGCCACCTCCATCAGCTGCGCCTTCTGACGCTCCAGATCCGCCTCAAACTGCGAATCCTCCCGCTGCTGCAGCTGTCGCCGTTCCTCCGCCAGCCTCTGCTGCTCCGCAATCAGCTGCGCGATACGGCGCTCCTCGTCGGCCTTCTTGGCGTCATTTGTGGCGATGGCAATGGCGTTCTCCTGGCGGTACTGCTTCCACTGCTTCTGGGCCGCAGCCTTTTCGTTGTCGTCTCCATACACCAGATCAAAAACTACAGCAGCAACGTAAAAATAATTGGTCAGCTCTCCTCCCTTCAGCCCTAAAAACCAAGCATCTTGATCTCGTACTGAGGTTCTCGAGCGTCTCCAAGTAGTCATTGTACTCGTCCAGTGTGTCGAAGTCGTCCTCCGTCTTGTTGTAACTAACAGGATCGATCCACACGGAAATGTTAGCTTGAATACACAACAACCCCTCTATAGTTATACCAGCGTATCCTTACTCCTTGGTGACTTTCTTGCGCACCGACGTCTCCTTGGCGAAGTTGAGCTCCTCGATGGTCTTGTCCTGCAGCTGCGACTTCTTCACGGGCTTCTCGCAGGCGGGACACGCGATCTCGCGCTGGTGCTGGAACTCGCGCTTGATGCAGTGGTCGCAGCTGCCCAATTACAATTATGACAGTTCAGAGGTGGCACGAAGGGTTACACTTTATTCCTCACAAGAACTTCCACACAACGCGCTGGAGCACGCACAAGCGGTGACCGCATTTGGAGATGAGCATCTTCATCTTGGTGTTGAGGTAGTTGCTGTCGTCCTCGGCCGACGTGCCGCACACGCAGCAGCGCAGCGCGAGGTCCTCATCGGTTGCCGCAGTCATTAGCGCTCCAAGGTGGACTTAAACGTAACTGGTTACAGTTGCAGATTGTAACCCTGCACATGTACAGTACATATGTATTAACTCGATATATAACCCCGTTAGTAACGGGCCGTTGCAAATTAACGTTCGGTTACGCCAGCAAATCATAACCGGTTACACACTCGGGTTACACTTTCGGATACGCCACCAAGATCATGGCCCCTCCAGCGGTGGAGCGCATCTTGGCGGAGCTGTCGCGGCTGAACGAGGAGGCCGCATCCAGCGCCACTCCGCCCTCTCCCTCTCCATCGGCCAATGCAGCTCTGGACCAATTCTCCGTCCTCTCGGCGTCCTCCTGCGCCCCCGAGGCGGTGCTGATCGTACCCCATAAGTCTTCATCACCCTCCTCTTCCTCGCCCTTTGCGCTGCCGCGCGCGCGCCTCACGTCACCGTACGCGGACCCGTCGACGCTCAAGAAGGAGCTGGAGGCTGTAGCGCACCCGCTCTTCGCGTTGGAGCGGCTGGGGCCGTTCCCTCGCGGCTGGGGCGACTCCGACGTCCCCCAGAGCCGCCTGTTGGCGCAGATGCCCATGTCTGCGCCGCGACAGGAGCTCGTCCCGCAGCGCGCGTCCATCGTCAAGAGCCCCCTGAAGATCCGGTACGAGTTCCGGCCCGTGGACGTGTCCAGGAGCGGCGCAGACGCCGGATTCAGTAGTGCACTGACCAAGCAGGACGAGTACGCGCGCGGCAAGATGAGCAACAAGCCCTTCTCCCCGGGCGGAGACTCATTGGCTGAGCTGCAGACGGAGACGCAGCAAGACGAGATGACGCCCATGCAGAGGCTGCTCACGAAGCAGGAGGAGCAGGACAGGAACCGGCTCGTGTTGGAGCGGGAAGAGGAGCTGGACGAAACGTTGCTCGAGAGCTTGGTGTTCGACGTTCCTGGTATCAATGGATGCTTGACGGCGGAGGATGCGAGGAAGGTCGAGGCGCAGGAGCAGCAGCAGGTTGTGCAGGAGGTGGAGACGGTCGGCGTGAACCCCAAATCGCTGCTGAAGCCCTACATTGAAGCGGTGGCGGACAGGGACCACGTCGCGGCGATCAGGAGCGCCGTGCTGGATGAGAAGGCGGCGAACGCCATGAGGCAGAACGATGACAACACGACGGTCGTACTGGATCAACTGCTGCGCGAGATGGAGGACGATGGGGAACTCATGGAATTGGGCTTTTCGGTCGAAGATGACGAACAGGACGCGAAGGGGGATGGAAGTGGGGATAGCACAGAGGCTGGGAGCAGCGCAGTGGCAGTGGGCGCTGATCCGAAGATTGGTAAGGCTGCAGAAGGAGCCTCCGAAGCTGATGGTAGCGTTGAGGATCCGGAGATGGAGCTGGAGTCGATCCTGGATTCGGCATCCGAGTCAACAGCGCTCACCTTACAGAAGCGAACGAGCCCGACGTCCGAGTGGGCCAGCATGGCGAGTGTCGATGTGCGCAACTTCCACGAGAAGGTGCCGGAGATGGCCATGAAGTACGACTTCGAGCTGGATGTGTTCCAGAAGGAGTGTGTCATCCATCTCGAGCGGCACGAGTGCGTGTTTGTGGCAGCACATACCTCCGCAGGCAAGACGGTGATTGCAGAGTACGCGATCGCGATGTCTCAGAAGCACATGACTCGCACCATCTACACGTCGCCCATCAAGGCGTTGTCGAACCAAAAGTACCGCGACTTCCGTACCAAGTTCGGCCCCGACAATGTTGGCCTTATTACTGGCGATGTCAGCATCAACCCGGAGGCGAGTTGCCTCGTCATGACGACTGAGATCTTGCGTTCAATGCTGTATCGGGGTGCTGATATTATCCGCGACATCGAGTGGGTTATCTTTGATGAGATTCACTACATCAACGACAGCGAGCGCGGAGTGGTGTGGGAGGAAGTGATTATCATGCTTCCCGAGCATATCGGCATGGTGTTCCTCTCGGCAACCACGCCGAACCACTTGGAGTTTTCCGACTGGATTGGACGCACGAAGAAGCAGAAGATTCACGTGATCTCTACTTACAAGCGGCCCGTGCCCCTCCAGCACTTCCTCTATGCTGGCAAGGAATTATTCAAGCTGTACGATGCCACCACTGGATACCTACCGAATGCCCACGGTGCAGCCAAGGCCAAAATTTTCCCTGCGTCGGATAAGTCGAAGGCTGGAGGTCGAGGCGGAAGAGCTGTGGCTCGCGGTGGCGGTAGCAGCGCCAATGCACGTACCCTTCGTACATCTGGAGGAGACCAAGGTGAGTGGACCAAGCTGATCAACACTTTGAAGGACAAGTCTCTGCTCCCGGTGGTCGTGTTTGCTTTCAGCAAGCGGTTGTGTGAGGAGAGCGCGAACAAGCTGGCGAAGCTTGACCTCAGCACCCCGTCAGAGAGATCAGAGATCCATCTTTTCCTTGAGACGAGTGTGCAGCGACTCCAGGGATCAGACCGCGAGCTCCCACAGGTGCTGATGATGAAGGAAATGCTCAAGCGGGGAATTGGTGTGCACCACGGAGGTCTCCTCCCTATTATCAAGGAGATGGTAGAAATACTGTTCGGTCGCGGTCTTGTGAAGGTGCTGTTTTCGACTGAAACGTTTGCCATGGGTGTGAATATGCCTGCGCGTACGGTGGTGTTTAACGGCATTCGTAAGCATGACGGCAAGAACTTCCGCGATCTTCTGCCCGGGGAGTACACGCAAATGGCTGGCCGAGCGGGTCGTCGTGGTCTTGATTCCGTTGGTACCGTCATCATCGCGTGCTGGAACGATGTCCCCGAACCCACTTCATTGAGGACAATGTTGGCAGGAAAGGCGACGTCTCTCTCTAGTCAGTTCCGTCTGACTTACAACATGATCTTGAACCTCCTACGAGTGGAGGTACTGACGGTGGAAGACATGATGAAGCGCTCGTTCTCGGAGTTCCACACTCAAAAGGCGCTGGCGTCGAAGAATATCCCTAAGCTGATCCAAAAGGGCAAGACGTTGCACCAGCAGCTGGAACGGTCACTCGTAGAGGACTACCCGCACCTCGAGGCTAGCGGCGAGCTTGCACAGATGCAGGAATTCTACCAGCTGAAGCGTGAAAAGCGTGAACTGGAGAAAAAGCTGACCAAGTGGCTCCTGACAAACAATATCCAAGCAGCTAAAAGTGCGATAGCACCGGGCCGAGTCGTGATTTTGAACGTCAAGGGCCTTTCGTCCGACCAGTTGGCGCTGGTCGTACGTACCAACTCTGCTATGGTTAGCGAGGGAGGGACTGCTCGGTCGAAGCTTTCGTTTGAAACCGAGCTTCAGAGCTCAAGCTCTACCGACACAAGCCACAAGGGAGTATTCAAGTCGATTATGGTGATCACTCTCTGTCCGGATGACTACGAACCTCCTAAGGTAGAGGTGGCATCGACCACGAAGAAGAACCCTGACACACTTTTCGGAGGAGGACGCATGCTTCGCAGCAAGAAGGACGACGACGACGACCGCATGTTTGGGCGGATGGGCAAGAAGGGCAAGTCTGAAAGTCAAGAAACCAGTGAGCTCTCGGCGCCATCAACTGCTACGCTTCTAGGAAGGAAGTACGCCGTGCTGGAGGTGCCTGAGAGCTGCGTTGAAAGCGTAACCTCCGTCGTAGCCTCAAGCGTTAACACCAAGACACTCGTGGCTTCATCGTCGAAGAAGGAGCTCGCCAGCAGCATTGAATTCCTGGCACAGCTGGAGAAGGATACAGCTACAACACAGAAGGCTGCGATCGCGTACGTCGACTTGATGGGCGAGCTTAAGGTTAATGATCTGGAAGTCGCGACGGGCTACACGCAGTGGCAGCAGATGCACTCGATGGTGGTCAGTCATCCGTGTGCCACTGATTCGCCGTCGGTGTCTCGTGTCATGGGTAAAGTGGAAAAGATCTTCAAGTTGAAGGCGTATTTAGTGCGGATGACGCGTGAGTTGTCGAACGATTCGCTTTCGCTCTTCCCGGATTTCCAGCAGCGACTGAGTGTGCTGAAGCGGCTCGGGTACATTTCCAAGGACGGCGTCGTGCAGGTTAAGGGTCGAGTGGCGTGCGAGATCAACACCTGCGAAGAGCTCGTGTTGACGGAGATGATATTTGAGAACGTGCTGGCGAACCTGGAGCCCGAGGAGATCGTGGCTGTGCTCTCTGCGCTGATCTTCCAGGAGAAATCACAGTCCGAGCCTACGTTGACCCCAACGCTGGAAAGTACCCGCGAGGTGGTCAAGAACATCGCTGAGTCCCTTGGATTGATCCAGCTCGAGCAGCACCTAGAGATCGACCCTGCAGTGTATTGCAAGGGAGCTCTCAACTTTGGTTTGATGGAGGTTGTGTACGAGTGGGCGCGGGGTATGCCGTTCAAGCAGCTGTGCGAGCTCACGGACGTGCAGGAAGGTTCGATTGTGCGCTGTATTACGCGTTTGGACGAAGTTTGTCGCGAGGTGCGCAACGCTGCTCGTGTCATCGGTGATCCGCAGCTGTACCGCAAGATGGAGGTCGCCTCCGAGGCGATCAAGCGAGATGTCGTGTTCGCCAGCAGCTTGTACCTATCCTAACGCAGTCAGAAGTATGCGACTACTTAGCGCTGATCGTTACCAACTTCAGTCCGTGCTTAGAGTGAATCCAGCTGTGTATCTCTCCTTCCTGTGCGCGCACCTAGATATTGTAAGACACGAAGTGAATTCAATCTTAAATGTGGCGCCGTTGCCCAAGCGTGTTCAAAGGCATAACCTTTTTTTTCTTGGTGAACAACTGCAGACGACATACCGCTGTTCTCCATACGGGTCGAACGCTTAGAGACAAGAAGTGTTTTGTGATTGCAGGGCAGGCGCTCAAGTACTGAGTTACAGGTAAGTTCTTAGCTAGGTTTGTTCGTCTATACGGCTTTTTAGACGAAAAAAATCTGGATCGCGCGCTCCTACCTCCAGTTGACATGTTCTGGACTCGACACTTGTGAAGCAGGCAGCAGAAACTAATACTGCTCTCTGTAGGTGATGCTCGGGGGGCCGTGGTTCTTGTTTGGCTTGAGGTATTTGCTGAGTTTGGCTTGGTACCGGTGGTACTCGGGGTGCCTTTGCAGGTACGATGAGCTTTGCTGGGCCCTCGTCCAATCCATACCCAGCTTGTTAGTAGCAAAAGCCTTCAGTTTCTCTATTTGCGCCTAAGTGAGGCCCCTCTCCTCGGAGGAGTCCTCTTCATCTTCAGCAATCCGATGGTGAGTCCTCAGAAGTCGCTGGCTGGGGCCTGCCGGCGAAGCCTCTTTAGAGATCTTGGCCTCTTTGCAGTTCTTCGCCGTGGAGAGGGCCTCGCTGGAGGCAAGGAAGGACGCAGCGATCACCACAAAATCGAGGGAGAGTCGCATCTTGGCGCTTGTTGGAGTAGAGAACTTGAGGGTTGAAAAGTAAATTTCAAAGTGAGAACAGAGAAGAAGGATACCTGTGCTTTGCTCAACGAGGAAGAAGAAAAAGAAGACGACAAAAAAGCTCAAGACAACATCGGAACAACAGTACGACTGAGTCAGACGGGCAATTTCGCGATATGGTATTCGCCAGCAGTTTGTACCTGTCCTAGTCGGAAGCAATGCTGGAGTAGACGCTATGATCAGTAAGGACATTGCACGAGGGTTCATTTCTACTTCGCTCTTTGTTAACCAAATCGTACTTGGTAGTTGGCTCTGCCTTGCAATCTACCTACTTGTTATACTGCTAGTACGTATTTTCGTTTCCTTTCGCACTGACAATGTCCAAGCGATTTAGTGATGCCAATTTGACATCACTAAATCTCTTGGATTATACAATTGTACGCGTTTCCCACAGTACAATTTAGTGGTTATACTCAGTGCTCGGACATTACAATAAAGTATAATATTATTGATTACATTGGGCGCCTTCCAAAACCCATATAAAACCGTTTGATCAGTTTAATCCGTAATTTATTTTAAATTACCAGAGCGTTTAATGCGCCCCAAAACGGTTGCTGGAACGCGACCTTCGAGTATAGTGGAGTTCAGTCACTTGTTTAATCACGTTGCTAGTTTAAGAGTCGCATTAGAATTGTTTGATGAGACCAAAAAGTGGTCTCATCAAACAATTCTCCGGGATTAAATTTTATGCGCGACCTTTTTGGAAGGCGCCCATTGGGCAATCATCAATAAATGCATTGAGCACTTACAATAATAAATAATGGATAAATATATATTCTATTTTTAACCCCATCTGGAAAGGTTTGATCGGTATAATTTAGGTTAAAATTGGCGAATTCACTTGCGAAGGCTGTCATATTGGTTGCTCAATGGTATAATTTCTCATTTATTGTGCTTTGCTCCCATTCTGTCTAAACATAGGCGTACATCGTTGTTTTGTATTTTAACTTCATCGTAACTCGTTGTTTTACCATAACTCAAAGACCCTCGCTTCGATGGTATCGGCTGTCATTCTGTAGCAGGTTGTCGCTTAGTCTTTGATTATCATTAAAAATGGTGCATTTGCTTCAGCCAATCCACGATTTCTCGTGTAAATCAAGCTTACTTTAAGTAAATCGAGCTTTTCGCTCGTGCATCGTTGGGCAAGTCGCTTAATGATTATTCTGAGATTTGACGTTGAATTAGCGAGCCTAATCGACTGACAGAATTGGTGAAGAGCACAATAAGTGGATACACAATACACAAATAGCATAACGTATGCTTTTTGTAGACATATACAATGTAACCCCTTGCTCAGAGCGTTGTATTCCCTAAATGCTTTTAAAATATTAAAAATTATGCTAACGAAAACGTTGCGTTCCTAAACAAAAAGGCAAATTGTTATTCTAATACTAGTACTGGTACTGAAACATTATGCAAGAATGTAGATTTTACTGTAGTCGTCATAATGTGAATTATGCTTTCGTCGTCATATGAGACCTCGGAACCATAACGTTACAAAGATTTTGCACAGATTGGATGTGCGCCTTTAACTTCACGGCGCCTTTAAAGTGTGGACCACCTGAGGAGGGATGACCTCCGGGCCTGATGGCTTTGAAAATGAGCATCAAGAAGGAGACCCTGAGGAGACGGACGTCCTGCTAAGCGGCTACTGACACTCTGCCGATGCACGTTAGTGCGTTGGATAGCTCTTACATATTCCCCATGAAGTAGGCAGTACTAAAAGTGTGCCCAGGTCCCGGCTTACGTGCTACGCAGTGTGCCCGTTTTGGACTTAGGCAAGCTGAGGCAACAGTCTAGATATTCCCCTCCTACCTGAAAACCAGCTGCTAAACTAAAGGCGCCTTTGCCTAAGGCTTAGGCGCCTTTAACGGTGCTATTGTGCTGTCGCATTAAAGGTGATGTAACGGGTTCGCATTGGCATACCGTACGGTATCAGTCTCGCCTTGAATTGTTTCTCAAGGTCCATGCTTTAAGTTTTTTACAAGGCGAACGACAAGATATGCCTCTCTCAGGAGCTGGTCGCTGATGGCGGCTTCCTTTCCAACGCCCAGCGCCAGCAACTTTTGAAGGGCAACGACTGGGTTGCTAAAGATGAAGAATAAGATGTTCGTTCGAGAGGCCTCCTTTCCTCAATATATATATATATATATATATATAAGCGGCAAGCTGGGCATCAATGCCGAGAAGATCCGTGCCTGCAAAGATATCTCACGTATGAAAAGTACCCAGAAACGAAGTTATACAAAGTGCTCGCGAGGTAAATATGAGCGAAGGGTCTACTCGGTATCACGTAGATGCCATGTAACTACAGTGTGTATAACTACTGTATTAGTTCTTTCTGGGCGAGCCACTTCACGAATACTGAGTCCCGAACTAGCAACATGTAGGTCTCTATTACTTTAAGAGCTACATGTATTAATAACGTTAGCACAAATTTGAACTGGTTCCGAACGGTAACATATTGGTGTGCTATTATACGTTCGTATCCCATTTTACCTAAATGTGCCGAGTGGTATGCTAAGTGCAGTGGCTAAGCAACAGCATCATACTTTTCCCCTATATTTATTTACTTGCTTTAAGGCAGAGACTCGTGCAAATCCAGGCGAATACGTACATGTATTATAGTTGTTCCAAAAAAATCAGGGTAGCACATTGTCACGGGGGTCGCCGGTTTAACCCGTGTACATGCCGTTTGCAGCAAACCTGCTGCCTGGAAGATGAGATCGCCACGATTTCCTCAGGCTCCAGGCTCACCAGCACGTATTCGAATATCATCTCAGTCAGCACGAGCTCTTCGCAGATGTTGATCTCGCGCGCCGCTTGGCCCTTACATCTCGGAGCACACTCCGTCGTCGCTGGGAATCTGGGAAGGGCGACAGCATCCGCACCAAGTACGCCTTCAACTTGAAGATCTTCTTCACTTTGTCCATAACACGAGACACTGACGGTAAGTCATAGGTACATTGCAGTACCCAGAGGCAGCGGGAGTGTTTGTGTCTTCTAGCGCTCTATTCTACTCAGCATCCAAGCTCCTTAACTGAATCGTACATGAGTTTTGGGCCATGATCGCTCGTTAGACATCTTCGCTTGTGCACTGGTTCCAACCGGGGTTTGCGCTGTTGTCTCCTCAGCGGCACTGGCAGTAGCGTCGTGGCTTCCACTCTCCATCTGCCGATTCAACTGCTCGAGGGACTGGCGGCAGTTGTTGGCGTATTCCTCGACCATCGTCTTTCGCCGATCAGTCAGTTGCAGCTTCGGAGACCCCAGCACGACACCTAGCACGCTGATCAGGCACTGCAGGCGGTCTCGGCGCTTGGCCTGATGCACAACTTTCTCCACCGTCTCCACCAGCGTAAACAGCGCCGTAGTCAGCAACACAACCTCGGACTGCTCGGCTCCTGCCCACAGCGAGTCCACGACGGTCACCATGCGACTCAAATTCACGTCGTACGCGCCCAGCTCGAACTTGTCGCGAAGTGTCCGCACTTCCTTCGCGCAGCGCAGCAGCAGAGCCCGAACCTTATCAGGGGACTGACTGTCCGTCCCCTTGCTCTTATCTTGGCCAGCATCCTTTGTTTTCCTCGTCGACTTTGCCGACACTGTTGAACCACTCGTCATCACCGTGTCGCCGTCATCCGGCAATGGGATCGCGCGCTTCTTCTTGCTCTTCGCAGTTGATTCAGCAGGAGCTCCTGATGCCGGCTTCGACCCTTGCTTTTCAGCAATCTGCTTCTGCAAATTCCTAAAAAAAAATTAATTTTTTTTTTCAGTTGCCACTCCTCCTGCAAGGAAAAGTACTGTCACGTACGCGTGCCAGCTCTTGAGTTCCGGCCACTTGGTCTCCATCTTCTTGAGCGTCTTCTCAAGGCGCAACAGAGCCCGGTTCTCCCTCTCGTGTCCCGTCAGCAGCTCCAGCACATGGTCTCCGAGTTTGTGCACGTGCTTCCTCCACCACTTCCTCTGCTTGTCGTCCAGCTCCGCCATATTGGGCGGCATGAGCTTCTCCAGCCGTCGCATCTGACTCGCCACATCGTCCAGCTCCTGACTCAGCAGCGCCAGCCTCGCAAGCGTCTTGGCCTCTTGGAATGGGGCATTAGTTTTCTCTTTTACGGCACTTTCGGGCCCATTTTGCGCCCCATTTTTGGGCGCGCGACCCAAAATGAGCGCGCTTGTGGTCGTCTCTAAACGAGTCTGAAGGGTTTCTAACGCCCCCAGCAGCTCAGCCGACACGGCCGCTCGCTGACTGGCATGCAGCTTGCGCGTCGCGTCCTGCACCTGCCGCGCCTGCGCCATGGCCTCCGCGCACACGCGCACGCGGCTCTTGACATGCTGCAGGTCCTCCTCCAGCGCGCGGCAGCAGTACTTGCGGCGCGTGCCCTCGTCCAGGCGGACCAAGATGCGCTTGAAGCCGCTCACACGCTCCGCCTCGAGCTCGGCCATCCGAAAACCTGAAAATAACGATAGCCCTTTTCGAAATTGCTATTGAGATTATCAGGTTAGAGATTATAATACCTACCTCGCGTTAACAAAAATAATCATGGCAAGCACCAATCTTTAAAAAAATGGCACCTTCCTTTGTGCAGCGGAACGGAACAGCAGAGCCCGAGCGTTGTACTGTAGGCGACAGCATGTCTGTCTGCCTTCTCGCTACTGCTTACTGTATCGGCAATGTAGTACGATAAGTATTACCTTGACCATCATCCAGCTAACCACGAAATTGTGGCTTTCTGCTCGCTTTGTTCTTCACACTCAACAAGATCCCCTGAAGCCGACGTGGCCTTGCTTCTGAATTGCCTGGTATGCAGCTACAGCGTTTGCGTGGCTTGCTGATGTACACGAGCACCAATACCTACTGTATGCAAAGTGATCGTGGGATAGACGTTTTATTTTCAGTAAACGAACCTCGAGGTGCGCTGAAGTACTGCAGTTCCACATGTTGCTTTTGTTTTAGCACTTGGCAATCGCGAGCGGCCAGCCAGTTTCTGGAGAGAAAACTAAGGAGTGTGGTCGCCGTTGATGATCGGCTACGCGTTTTTCGCTGCTGCCTTTTGCTTCTCAATGATCTTGTTAGCCTTCTTCTGGTATCTTTGGAACAAAGCCGGGTTCCGCATGACGTGGTCCCAGGTGACATCTTTGCCTAGTTTGTTAAGGATTTTTGTCACCTGAGCTTTCGACAGCGTCCTATCTTCGGGGGAATCGCCTTCATCATCAGGTTGGTAGGCCCTCAGAAGTCGTGGGCTGTGGCCACCGGGCGACGTTCCTTTGATGATCTTGGCCTGGTTTGCGTTCGTGGTCGAAAGAGCGTCAGTGGCAACCAGGAAGGAAGCAGCGATGACGACCACAACTTGAGCGAGGCGCATCTTGACGATTGTTGGAGGTGGAGGGAGACTTGAGAGCTGGAGAAGAAATTCCAAAGTGAGCACCCAACCAGACAGAAGGCTTTCCAGAGCATTGCATGGGGTCAGTTAGCCGGCCAAGTCCCCGTTGCATCCCATCCCATGACTGTATGGACACTGAATTGCGACAAATACCTGTAGATATATGGCTTCGATCTCAAAGATATCCCTGGTTTGGCACCAATTGTATTAGTGTTAAAAATCTTAGAGAACATCCGGGATAGCGTCTAAGATCCTGCTCAATATTTTTCTGTTCGACACGCACTGCGAATCAACGACACGGTTTGTGTCGCACCTTTGTTGGAATAACGCAAATGGGATGACAGCAAATTGCTTGAAGCAAACATCCTTACTCGGGTGCGTCATCCAATTTGCGATATCTGTACCAAGCTTTTGTTTTTTGCGTTTTCCATAACGCAAACAAGATGACAAGTTTGTCCATAACGCGGAACAGGATGATGAACCTGTTTGTGTCACATGCGTACTACATTACTGCACAGGTACCGAATTCCTTTTGTCAAGGCATACATCCTGATTCCGTGATATAGCTTAGGTGCCGATTTTCGTCATACAATTTCGGTATAAAGAGTCGATCTCATGCAAATTTCAAGTACCGGTACAATCGGTAATGTGTTGGGAATGGATTTACCGCTACTAGAGAGCTTTAGTTTTGAACAAAACTGACTTGGTCTAAAAATATATTCCAGTGGAACAACGAGGGTCGTGGACTTGGTTATTGGAACATCCGCTGGAAATTTATCCGTAATCTATCTGGATTTTATCCAGATTTTCCTTGTTCCAAACCCGGAGATATTCCAACAACTAAAGTTCTCTATCGATTAATTCAAGCATCCTAATTAAAACCGCCGCTCGAATCATTCGCACTATTTAGGGTCACTTATTCAGCTCAGGTTACTTCTGAACTACATCTTCTAGCGTTCCACTAACGACGGTGATACATTGGACTCCGGAGCGGACCTTTGACTATAATTCGTAATTGCTGGCCAACCCCTATCTGACGGTGGCTCTCGGCATTCGTGGGACTTCGCATTGAGGGGGCGTATTGAGGGTTGCTGGTCTTGGGTACTGTGTACCAGTTGTACCCATTAACCGGTTAACCCGAACCGGTCCAATCCGAACCCACGTTGATTATGGTGATTACGGTAAGTTGTTTACGCCACCGATGATTCGACGAGTAGGATGATTGGATGAACACCGGTGAGTGATGGTTGATTAGATGCACTAGGTGATAGGACGCAGGGTCGCGTGTCTATAACAGTAGGGTGTAAGCCAGTCATGTTAGTAAGACCTGCGCCAAAGAATCAAAATTTGAAAGCGCTTGCACTTACCGGTATATTTACGCAAACCGCACGCTCCACGGACATCTCCTGCCCGACAATGTATTACCGCTATGATCATGACGTACAACCGATTTTAGCGCAACATCAATAAAACGAATCGAATTTGCAAATGAACTGGACCTCCATCATTATTGAGAACACTCGGTCAATCGACGTCACTTCTGTAAATTGACCTAAGACGTGTCGATTGGGAGGGCTGTACTATCAGCACTTTGCCGCTTCCTATCCCAGTATAAATGTCGTCATGCAAACAAAATTTCCCGAAACGAAAATACAGCTCTACGATTGGCTAGATGAGGCTGTGTGCCTTGACAAAAGGAATTCGGTGTTTCAGAACGAGAGCTATGTGTAGGCTGGGATAGCTAAAGAACTTTTAATGCGGGCATCTCCACCGCGGCCGCGCCGTCACTATCGCTATCGCCTAAGCAACAATTCAACGAGAAACAAAGTCGCCCGTTGCATGAAGAAGCTCCGAAAGCTACTACTTACGTGTTATCTACAGTATCTGCGGTATGTAAATTTGCGTTTCCATTACAAATTAATGCATTCTTTCCTGTCGTAGTTATAGTTGTAGTTGTAGTGGTGGGTAGTTGGAGGAAATGGACGAGAACGGGTTCGTAGCCGTCGGAAGTAAGCGAAACTCCACTGCTCAAGTCGTAGTAGACGGAGGACACCGAGGCTGTAAGCGTTGAAAGAGACCGTAACGTTCGACGAGTTGGTAGTCGTCAAAAGCGAACGGAACTGCACGTACAGCCCGCTGCTGAAGTCGTAGTTGTACAAGTCGAGCAACCCGATCTCGCAGGTGTCAAAGCAAACGGATCGAATCGTGCCGCAAGTCGGTGACGACTGCCGAGACTGCGCGTGCAGCTCGCCGCCGAATTCGTAGTCGAGATCGCGAGCGTGACTACACCTACAGCCCGCAGGTCAAATTGTAGTCGAAGGAGGCGGAAGACCCGAGTTTGTAGCCGCCAAAGCGGACGGAGCCACACGCCAATGCTGTCGTGGTCATAGTCGAAGTGGCCGGACGACACGAAGTTTTTGTAGGTAAACGGAGCGGCACGTTCAGCCCACAGCTCAACTTGAACATGTAGTCGGGTAAATCCCGCTGCCGATGTCCGAGTCGTGAAAGCCGATTGTGGCCGAGTTGTAGTTGTTTAAAATGAACGGGGCGGCGCGGACAGCGCCGCTGATGTCGAAGTTAGTCGTATTAGACAGACGAAAAGCTCGCCGCCGGCGTCGCAGTCGTGTTTATCGGATGCGAACGGACTGTTACTCGAGGAAGTCTATCAAGACCGAGGTTTTAGTCGCTGACAGCAAACGGAGCAGCACATACAGCTTGCTGCTGGTGTCGTAGTGTAGTCGTAGTTGTAGAAGATGAGCGGCCCGCTGATCGAAGTTTTCGAAATGTTCTCCATCACTCGAGCTTGTCTCGGATTTAAGATGGATGAGAGCATAGGCCAAAATCAGTTAACATCAGCTACCGGGGACAACTGCCTTCCGGGAACTCTGTCCAATTCGAGTATCTAAAGTGCTCCGTGTACCATCAACGCGAAAAGAAAACTTCAAGGTAATATTGTGTATTCCCACACACACGTTTTTTTCGGGATTTTCTCCTTTTGCGTGAATGGATTCATAGACTTACGGAAGACCTGTCTGATTGTTTCACACCACGTCCAATAAAATCGGTTGTCCACGGTGCGCGTTTAGATAGACTGGTCGCCATCTCACGATGAACGACACGCAATTCGCTCGCGATTTCTGGTGCCGTTGGTCGCTTGAGTGGGTCCCGAGCAAGACATCGCTCCACCAAATCCCTCAGCGCCTGGTCACAAGTACGTCGAAGTTTGGGAGCCAGTCTACCAGCGCCAACGCGCTGCATGATAGTATCATCCGACAGAAGCTTGCCGTTGCGGCCCCGCGCGTTGCTGTATGGGATTTTGTTCGTGTCGATCTTCGTGAGCAACACGCCGAAACTGTAGATATCGGCGGGGCATCCATAGTCGCTGTCACCACGAATCACCTCGGGAGCTAACCATCGGCTCGTGCCCACTCCTTGGGTCATAGCACTATCGTCTGAACAGAAGCGAGACCTGCCAAAGTCGCTCAATTTGGCCGTGAAATCCGAAGATAGCAACACGTTCTTCGACTTGAGATCGCGATGTAGCAGCGGGGGCACGAACGAGTGAAGATACACGAGCACTTCAATAATTCCAATGGCAAAGCCGAACTTATGGCACGTCCAGCCAGTAGGCGTACTCGCGTCTGATAAATATCTCCGGAGATCTCCACCGTCCATATACTCCAACAACATCTGCAGGTCGCTTTCAGTTGTCCACGCCGCTCCAATAAGCTTGACAATATTCGGGTGAGCGAAGTTGGCCATGAGTTTAATCTCCTCCACGAAGGCCGCAGTGGTCTTCTGCGTGTAATTATCGGATCGAAGCCGCTTGGAGGCGAGAAGTTGAAGGTTTCGGTAGCGAACTAGCCACACAGTGGCGTAGCCCCCGCCGCCAATCTTGCGAACATCCTTGATAGACGCAGCGCAAAGTTGCAGCGACAGAAGTTCATAGTCGTTCCAAATCGACATGAATCTGTCTGATTTTCCCTTGGAAGACCTCTCCAACGTAGACACAAAAGAGGGATACTTCGACGTACTGCTAATGGTGGACGCCTCGAGTACTGGAATATCCACGCCCCCGTCATCTTCGCGCGAATTTGAAATATCCATCGAAAAATTACTGGATTGGCTTGCCATCTCCTTCCCGTAAATACTCAACGTCTTCAGCCCGAAGTGAGATTTCATCAGCTCTTGAGAACCAACTTCTGGCGAAGGTGATTGATCCCCAGCGTACTCTTCAATGTCACTTGTACGACGCGGACCAAGCTTTTTGCTTCTCCGCATACTAACGGTAAGGATGATGCAGACGATCACCACGGCGGAAGTTCCATACAAGACGCCCAGGATCACTTTGGTTCATCGATCCTTCGACGTGCCGAATACTTTCGAGTCTAAGCCATCCACTTGAGTTGATCTTGATGAAGAGGACGAAGCGGTATCACTCGTCGATGAGGAAGCGTTTCCATCTCGTATACACACTTCACACCGTGTATTGCACTCTGCTCCGCGTCATCGTACCCCACCTCGACTTTGAAGTCCGAGTCAGAGAGTCCCAACATATTCAGATTATTCAAAAACGCAACTTGGTCGGACGTGAAATATCGCGATGAAAATGTGTTCCCAGCAACGTTTCTTCAACACAATAGTTGAAACACGTTAGTGACCAACCGAAAATCAATGATAGATAGAATAGCTAACTCATGAACGTACAGCGTTTTTAGGTTTGAGTGATTGTAGACGGCGGTAGGGATGCTCGTTAAGTTGTTTCTGCCCAAATATCTGAATATTATAGCAAGAAGTCAGTCAAATTTCCCACAAACGCTTCAATGCGGTTCTTACAGGTACTCCAGTGATGGAAAAACACTCTCGAAAGTGTCAATATTGTTGTTCTCCAAGCTCCTACAATGGTGCATCGAAGCACAATACGGTTAGCAGAGATTTCTAAAGCGCAATAATGTACCGGGTCATGATGTTTCCAACATACAGAGTGGTGATAGATTCGATCACGTCACTGCTTGCCAGTGTTGTTAAATAGTTGTAGTCCAGCAGTCTAACCAGCCAGAGCACAAACCATTAGTGCGCTCAATTAAGCAAATAATAGTGAGAAGCGGCAAGTACAATCGCTGGAGCGATGGAATATCGCCCAATTCCGTCGGAAATGCCGCTAGCAGCGTGTTGCTGAGATCAAGAGTCTTGACCGACGATGGGAGATAATCTGGGAGCAGGTTAATCTGCGTCCCCATGTCGAGATTCTGAGCACCACCTTGGTCATCTCCATCTCCAACGAAATAAACCCAGACGTAAGCCATATCCTGGAGACTTTGCCTTTAGGATACTCCGACACCGCGCTTCCACCCGATACAATACTACACGCAAAACACACAAGCCAGATTAATTCGAGTTTTGCTAAACATACAGCAAAGTCATTTTTTTCACTTACAAGGTTGAAACTTTCGAAGACAACTCGATCGTTCCGAAAGACGACACTTGGTTGTTCGACACTGAAGGCCACTCGCTCGTCTCGTCCGGGTAATTAGCCAAGTCCGAATCGCTGTCCCTCCCGCCGCAACTTCCTCTTCGCTCTGGTAGTCGCCGAACTCCACGAGCACAACCAACGTTGCTGAATTGTTGTTGACGCTCAAGCACTCGAACGTGCAGTTTCCGTCCGTCTTGCAGTTGGGGCCCAAGCAGTCGCCGGCTGAGGTGAACCCCCGACACAGATCGTAGTCGTCGCAAGCCGAACACCCCTCGGTTGTGAGGTCGAGGACCCAACAGCGCAGTCGGCGCTCACAACGTTGAAGCCAAGAGCCCAAATGATTCCCAACGACGCCAAATGCCGAAGCCAAAGCACTGCCACCATTTCTAATGCAATATGAGCCCGCACTCGAAGCTCGGAAGTTCGCTGCGGTGCCAATCTTAAGACAATGCAAAGGAGTGGCGTCTAGCGAAAATGCTCAGAGACAGGTGGCGCGCCAAAACCGAGGCTCGAAGGTCCTGGAAGTGCAGGTTTCATTTGGTGCAGGGGGTCTACTGTTCAAAGCAAAGATGATCTTGGCCTGCACCAGTCGAAACCCTGGAGGGCTCTAGAGTCTAAGACTCTTAGAGTCTAAGAGTCTTAGACTCTAAGCATGCCGTGTGCAACACGATAGAGTACAGGAGCTCGAGGTAGTTTAGATAGTACGGGCATGACGCAAATCCTGTCTGAATTGAGCCACCACGTAGCATGAGATCACGCCATTCGAGGCTCGCAAATGATGGGCCTTGTCCTACGGCGAGGCACGCGATAAGTGTACGGCGTACACTGTACGCAGCGCCTTTAAGATAGCCCTTCCTGGCATGCAGCTACAGCACAGTGTAGTTTTCTTGGTGTTCGATGCCGTCGATACAGCACGCGCATTTGATCTTTCCGAGATAGTACTTCGAGTACCACGAGTCATCGATGAAAAAGTGTCTGTAAGTTATGCGGTGCAGAAACAGCTGCGGTCTCCCGTTGTTGAAAGCGAGGTGGATGCAGCAAGGAACATGTAAAGTTGTCGAGGCTCTTGTGCAAGGACGTCATGCTGTCTGCATGGCGCAGCGTAAACTGGTGCCAATTTACTTTGCTTTTCGGTGAAGCACGACATGCACTTGCTTTCGTGAGTGCCGTGCAGTATCAAACCACCGCGATCAACTTCAGTAGATTTTGTACTTTTCCATTTCCTTCCTTTACTTCACACGCACGCCGCATTCAACTTGCACCGCGTCTAATAAATTGCTCACCGATACCACCAACCACCAACCAAAAAACCCAGCACACTCATGTCGTCGAAGCCATGTCCTGCTGAATCACGCGCAGCTCGTACGCGATGGCAGGAGCCGTGGGGCGCTTGGCCGGGTCTTCAAGCAGACATCGCTCCACCAGGTCCCTCAACGCCTTCCCACACGTGGATCGAAGCTTGGGGTGCAGCCTTCCAGTCGCCACTCGGTGCAGAATGGTCAGGTCCGACATCAATTTACCGTTTGACGCGCGGACGTTGTCGTACGGGATCTGGTTGGTGTCCAACTCGGTGAGAAGCGTGCCAAAGCTGTAGATGTCGACTGCTGGGCCGTAGTCCGAGTCGCCACGGATGACCTCGGGGGCCAACCACCGACCTGTACCCACTCCTCCTGTCATTGTTTTATCGGAAGACCTGAAGCGCGACGTACCAAAGTCACTCAACTTGGCCTCCATATCGGAAGAGAGCAAAACATTCTTCGACTTGAGGTCACGGTGCACTAGCGGCGGCTGGAACGAGTGCAAGTACACGAGCGCTTCGATGATATCGATCGCGATGTTGAACTTAACGGTCGTCCAGCCGCTGGGGGTATCCGGGTCCGCCAAGTACCGACGGAGATCGCCTGCTTCCATGTACTCGAGCAGCATCTGCAGATCCGTTTCAACTGTCCACGCCGCTCCGATGAGCTTCACGAGGTTTGGGTGGTCGAAGCGGGCGATCAGCTTGATTTCCTCCACAAACGCGGCCGTGTGTTTCTTGGTGCGTCGTTCAGGTTTCAGTCGCTTTGAGGCGAGAAGCTGTAAATTCCTGTAGCGAACGAGCCAAACGGTGGCGTAGGCTCCAGTACCAAGAGGTTTGAGGTCCTTAATCGCTGCCGCGCGTAGCTGTAGCGACAGAAGTTCCAAATCGTTCCAGATCGACATAAATCTCTGCGGCTTTTCCTTCGAGCCGGCCTCCTCTGTTGATACAAACGAAGGAATACTGGAAACGGCAGTGCCGGCCCCTGGTACTTCTTCAGTGATTACTTCGTTCTCGTGAGTCATAGTCGGAACCCCCAAAGAAACATCGCTGGAGCCCCTCGGAATGATCACATCAACGTCATCGAAAGTGAATCGTCCACGTGACTGTAGCTGCTGGTGCCAATTGTCTGTAGACGAGAAGTGGTCGCTGCTGTATCCGACGGTATCGCTTGCTATTGAGCACTCGATCTTCTTTTCCTCTTTCCTCCGGTGGATGATGAAGAGGAACGCTGCAAATGCCGCCACCAACACTCCACAAACGATCCCAACGATCAAGCTGGTAGACGACGAAGATGACGATGTGCTCGCTGTCTTTGTTTCTGATCCGTCCGAGCCTGACGTGGTCGTCGCACCGCTGGCTGTAGCACTCGTAGTGTCAGTAGTAGTTGGTACTCCATCGGTAATGCACACGGTGGCGTCTCCAATCTTCGTTTGGTACGTGTCGTCACAATCCACGTCGGCGCTAAAGTCGGACTCAGATAGTCCCAACGTCTCCAAACTGTTCAAGAATTCAGCCTGATCGTTTGTAAAACCTCGCGATGAGAGCGGATTGCCAGTCAGGTTTCTGCGTATGCATCACAAACAGCGTGTGAGACATCGTTATAGCATTGACATTGAGCTACGTTATTCAAGTGCGGGAGTGTTTGTGTCTTCTAGCGCTCTATTCTACTCAGCATCCAAGCTCCTTAACTGAATCGTACATGAGTTTTGGGCCATGATCGCTCGTTAGACATCTTCGCTTGTGCACTGGTTCCAACCGGGGTTTGCGCTGTTGTCTCCTCAGCGGCACTGGCAGTAGCGTCGTGGCTTCCACTCTCCATCTGCCGATTCAACTGCTTGAGGGACTGGCGGCAGTTGTTGGCGTATTCCTCGACCATCGTCTTTCGCCGATCAGTCAGTTGCAGCTTCGGAGACCCCAGCACGACACCTAGCACGCTGATCAGGCACTGCAGGCGGTCTCGGCGCTTGGCCTGATGCACAACTTTCTCCACCGTCTCCACCAGCGTAAACAGCGCCGTAGTCAGCAACACAACCTCGGACTGCTCGGCTCCTGCCCACAGCGAGTCCACGACGGTCACCATGCGACTCAAATTCACGTCGTACGCGCCCAGCTCGAACTTGTCGCGAAGTGTCCGCACTTCCTTCGCGCAGCGCAGCAGCAGAGCCCGAACCTTATCAGGGGACTGACTGTCCGTCCCCTTGCTCTTATCTTGGCCAGCATCCTTTGTTTTCCTCGTCGACTTTGCCGACACTGTTGAACCACTCGTCATCACCGTGTCGCCGTCATCCGGCAATGGGATCGCGCGCTTCTTCTTGCTCTTCGCAGTTGATTCAGCAGGAGCTCCTGATGCCGGCTTCGACCCTTGCTTTTCAGCAATCTGCTTCTGCAAATTCCTAAAAAAAAATTAATTTTTTTTTTCAGTTGCCACTCCTCCTGCAAGGAAAAGTACTGTCACGTACGCGTGCCAGCTCTTGAGTTCCGGCCACTTGGTCTCCATCTTCTTGAGCGTCTTCTCAAGGCGCAACAGAGCCCGGTTCTCCCTCTCGTGTCCCGTCAGCAGCTCCAGCACATGGTCTCCGAGTTTGTGCACGTGCTTCCTCCACCACTTCCTCTGCTTGTCGTCCAGCTCCGCCATATTGGGCGGCATGAGCTTCTCCAGCCGTCGCATCTGACTCGCCACATCGTCCAGCTCCTGACTCAGCAGCGCCAGCCTCGCAAGCGTCTTGGCCTCTTGGAATGGGGCATTAGTTTTCTCTTTTACGGCACTTTCGGGCCCATTTTGCGCCCCATTTTTGGGCGCGCGACCCAAAATGAGCGCGCTTGTGGTCGTCTCTAAACGAGTCTGAAGGGTTTCTAACGCCCCCAGCAGCTCAGCCGACACGGCCGCTCGCTGACTGGCATGCAGCTTGCGCGTCGCGTCCTGCACCTGCCGCGCCTGCGCCATGGCCTCCGCGCACACGCGCACGCGGCTCTTGACATGCTGCAGGTCCTCCTCCAGCGCGCGGCAGCAGTACTTGCGGCGCGTGCCCTCGTCCAGGCGGACCAAGATGCGCTTGAAGCCGCTCACACGCTCCGCCTCGAGCTCGGCCATCCGAAAACCTGAAAATAACGATAGCCCTTTTCGAAATTGCTATTGAGATTATCAGGTTAGAGATTATAATACCTACCTCGCGTTAACAAAAATAATCATGGCAAGCACCAATCTTTAAAAAAATGGCACCTTCCTTTGTGCAGCGGAACGGAACAGCAGAGCCCGAGCGTTGTACTGTAGGCGACAGCATGTCTGTCTGCCTTCTCGCTACTGCTTACTGTATCGGCAATGTAGTACGATAAGTATTACCTTGACCATCATCCAGCTAACCACGAAATTGTGGCTTTCTGCTCGCTTTGTTCTTCACACTCAACAAGATCCCCTGAAGCCGACGTGGCCTTGCTTCTGAATTGCCTGGTATGCAGCTACAGCGTTTGCGTGGCTTGCTGATGTACACGAGCACCAATACCTACTGTATGCAAAGTGATCGTGGGATAGACGTTTTATTTTCAGTAAACGAACCTCGAGGTGCGCTGAAGTACTGCAGTTCCACATGTTGCTTTTGTTTTAGCACTTGGCAATCGCGAGCGGCCAGCCAGTTTCTGGAGAGAAAACTAAGGAGTGTGGTCGCCGTTGATGATCGGCTACGCGTTTTTCGCTGCTGCCTTTTGCTTCTCAATGATCTTGTTAGCCTTCTTCTGGTATCTTTGGAACAAAGCCGGGTTCCGCATGACGTGGTCCCAGGTGACATCTTTGCCTAGTTTGTTAAGGATTTTTGTCACCTGAGCTTTCGACAGCGTCCTATCTTCGGGGGAATCGCCTTCATCATCAGGTTGGTAGGCCCTCAGAAGTCGTGGGCTGTGGCCACCGGGCGACGTTCCTTTGATGATCTTGGCCTGGTTTGCGTTCGTGGTCGAAAGAGCGTCAGTGGCAACCAGGAAGGAAGCAGCGATGACGACCACAACTTGAGCGAGGCGCATCTTGACGATTGTTGGAGGTGGAGGGAGACTTGAGAGCTGGAGAAGAAATTCCAAAGTGAGCACCCAACCAGACAGAAGGCTTTCCAGAGCATTGCATGGGGTCAGTTAGCCGGCCAAGTCCCCGTTGCATCCCATCCCATGACTGTATGGACACTGAATTGCGACAAATACCTGTAGATATATGGCTTCGATCTCAAAGATATCCCTGGTTTGGCACCAATTGTATTAGTGTTAAAAATCTTAGAGAACATCCGGGATAGCGTCTAAGATCCTGCTCAATATTTTTCTGTTCGACACGCACTGCGAATCAACGACACGGTTTGTGTCGCACCTTTGTTGGAATAACGCAAATGGGATGACAGCAAATTGCTTGAAGCAAACATCCTTACTCGGGTGCGTCATCCAATTTGCGATATCTGTACCAAGCTTTTGTTTTTTGCGTTTTCCATAACGCAAACAAGATGACAAGTTTGTCCATAACGCGGAACAGGATGATGAACCTGTTTGTGTCACATGCGTACTACATTACTGCACAGGTACCGAATTCCTTTTGTCAAGGCATACATCCTGATTCCGTGATATAGCTTAGGTGCCGATTTTCGTCATACAATTTCGGTATAAAGAGTCGATCTCATGCAAATTTCAAGTACCGGTACAATCGGTAATGTGTTGGGAATGGATTTACCGCTACTAGAGAGCTTTAGTTTTGAACAAAACTGACTTGGTCTAAAAATATATTCCAGTGGAACAACGAGGGTCGTGGACTTGGTTATTGGAACATCCGCTGGAAATTTATCCGTAATCTATCTGGATTTTATCCAGATTTTCCTTGTTCCAAACCCGGAGATATTCCAACAACTAAAGTTCTCTATCGATTAATTCAAGCATCCTAATTAAAACCGCCGCTCGAATCATTCGCACTATTTAGGGTCACTTATTCAGCTCAGGTTACTTCTGAACTACATCTTCTAGCGTTCCACTAACGACGGTGATACATTGGACTCCGGAGCGGACCTTTGACTATAATTCGTAATTGCTGGCCAACCCCTATCTGACGGTGGCTCTCGGCATTCGTGGGACTTCGCATTGAGGGGGCGTATTGAGGGTTGCTGGTCTTGGGTACTGTGTACCAGTTGTACCCATTAACCGGTTAACCCGAACCGGTCCAATCCGAACCCACGTTGATTATGGTGATTACGGTAAGTTGTTTACGCCACCGATGATTCGACGAGTAGGATGATTGGATGAACACCGGTGAGTGATGGTTGATTAGATGCACTAGGTGATAGGACGCAGGGTCGCGTGTCTATAACAGTAGGGTGTAAGCCAGTCATGTTAGTAAGACCTGCGCCAAAGAATCAAAATTTGAAAGCGCTTGCACTTACCGGTATATTTACGCAAACCGCACGCTCCACGGACATCTCCTGCCCGACAATGTATTACCGCTATGATCATGACGTACAACCGATTTTAGCGCAACATCAATAAAACGAATCGAATTTGCAAATGAACTGGACCTCCATCATTATTGAGAACACTCGGTCAATCGACGTCACTTCTGTAAATTGACCTAAGACGTGTCGATTGGGAGGGCTGTACTATCAGCACTTTGCCGCTTCCTATCCCAGTATAAATGTCGTCATGCAAACAAAATTTCCCGAAACGAAAATACAGCTCTACGATTGGCTAGATGAGGCTGTGTGCCTTGACAAAAGGAATTCGGTGTTTCAGAACGAGAGCTATGTGTAGGCTGGGATAGCTAAAGAACTTTTAATGCGGGCATCTCCACCGCGGCCGCGCCGTCACTATCGCTATCGCCTAAGCAACAATTCAACGAGAAACAAAGTCGCCCGTTGCATGAAGAAGCTCCGAAAGCTACTACTTACGTGTTATCTACAGTATCTGCGGTATGTAAATTTGCGTTTCCATTACAAATTAATGCATTCTTTCCTGTCGTAGTTATAGTTGTAGTTGTAGTGGTGGGTAGTTGGAGGAAATGGACGAGAACGGGTTCGTAGCCGTCGGAAGTAAGCGAAACTCCACTGCTCAAGTCGTAGTAGACGGAGGACACCGAGGCTGTAAGCGTTGAAAGAGACCGTAACGTTCGACGAGTTGGTAGTCGTCAAAAGCGAACGGAACTGCACGTACAGCCCGCTGCTGAAGTCGTAGTTGTACAAGTCGAGCAACCCGATCTCGCAGGTGTCAAAGCAAACGGATCGAATCGTGCCGCAAGTCGGTGACGACTGCCGAGACTGCGCGTGCAGCTCGCCGCCGAATTCGTAGTCGAGATCGCGAGCGTGACTACACCTACAGCCCGCAGGTCAAATTGTAGTCGAAGGAGGCGGAAGACCCGAGTTTGTAGCCGCCAAAGCGGACGGAGCCACACGCCAATGCTGTCGTGGTCATAGTCGAAGTGGCCGGACGACACGAAGTTTTTGTAGGTAAACGGAGCGGCACGTTCAGCCCACAGCTCAACTTGAACATGTAGTCGGGTAAATCCCGCTGCCGATGTCCGAGTCGTGAAAGCCGATTGTGGCCGAGTTGTAGTTGTTTAAAATGAACGGGGCGGCGCGGACAGCGCCGCTGATGTCGAAGTTAGTCGTATTAGACAGACGAAAAGCTCGCCGCCGGCGTCGCAGTCGTGTTTATCGGATGCGAACGGACTGTTACTCGAGGAAGTCTATCAAGACCGAGGTTTTAGTCGCTGACAGCAAACGGAGCAGCACATACAGCTTGCTGCTGGTAGTCGTAGTTGTAGAAGATGAGCGGCCCGCTGATCGAAGTTTTCGAAATGTTCTCCATCACTCGAGCTTGTCTCGGATTTAAGATGGATGAGAGCATAGGCCAAAATCAGTTAACATCAGCTACCGGGGACAACTGCCTTCCGGGAACTCTGTCCAATTCGAGTATCTAAAGTGCTCCGTGTACCATCAACGCGAAAAGAAAACTTCAAGGTAATATTGTGTATTCCCACACACACGTTTTTTTCGGGATTTTCTCCTTTTGCGTGAATGGATTCATAGACTTACGGAAGACCTGTCTGATTGTTTCACACCACGTCCAATAAAATCGGTTGTCCACGGTGCGCGTTTAGATAGACTGGTCGCCATCTCACGATGAACGACACGCAATTCGCTCGCGATTTCTGGTGCCGTTGGTCGCTTGAGTGGGTCCCGAGCAAGACATCGCTCCACCAAATCCCTCAGCGCCTGGTCACAAGTACGTCGAAGTTTGGGAGCCAGTCTACCAGCGCCAACGCGCTGCATGATAGTATCATCCGACAGAAGCTTGCCGTTGCGGCCCCGCGCGTTGCTGTATGGGATTTTGTTCGTGTCGATCTTCGTGAGCAACACGCCGAAACTGTAGATATCGGCGGGGCATCCATAGTCGCTGTCACCACGAATCACCTCGGGAGCTAACCATCGGCTCGTGCCCACTCCTTGGGTCATAGCACTATCGTCTGAACAGAAGCGAGACCTGCCAAAGTCGCTCAATTTGGCCGTGAAATCCGAAGATAGCAACACGTTCTTCGACTTGAGATCGCGATGTAGCAGCGGGGGCACGAACGAGTGAAGATACACGAGCACTTCAATAATTCCAATGGCAAAGCCGAACTTATGGCACGTCCAGCCAGTAGGCGTACTCGCGTCTGATAAATATCTCCGGAGATCTCCACCGTCCATATACTCCAACAACATCTGCAGGTCGCTTTCAGTTGTCCACGCCGCTCCAATAAGCTTGACAATATTCGGGTGAGCGAAGTTGGCCATGAGTTTAATCTCCTCCACGAAGGCCGCAGTGGTCTTCTGCGTGTAATTATCGGATCGAAGCCGCTTGGAGGCGAGAAGTTGAAGGTTTCGGTAGCGAACTAGCCACACAGTGGCGTAGCCCCCGCCGCCAATCTTGCGAACATCCTTGATAGACGCAGCGCAAAGTTGCAGCGACAGAAGTTCATAGTCGTTCCAAATCGACATGAATCTGTCTGATTTTCCCTTGGAAGACCTCTCCAACGTAGACACAAAAGAGGGATACTTCGACGTACTGCTAATGGTGGACGCCTCGAGTACTGGAATATCCACGCCCCCGTCATCTTCGCGCGAATTTGAAATATCCATCGAAAAATTACTGGATTGGCTTGCCATCTCCTTCCCGTAAATACTCAACGTCTTCAGCCCGAAGTGAGATTTCATCAGCTCTTGAGAACCAACTTCTGGCGAAGGTGATTGATCCCCAGCGTACTCTTCAATGTCACTTGTACGACGCGGACCAAGCTTTTTGCTTCTCCGCATACTAACGGTAAGGATGATGCAGACGATCACCACGGCGGAAGTTCCATACAAGACGCCCAGGATCACTTTGGTTCATCGATCCTTCGACGTGCCGAATACTTTCGAGTCTAAGCCATCCACTTGAGTTGATCTTGATGAAGAGGACGAAGCGGTATCACTCGTCGATGAGGAAGCGTTTCCATCTCGTATACACACTTCACACCGTGTATTGCACTCTGCTCCGCGTCATCGTACCCCACCTCGACTTTGAAGTCCGAGTCAGAGAGTCCCAACATATTCAGATTATTCAAAAATGCAACTTGGTCGGACGTGAAATATCGCGATGAAAATGTGTTCCCAGCAACGTTTCTTCAACACAATAGTTGAAACACGTTAGTGACCAACCGAAAATCAATGATAGATAGAATAGCTAACTCATGAACGTACAGCGTTTTTAGGTTTGAGTGATTGTAGACGGCGGTAGGGATGCTCGTTAAGTTGTTTCTGCCCAAATATCTGAATATTATAGCAAGAAGTCAGTCAAATTTCCCACAAACGCTTCAATGCGGTTCTTACAGGTACTCCAGTGATGGAAAAACACTCTCGAAAGTGTCAATATTGTTGTTCTCCAAGCTCCTACAATGGTGCATCGAAGCACAATACGGTTAGCAGAGATTTCTAAAGCGCAATAATGTACCGGGTCATGATGTTTCCAACATACAGAGTGGTGATAGATTCGATCACGTCACTGCTTGCCAGTGTTGTTAAATAGTTGTAGTCCAGCAGTCTAACCAGCCAGAGCACAAACCATTAGTGCGCTCAATTAAGCAAATAATAGTGAGAAGCGGCAAGTACAATCGCTGGAGCGATGGAATATCGCCCAATTCCGTCGGAAATGCCGCTAGCAGCGTGTTGCTGAGATCAAGAGTCTTGACCGACGATGGGAGATAATCTGGGAGCAGGTTAATCTGCGTCCCCATGTCGAGATTCTGAGCACCACCTTGGTCATCTCCATCTCCAACGAAATAAACCCAGACGTAAGCCATATCCTGGAGACTTTGCCTTTAGGATACTCCGACACCGCGCTTCCACCCGATACAATACTACACGCAAAACACACAAGCCAGATTAATTCGAGTTTTGCTAAACATACAGCAAAGTCATTTTTTTCACTTACAAGGTTGAAACTTTCGAAGACAACTCGATCGTTCCGAAAGAGGACACTTGGTTGTTCGACACTGAAGGCCACTCGCTCGTCTCGTCCGGGTAATTAGCCAAGTCCGAATCGCTGTCCCTCCCGCCGCAACTTCCTCTTCGCTCTGGTAGTCGCCGAACTCCACGAGCACAACCAACGTTGCTGAATTGTTGTTGACGCTCAAGCACTCGAACGTGCAGTTTCCGTCCGTCTTGCAGTTGGGGCCCAAGCAGTCGCCGGCTGAGGTGAACCCCCGACACAGATCGTAGTCGTCGCAAGCCGAACACCCCTCGGTTGTGAGGTCGAGGACCCAACAGCGCAGTCGGCGCTCACAACGTTGAAGCCAAGAGCCCAAATGATTCCCAACGACGCCAAATGCCGAAGCCAAAGCACTGCCACCATTTCTAATGCAATATGAGCCCGCACTCGAAGCTCGGAAGTTCGCTGCGGTGCCAATCTTAAGACAATGCAAAGGAGTGGCGTCTAGCGAAAATGCTCAGAGACAGGTGGCGCGCCAAAACCGAGGCTCGAAGGTCCTGGAAGTGCAGGTTTCATTTGGTGCAGGGGGTCTACTGTTCAAAGCAAAGATGATCTTGGCCTGCACCAGTCGAAACCCTGGAGGGCTCTAGAGTCTAAGACTCTTAGAGTCTAAGAGTCTTAGACTCTAAGCATGCCGTGTGCAACACGATAGAGTACAGGAGCTCGAGGTAGTTTAGATAGTACGGGCATGACGCAAA